CTCGCGTGGACGCCGCTGCAGCTGCAGCTGGCCACTGCCAGACGCTCCCAACTGACCAGCTCCAGAGCGACAGCTACGACGGCTAGCGCCACAACCCCAACTAGCGTACCACTCACGAAGCTGCTGGGGCGGGAGAGACTCGCGTGGACGTCGCTGGAGCTGCATCTGGCCACAGCCAGTAGCAGCAGTAGCAGAAGTGGCAGCAGTAGCAGAAGTGGCAGCAGTAGCAGAAGTGGCAGCAGTAGCAGCAGCAGCAGCAGCCTAGCAGCAATAACAGTGCGGGCAGGGCAGGTGCGGCAGGCAGGGAGTCAGGCAGGCAGGCAGGCAGGCAGACAGGCAGGCAGATGACGCGGCAGCGGTCGAACAAGGTAGGTGCTCACCAGTGGCGGGAAGGGCAGGCGCTCGCCGGGCAAGCAGGGCCGGCGCTCGGCGGGCGGCGGCCGGGTAGGCGCACGACGGCGGCGACGGCCCGGCCGCGACAGCTGCGGCAGAGCAGGGCCGCGTCGGCGGTAGAGCAGGTCCGCGACAGCTGCTGCAGGGCGGGGCCGTGAGGACTGCTGCAGGGCGGGGCCGCGAGGACTGCTGCAGGGTGGGGCCGCGACAGCAGCAGGAGGCTCCGCGGCAGCTTCTGCAGGGCGAGGCCGCGACCGTGTCAGGGCGCTCCGCGGCAGCTGCTGCAGAAGCGACGGCGGCAGTCAGGCAGAGGCGGCGTCCAAAGGAGGGGGGGCGCGTCGAACAGGGGCAGCCGCGGCGCGCGGGGCTGCAGCGCGACGCGCGGGCAGCGGACGCGACGCGCGGGGCTGCAGCGCGACGCGCGGGCTGCGGACGCGGCGCGCGGAGCAGCAGCGAGCCGCGCGCGGGCTGCCGAGGCGCGACTCGGGCAGCTTGGGCGACGCGCGGGGCAAAAATCGGGCCGCGCGCAGGAATCAGGTCTGCGCGCTCTAAGCAGCAGCAGACCGCGCAGTCAGCAGGCAGCAGGCAGACGGCGCGCGCAGCGCAGCACGTCACAGGCACAGTCACAGTCACAGTCGTGGGGTAGCGGTAGGTGGGCCCGAAAAAAAAAAAACGGTCCTACGGATCTACTGCTCTGAAACCATGTCAGAATCTAGAGACGGGAATGAATCAACTATGAAAGAGTTGGGTACAAGTATGAAACCCTAAAAGGGGCTGTACCCCATATTGGCTACCCCATTACAGCCTACACATATATAACATGCATATACTTTGACAACCACCGTTTCACTGACTTCACTGAGGGGATTCATGTGCCACGCGGACGATTTTCAACCAGCCATCGAAGTGGAATCCCATTTCTCTCTGTCATGGACGAAAACTGGCCTGACCGGACCGGAACCAATCATTCGCAGCCGTCGTTAATGTTCGTCGCAAACCCATCGCAGCCGGGTAACATGTATACCAATGAGGGAGTGGTACGGCTGCCGTGACGAAACACGCAAAAGGTCCGAACCTACGGCTGCGATCTGAGTTGCCAAAAACGTTTCAGACTATCCAGTGATTGTGGACGGTAGATCTAAAGAGGGTTGTGTGAGGAAAGGAGAGGAGAGGCAGTTGGTGACCCCTCCGCCTCGTTCCAGCGTGACCGTCGTCTCTCGCCTCATTCTCGCCTGAGGTCGCCTTCCTGAGATGGGGCCGAATGGGGGTGCAGCACCATTGGTCCAGCGTGGTCCACCATTGGTCGCCTTCCTGATATGGGTCACACCCACCACACGTGCCATGCGACGGGAGTCGATTAGAGCGGAAAAATATAAAGATTTGGTGCAACCACTCACATGCGTTTGCATCGAACGTTCATGCGACAGTTTTCAACGGCCACCCGCTCCCATAAGATGGTCGAAACCACACTGGGAGGGATCCGATAAAAGTTTAGGGTTCTCAGCCCAATTGCATTGTGGTATAAGTATGCGCGCCAGACAATGTTCATTTTTTGGTTCCGTGACAGTCAAGCGCGACTGTCGTTCTGACGTTCGGCGGCCGGGAAAGTTAACGTGAGGGAATTTCGCACGACCCTCAGCTGATTGCTCATGCGACGTCCACATTCATCGCCCACTTTACTGCCATGCCAGTGGCACGTGTTTCGTGCCACGTTGCTGGGGGAACTTCGGATGGGGCCGAATGGGCCCCATCTCAGGAAGGCGATCTGAGCCTCGGATTTCACAGCGCTTTCGCCTCTTGCTCTCATTTTCTCACGCTCAGCTTCTTCTGCTCGTTTTTGGGTTGCGTAGCAACCTTATACATTTGGTTTCACTTTTTGGGGAACTGACCGTGAACAGTGATTTTTCCCTGCCCGTTTGGGAAAAAAATACTGTTCAACTTTTTAGTTGCCCCAAAAATGTGAAACCAAATGTAACCAATAATTCCATAGTCGTCGATAAGTACGGCGAATGGAACAATTGGTTGGACACGAACGTGTACAAAAACAGACCCAAACGACAGCACACGAACTTGTACAAAAACGAGAAACACCAGTTGTGAGTGCTTCGAAGCTAATGCTAGAATGCATCGTTAATGCAACTGCGATTGATCTGGTATGGAAGAGGCAACCAAAGCTGCCCCACCAACGATCACAACCGCAATTGTATACACGAGGCACTTAGCACTCACCCCGAAACAGAGCCACACAATTACATAGCCTACATGTACGCACACACATACGCAGATAGAAAAACACGCAGAAACATACAGCTAGCATGCAAGCATAGCCAATGGAGTTCACCAATTAATAAACCATCGCTACCTTGCCCCCCATTCCCCTCCCTCCCTCCCTCCCTGATCTCCCTTAACCCTCCCTACACCCCTCCGTCCCTCCTTCCCTCATCTCCCTCCCACTCCCTCCCTCATCTCCCTTCTCAGCTCACGCGCCCTACACAAAGCGAAAACAGAGAAGTTCACACACACACGGCCTGTACACAGCAAAAAACAGAGAAGCAAACACACACACGGCCTGCACACAGCAAAAACAGAGAAGCAAACACACACACGGCCTGCACACAGCAAAAACAGAGAAGCAAACACACACACGGCCTGCACACAGCAAAAACAGAGAAGCAAACACACACACTGCCTGCACACAGCAAAAACAGAGAAGCAAACACACACACGGCCTGCACACAGCAAAAACAGAGAAGCAAACACACACACGGCCTGCACACAGCAAAACAGAGAAGCAAACACACACACGGCCCGCACACAGCAAAAACAGAGAAGCAAACACCTTAGAAGCCGACACACTAAACACTAGTGCAGAAAGCGACACTCGTTTGCATAAGTAGTCCCAGCTGCCCAAGCACCAGCAGAATAGATGCTAGTGCATATGCCCCAGCGTGCTCATAAAGCTCTCTCGTGCGTTCTCTCACGCACTCTCTCACGCACTCTCTCACGCACTCTCTCACGCACTCTCTCACGCACTCTCTCACACACTCTCACGCACTCTCTCACGCGCTCTCTCACACTCTCTCACGCGCTCTCTCACCTGCTCTTTCAGGGCTCTCTCACGTGCTCTCACACGCTCTCACGCACTCCCTCACGCGCTCTCTCACACTTTCTCTCACGCGCTCTCTCACGTGCTCTCTCACGCCCTCTCTCACGTGCGCTCTCACGGACGCTTTCACGCGTCTCTCACGCGCTCTCTCACGCGCTCTCTCCACGCTCTCTCACGCGCTCTCTCACGCGCACTCTCACGCGCTCTCTCATGTGCTCTCTCACGCATTCTCTAACGCGCTCTCTCACGCGTTCTCTCACGCGCTCACTCACGCGTTCTCTCACGCGCTCTCTCACGCACGCTTTCACGCACGCTTTCACGCGTCTCTCACGCACTCTCTCATGCGCTCTCTCACGCGCTCTATCACACGCACTCTCACGCGCTCTGTCACGCGTTCGCTCACGCGCTCTCTCACGCGCCCTCTCATGCTCTTTCTCATGCTCTCTCTCACGCGCTCCCTCACGCGCTCTCTCACGCGAACTCTCATGCGCTCTCACGCACTCTCTCACGCTCTCTCTCACACGCTCTCTCACGCACTCTCACGCGCTCTCTCACGCCCTCTCTCACGCCCTCTCTCACGTGCGCTCTCGCGCGCGCTTTTACGCGCTCTCTCACGCGCTCTCTCACGCGTCTCTCACGCGCTCTCTCACGCACTCTCTCACGCGCTCTCTCACGCGCTCTCTCACGCGCTCCCTCACGCGCTCCCTCACTTGCTCTCTCACGCGCTCTCTCACGCGCTCTCTCACGCGCACTCTCATGCACTCTCTCACGCGTCTCACTCACTCTCTCACGCGCTCTCTCTCACGCGCTCTCTCTCATGCGCTCTCTCACGCGCTCTCTCTCATGCGCTCTCTCACGCGCTCTCCCACGCGCTCTCCCACGTGCTCCCTCACGTGCTCTCTCTCACGCACTCACTCAAGCGCACTCTCACTTGCACTCTCACGTGCACTCTCACGTGCACTCTCACTCGCACTCTCATTCGCTCCCTCACGCGCACTCTCATCCGCACTCTCACTCGCACTCTCATTCGCTCCCTCACGCGCACTCTCATCCGCACTCTCACGCGCTCTCTCACGCGCACTCTCACGAGCTCTCTTACGCGCACGCGCACTCTCACGCGCACGCGCTCTCTCACGCGCACGCGCTCCCTTACGCGCATGAGCTCTCTCACGCGCTCTATCACGCGCACTCTCAGGAGCACTCTCACTCGCACGCGCTCTCACGCGCTCCCTCACGTGCTCTCTCGTGCGCTCTCTCGTGCGCTCTCTCGTGCGCTCTCTCGTGCGCTCTCTCGTGCGCTCTCTCGTGCGCTCTCTCGTGCGCTCTCTCGTGCGCTCTCTCGTGCGCTCTCTCGTGCGCTCTCTCGTGCGCTCTCTCGTGCGCTCTCTCACGCGCACTTTCACGCGCGCTTTCCTGCGTGTTCGCTCCCGTGTACACGCTCTCCCTCGCGCTCCGTCTCTCCCCTTCTTCAAATGAAAGTGCAATGCGAGAGGAGACCAATCTACACAAAAACTTTACGAGGAGAGCAAAGAAAACAAAAAAGAGGGGAGGGAGGGGGGGAGGAGAATTCAGTGGGGGAAGGGAGGATGAATGGACCGGGAACGCACCTGATAACAACGGTGCCTCAGAAAACAACCCGCGCTGGCGCACCAACCCGCGCTCGCGCACCAACCTGCACTCGCACACCAAGTCTCGCTTGCGCTCGTGCACCTGTCGCCGGAGGCGACGGCGGGGAGGGAAGGAGAGGCGACGGCGGGGAGGGAAGGAGAGGCGATGGCGAGGAGGTTTGAGAGGCGACGGCGGGGAGGAGGGAGAGGCGGCGGCGGGGAGGAGGGAGAGGCGGCGGCGGGGAGGAGGGAGAGGCGGCGGCGGGGAGGAGGGAGAGGCGACGGCGGGGAGGAGGGAGAGGCGACGGCGGGGAGGAGGGAAACGCGACGGCGGGGAGGAGGGAGAGGCGGCGGCGGGGAGGAGGGAAACGCGACGGCGGGGAGGAGGGAGAGGCGGCGGCGGGGAGGAGGGAGAGGCGGCGGCGGGGAGGAGGGAGAGGCGAAGGCGGGGAGGAGGGAGAGGCGACGGCGGGGAGGAGGGAAACGCGACGGCGGGGAGGAGGGAGAGGCGACGGCGGGGAGGAGGGAAACGCGACGGCGGGGAGGAGGGAGAGGCGACGGCGGGGAGGAGGGAGAGGCGACGGCGGGGAGGAGGGATACGCGACGGCGGGGAGGAGGGATACGCGACGGCGGGGAGGAGGGAAAGGCGACGGCGGGGAGGAGGGAGAGGCGACGGAGGGGAGGAGGGAGAGGCGACGGCGGGTAGGAAGGAGAGGCGACGGCGGGTGGGAGGCGACGGCGGGTGGAAGGGAGAGAGGACGGCGCGGTGGGAAAGAAAGGATGGCGGGGTGGAGGTAGAGGCTATGACGAGGTGGGTGGTTGGGAGAAGCAACAGGTGGGTGGGTTTGTCACGTGAAAACACACGCACAATCACGTGACACTGAGTGGGCTGAAAACAACTCACTATGAACCACACAAAATAGTGCAATGTTACAATACAAAGTAAAGAGAACATCATTGTTCACTATATAAAACAAAAAACGATCAATGTGTCTAGATATTAACGTATTAGAAACATCAATTGTTAAGAATCATAAACATCCACGTTGAAAAGAATAGATTGAACCATAAAAAAACGCTTGCAATATTCCTTGAACGGTAGGCCTAAATTTGACGCTTTTAAAAAACTGCAATTTTTTTTTTGTCAACTAAGAATGGAACATCTACGCAACCCTTCCAACGTTAACGTCGAGTCTTGTCTTAGAGCTCCTGCGACTGCGGAAAGGCGAGCCGCTAGTGAAGCTGTTTTTTTAAGCAAGCTCGAGGCAATGCTTCAGGTCTGGCCTCGTTTACGGGAAGAAAATTTCGGGCGTTGACGTCATAAGGCCTTCATAATTTGGAAACTACGGCGAAATTCTGGTCTTGCCATTGCCATAATTTCCACATTTGCGATTACGGAAGAACAAGCGCGGGAATGGCGATTTGGGAAAACAAGGTAAATCTGAGTGCATATGCTTGTACTTCGCGTATTCGAGTCTTATTTACCCGATAGAGCATACATCCATCGTATTTGGTGGTATGATGTGCTTACGTTTTAGCATCGAACTTGACGAGAGCTTGCTGGTTGCATGTGCAGGTTTCTTGCGGACTCCGCCTCGGAGGCGACATGTCACTTCAACTACCATCTGGCGCCATCTGCCTGTCTGTGCGATTTCGGCGAGTACGAGCGATTTTGGGGAGTGCGTGCGAGTTCAGATTGGCTCGCGTCCTTCGTCTGGCAGCTCAGGTATTTCCGAAAGCCACACCCACGCAGAGAGTCGATTTCGCAAATCGATTTCGCGGAACATGAATTCGCGAATCGATTTATGTCTCCCGTCTGAATTTCTCGTTTCAGTTTCGCGTTTCAATCTTGGGGAACTTATTCACTGATAGAATTTGCACATGCTTCTCACGTTTCAGTTTCCCGTTTCAATTCCGCGAATCAATTCGAGTTTTAGTTTCGCATCTAATTTCGCAGATCGATTTTGCATGTTACGCTTCACAGGTAACTTCCCTGGCGCACGCGTCTGTCCATCCACTGCAAGCCGCCGCGCGCCACCCCCCCGGAAGGGTGCCACGCTGACTCGCGACTTGCGATTTCGCCCCGTTCTCTGGCGTCACACGCGGCGCTCTCTACGTCTCCCACCCCAAGCTAAGTCTTCACCTCACCCACCCGCTGCCTCTGCTCCTGCCTTCTGCTCTGCCCGAATCCTTGACTGTCTGAAACAATGACTGCCTGAAACCTTTTTGACTGCCTGAAACCTTGACTGCCTGAAATCTTGACAGCCTGAAACCTTGACTGCCTGAAACCTTGACAGCCTGAAACCTTGACTGCCTGAAACCTTGACAGCCTGAAACCTTGACTGCCTGAAACCTTGACAGCCTGAAACCTTGACAGCCTGAAACCTTGACAGCCTCCTTGACAGCCTCCTTGACAGCCTCCTTGACATCCTCCTTGACAGCCTCCTTGACTGCCTCCTTGACTGCCTCCTTGGCTGCCTCCTTGGCTGCCTCCTTGACTGACTCCTTGACTGCCTCCTTGACTGCCTCCTTGACTGCCTCCTTGACTGCCTCCTTGACTGCCTCCTTGACTGCCTCCTTGACTGCCTCCTTGACTGCCTCCTTGACTGCCTCCTTGACTGCCCTCTGTCACACTTAAGAGACCTCCCTCCCACAAGGTAGCAAGGTAGCAGGTACGTGCTCAGGTATTTGGTTTAGTGTGGTTCAGCTGGTATGAGGTCTCTTGGGTGTGCCATTGCAGCAGTCCATTCATGCTCGCATCATTTCTTCTCTCTCTGCTCTCTCTTCACCCACTTGTCCTTGCTTCTTTCCTCACTACCCTCCCCACTCCTCAATTACACTCCGCTCCTCCCATCTCTCTGTCCTGATCTTCCCCCTCTCGTCCCAGCAGGTTGCTCACACGGGAGTGGCAGTGGCGGGGGACATGGAGTGCACAGGCAGCAGCTGCTCTCCACCCAACCCACCCACAGCTAAGCTAAGTACCCCGCCCTGCCTCTCTCCTCCCAACCCTCCTACTTGTGCTGCTGTTCATGTCTCGCTTGCATCATGCATCAAACTCCCTCCCTCACTGCCCTCTGTCACACTCAAGAGACCTCCCTCCCCCAAGGTAGCAAGGTAGCAGGTACGTGCTCAGGTATTTGGTTTAGTGTGGTTCAGCTGGTATGAGGTCTCTTGGGTGTGCCAATGCAGCAGTCCATTCATGCTCGCATCATTTCTTCTCTCTCTGCTCTCACTTCACGCACTTGTACTTGCTTCCTTCCTCACTGCCCTCCCCACTCCTCAATTCCCGTCCTCTGCTCCCTTCTCTCTGTCCTGATCTTCCCCCTCTCGTCCCAGCAGGTTGCTTATACGGGAGTGGCAGTGGCGGGGGACATGGAGTGCACAGGCAGCAGCTGCTCTCTCTCCACCCAACCCACCCACAGCTAAGCTAAGTACCCCGCCCTGCCTCTCTCCTCCCAACCCTCGTACTTGTGCTGCTGTTCATGTCTCGCTTGCATCATGCGTCAAACCCCCTCCCTCACTGCCCTCTGTCACACTCAAGAGACCTCCCTCCCCCAAGGTAGCAAGGTAGCAGGTACGTGCTCAGGTATTTGGTTTTGTGTGGTTCAGCTGGTATGAGGTCTCTTGGGTGTGCCACTGCAGCAGTCCGTTCATGCTCGCATCATTTCTTCTCTCTCTGCTCTCACTTCTCTCACTTGCCCTTGCTTCTTTCCTCACTGCCCTCCCCACTCCTCAATTCCCGTCCTCTCCTCCCTTCTCTCTGTCCTGATCTTCCCCCTCTCGTCCCAGCAGGTCGCTCGCACGGGAGTGGCAGTGGCGGGGGACATGGAGTGCACAGGCAGCAGCTGCTCTCCACCCAACCCACCCACAACCAAGCTAAGTACCCCGCCCTGCCTCACTTCTCCCAACCCGCGCCGCTATGTCATGCTCTAGTGTCGCTGCTTTGTCCCTTGTATTCTAGCCACAGATTGTGGCCGGCTTACAAGCTACACACACTGCCCCTCACGTCAGGTAAGCCCTCAGGTTCAGGTTCAGGTTCGGGTCCAGGTTCAGGTTCAGGTTCGGGTAATCCCTTACAGCCCCCTCAGGTTCAGGTTCAGGTTGAGATTCAGGTGAGCCCCTCAGGTCCCCTTGGAGTCAGTGGCCCTTCCCCTCTCTCGCCCTGCCTCTGTGACTCGCACTTGTCAACTCTGCTGGCTGTCAAGACTGCCCACTGACCACCTCCGCTTGTGTGCCTGGTTGAGGGGAGGGGAGTGGGGGTCAACACCGACACTTCCCCACGCCCCTCCTCTGTGGCCGTGCAGGTTCTTGTGGGGATAGGAGGGGAGCAGCACTGCCAATGGGAGAGTATGGGGTTGGGCTTGGCCTCTCAAGGTACGTCAGCCCCTGCCTTGGCCTCATCCCTCTCCCTTTCTGCTCTTCAATTCCGCCTTCTTGTTTTCCTCAGCCTCAGCTTGTTTTCTTGCCAGTCATGCCAACTCTCTCTCTCTCTTACTTCTCCCCTTTCTTCCCCCCGTACCAGGTCCCTTGGCATCGAGTGAAGACTGCAGTGGTGCTTCAGCTGCCTTGTGCTCGCTCTCACACAATCAGCTAAGTGCCCCTTCCTCCCTGCCCTCACCCTTGCCTGCTGCATCATCGCATTTGCTTTCGCGCCCTTCCTCTTGAAGCACTGCCACTGCTTAGGCCCAGCCCACATGCCACAGACCTCCCTACTTCAGGTAAACCCCTCACGTACAGGTAACCCCTCAGGTGCAGGTATCCCCTCAGGTGCAGGTAACCCCTTCAGGTGCAGGTACCCCCTCAGGTTGACCCCTTGGGGACTGTGGTTTGTGGCCTGGCCTCCACCTGTGGCCCCTCCCTGCTCTTGCCTTGCAAACTCTGTTCTCTCTCTTGCACTTTCACCCTTCATCCCCTCACTGCCCACTGACCAGCTCTACGTGTGTGCCTTGCAGGTGGAGGGGAGGGGCGGGGGTCAACACCGACGCTCCCCCGCGCCCCTCCCGTGTGGCCGTGCAGGTTCCCATGGGGATGTGGGGGAGGCAGCACTGCCAGTCGCTGCCACAAGGGAGAGTATGGGGGTGGGCTTGGCCTCTCAAGGTACGTCAGCGTCTGTCTTGCCTTCAACCCTCTCCTTTTCTGCCTTTTAATTTCGAGTCTTGTTTTTTGTCAACTTCAGTTTTTCTAATTTTTTGTCATGCCAGCTCACCTACTTGTTCTTTACTTGCCCCTTGTTCTTCCCCCCCGACCAGGTCACTTGGCAGCGAGTGAAGACTGTAGCAGAGGAAGCTGAGTAGCAGACCGGCAGCAGCAGCAGCAGCAGCAGCTGTGGGGGGTGGGGGGCTACAGGGCAGGCTAGGTTAGGTCGAGTCATGAGCTAGGTGTGGTATGGTAACATGTGTGGTATGGTATCTAGTGAGTTATGTACTTTTGATCCCCTCCTCTCTTTCTCTTCCACCACCCCTTGCAGCCTGAGGGAGGGAGGGAGCACTGGAGCAAGGCCGGAACAGAGGCGTCTCTCCTATCACCCCCCTTCCCCCTCCCCCTTCCCCCTCCCCCTCACCCGTTCCCCCTTCCCAGCACCCTGAAGCATCATGGCGCTCTGCATCACTGGTAGGAAGAGGTAAGAAGGCATGGGGTGAACGGGGGAGTGGGTGCGGGTGGGAAGCATGGGAGCAAGTGGGCAGTTCACTGCTACAGGGGCAGCATCCTCTGGGGTTGTGCCTTGTGCGCCGGGGTGTGGTGGGTGGAATCTGCGCGGCACGGCACTCGGTGCTCAAGTAACCGATCGGGCGTTTAAGGCTTAATGGACACCGTCAGAGTCGACCGGCCGGCGACTCTGGTTCGCGTCAGCTCTAGCTACGTCAGGGGTGGGATTTGAGTCTTGGGCTGGAAGTGCTTTTCCACTGCAACACCTTGCCTCTAAAGGCACAGCACCTGAGCGTGCTGTTTCTGAAAGGGAGTGGGCTGTCTGCTGCTCCTACTGCTGGCAGGTAAGGTTGGGAGGGGCTGGGTTGGCTGGGTGTGATGGTGGTGAGTGGCTGTGGGGATTGCAGTGGCACATGATGAGCCGTACGGCACTGATGCCACCTGTTGTTGCATGGAAGCATGATGCTCATTCTTGGATGGTTGGGGGCACATGATGAGTTGCACTGATGCCACCCTTGCATGGAAGCATGATGCTCATGCTTGGCTGGTTGGGGGCACATGATGAGTTGCACTGATGCCACCCTTGCATGGAAGCATGATGCTCATGCTTGGCTGGTTGGGGGCACATGATGAGTTGCACTGATACCACCCTTGCATGGAAGCATGATGCTCATGCTTGGCTGGTTGGGGGCACATGATGAGTTGCACTGATGCCACCCTTGCATGGAAGCATGATGCTCATGCTTGGCTGGTTGGGGGCACATGATGAGTTGCACTGATGCCACCCTTGCATGGAAGCATGATGCTCATGCTTGGCTGGTTGGGGGCACATGATGAGTTGCACTGATGCCACCCTTGCATGGAAGCATGATGCTCATGCTTGGCTGGTTGGGGGCACATGATGAGTTGCACTGATGCCACCCTTGCGTGGAAGCATGATGCTCATGCTTGGCTGGTTGGGGGCACATGATGAGTTGCACTGGGGTGGTGATGGTGGTGAGAGGCAGTGGGGATTGCGGTGGCACATGGTGCGTATGGCACTGATGCCACCTGTTGCATGAGAGCATGATGCTCATGCTTGGTTGGTGGCACATGATGAGCCGTATGGCACTGATGCCACCTGTTGCATGAGAGGTTTTGAGATTGAATGGCACGAGTGTGTGAGTGTAGGGAGCAGTGTTGGTAAATGGCAAGACTTACCTTTTTTCTGGCTGGTGAGGATGAGAGATGAGATTGGTGAGAATGAGAGGTGGCAGTGTTGAGAATGAGTGAGCAGTGGGATTCGTATGTTCAAATCTAAGACGTGAGTGCATGGTGACAGCGAGAGCAGATGGGGGGGTGGAGGTGAGCAAACGGTGAAGCTAGTGAGACTGAATGGCAACAATCATGAGAGTGTGGTGAGACTGAGTGGCGAGAGTGAGTGGTGAGAATGGCGAGTGGTGGAGGGGTGGGAGTGGCAAGATGGTGAGACTGTGTGAGTGTTGTGGGTGAATTGTCAGAGCAAGTGGTGGGATTCGATAATGAAGAGTGAGTGGAGCGAGTGTAGGGATAGGGGAATGAGAGTGGACAGGGAGTGAGTGGTGAGAGTGGCAAGGGGTACAACAGTGTGCAGTATATCTGGATTCATAATGGTAGCCGTGTGCATGCATGAGTACACCATGCATGCATGTGCATCTGCACCAAGCATAATTCGATTTGACAATTTTCATAATGCACCAAGCGTTGCTCACGATTCGGCCTTCTCTTGGAGATTTCTCTGGTTCAAGTGGCTGTTTCAGGAAGGATTTTCCTGATACCTTACCTACATGTAGATGACGGTTTCATAAAAAAAGCTAGCGGTTTAATTGTTGACATTGCCACTTGATTATGAATATTTAATTGCATTGGATTAGAGTACTACTCTCCGTTGAACTTTACCTTCACCTTCATGAACACGGGTATGCAGCCTCATTCTCATCTCTGACTGAACCACCCCAGTGCTCCCTCCAGGCTCCAGCTGCTTGGTGTGACGATCATGTTTCCCTTCAGCTCCCCTGCATCTTCACTTAATCCACCACCTTTTGCCAGTTAACATCTCTGCTGCATGCTGCCAGCCAGGCTACATGCACAACACAAGGACAGCTCTCCTGTAAGTAAATGCCACGAGACAACCAAGGCACGGCAAACAAGACTTTTACCGTGCGTGTACCACTCACACCTCACATGCAATGGTAGCTGCCTAATGGGTACCACTCAAAAGCAGCTTGTGGCGAGGGATAAGGGGGAGGAGCGAGGGAGGAAGGTGAGAGAACACGGGAAGGGAGGGAGCAACGGAAAGTGAGGGAGCAGAAGCTGACGAGGAGCGGAGGGAGCAGAAGCTGGTGAGGTGAGCAGCAGTGGAAGCAGCACTCAGGTTCGTTGCAGGCCCGGAAGAAGCACCCGAACCTCACGCTCCTCTGTGACTGCCATCAGCTTCGGCACCAGCAGCTCGATACCGGACCTGTAGGATGAAACACATGAGAAGCAAGAATGAGGAAGTGATGCTGGCACTGCACTGAACCACTTCATCCAACAATGAACAAATTTCCTAAGGGGTATTGAGTTGCTCCAAACACAGTCACCTGTCTACTAAACACACTCGCCTCTCGCCTGATTGCACTCACCCGTCTGCTGACGCACTGGCTGCCACATCAGCATTCTCTGGTATGCGCTGAGGCAGCTGCACCTCCCGTTCAAACGGGCCAACGGGGCAGTGCTCCCCCGGCCAATGGGAGCGCGACACGTGGCGGAACGTGCGGCCGGAGCGAGATACGGATGGCGGGGGGAAGATGGCAGCACAGGAGATCTGATTCGGATTGGCATGGGAAGGAAATGGAGGGAATGGTTGGGTGGAAGGGCAGGAGGAGTGAAGGGAGATGCAAGGGTCTGTAACAGTTCAGAAGAAGGGATTGTAAAGGGGGGTGATGGAGAGAAGGCTAGTTTGATGTGGATATGTAAGAAAGCATGTTGGGTGCATGGGTGCATGGGCACGTGGGCATGGTTGCATGGGCGCATGGTTGCATGAGCGCATGGGTGCATGCCAGCAGCACTGCGAGCCGCCAGCATCTTGCACAGTCCTCTCTCCCCAATGGACCACGCACCGCACCTTGACTATCCCAGCAGCACCGGCGTTGCGCCACGTGACTCGGAGGCGGGAGAGGTCGCAGTGGGGCAGTGATACCAGCAGCAGGTAGGCTGATGCATCCTCGTACAGCGTGCACGCGCACGTGGGTGGACCCACAGCCTGCGGCCCGGGCCAAGAGGAGCAAGGGGAGAACAAGAGAGACAGAAGCCAAATGACTTCAAGGCTGTCCCAGATTACAGGGGAGGTAGTGAGTGAACTGAACAGTGCCATTTCGAAGGGGAAGTGCCGCACCTGTGCAAGTGTGCCTGATGCCCCTCCTCTCCATCCCATGGCTGCTGTGGCAAGCTCAGGCCCTGGGTCCAATACTCTGGCCACAACCCCACTTGCTCCTGCTGCCTCCATTAATGCACCTGCTCCCTCTTCTCCTCCCTCCTCCTCCCTGATGCCCACTCCCCCACCCTGCTGCCGAGGCATCCCCTCGCCCACCACCCTGCCCGCCCTTCCTCCTGCTCCTAAGCTGTCGCCAGCAACACTCACTCCGTTCGGCATACTCCCGTTTCCACTTCTCCTCCCCTCTTGCCCGCGGCTCCCTCTGCCCCCGTTCACATGCTGGCTGCGGCTCAGATTTAGAGGGCTCAGATTGGGGTGGCTGAGGTTGGGGGATGCCAAGCCAGGGTCCTCATGCACACCCTCGCTATAGTCACGCGCTGACGCACCAACGCTTGTAGACGACAGCCCTGGCTGCGTTTCAGCCTCACTCGCAGCTTCGGCGGCAGGCTCGGTCCGAGGCGTGGTGCTTGGTTCGGTTTGAGGGGCGGCATCAGGCTCGGTACCCAGTCTGTGGCGAATGTCGGCTGTATGGCCCATGGGAAGCTGGGATCTTGACACCGATGCTGCCACTTGTGCTGATGATGCTACTGGTGCTGCTATTGGTGCTGCCACTCGTGCTGGCGCTGCCAATGCTGCTGGTGCGGGAAGCAGTGGTAGAGGAGCTGCTGCTTGGGCTGCTGGGTGGAATGTTGTCGCTGCCAGGGAGGCTGCTGTTGCTGTTGCTGCTGCTGCTGTTGCTGTTGCTGCTGCGCCTCGTGCTGGTGGTGCTGGCATTGATGACGGACTTGGTCTGTGGCGTCTGTGTACAATCTGCCGTTGTTGCTGCTGCTCCCATTGCTGCTGCTGTTGCTGTTGCTCTCGCTGCTGCTCTCGCTGCTGTTGCTGTTGCTCTCGCTGCTGCTCTCGCTGCTGCTGCTGCTGCTGCTCTCGCTGCTGCTCTCGCTGCTGCTGCTGCTGCTCTCGCTGCTGCTCTCGCTGCTGCTGCTGCTGCTGCTGCTGCTGCTGCTGCTGGTTTTGCCCCTGCTGCTCCTGCGGCTGCTGCTGCTGCTGCTGATGATGACGATGAGGATAAGAATGTTGCAGCTGATTCTGCCGTTGCTGTTGCCACGACTGCTGCTGCTGCTGCTGCTGCTGCTGCTGCTGCTGCTGTTGCCACAGTTGCTGCTGCTGCGCGTGTGCGGCTGCCACGCCTTGGCACAAACCTGTTCTCATAGCTGCATTTGACTCATCTGCCCCACCTCCCGCGCTGCTTGCCCGGTCCCTCTCCTCTGCAGCCACTCCAGCCTGACCAGCAGCAGCCGAAGCACTGTTCACTGCTGCGTTGGAAGCACGCATACCTCCTGCCGTACCTCCTGCCAAACCTCTTGCCATACCGTCTGCCATACCTCCTGCCATCCCTCTGCTATGATCGATCCCAACAGCCGAACGAAGCTGAGCAGCAGCGTCGTCAAGCATGGCAGTAGCGGCAGCAGGTCTGGCAGAATTGTCTGCAGCCCTGGCAGCAGCATTGCCAGGCGTGTCAGCAGCATCAACCGCACCAGCAGGCCTGGCAGCAGCATCGATAGGCCTGGCACCAGCCGCACCAACAGGCCGGGCAACAGCAGCAGGCAGCAGCGGGGCACCGACACACATGGCCCGCTTGCTTATGCCACCCAGAAGCGGGTCGTCTGTCCGTCTCCGCCGGCCAGATGTAAACACAGGTGGCTGCGGGCATGGATGGGGAGATGTACCCGTGTGCACTGACGCATTCAGCTGGGAGGAGGCACCAGCATGCTCCGAAGCAAGCACGGGAGCGGGGGATGCACTCATGCCCTGTGTGGGTGGAATGCTTGGTTGCAGGAACAAGCCTCTAGAGCACACTTGCTGCCCCTCCGTCTGTGCTGCCTGCACCTGCTGCCTCATAGTGACTCTCCTATGCCGCAAAATTTCTTCCTCTGCTCCTCCTCCATTCGCCTCCGCACCACCTTGCCTGCCCCCAATCCGCTCCTCTCCCTCCATCTCCACGCAGTTCCCCTGCCAGCCTGCTAAAGCATCCCTGTCACACTGCTGCTGGCCTTTTCCCCTGTGCTGCATGCCTTGAGGAGACAAGTCCCTCAGTGGCTGCTCGCATAAGCCAGCCTGCACCCGACTTGAAGTGGCAACGGTGGCAGGCGTGGCAGAAAGGCCTTGCTCGTTCAGCCTGTCAGTAGCCAATAGCTGCTCTGAATGTACCACCTCCTGTGCTCCCTGCTGCTGCTGCCGCCGCTGCTGCTGCATTCCCCGCTGAGGTGATCGCTGCTCCTCTTGCTGCTGCTGCTGAAGCTCCCTCCCCTGCTGCCTCCTCCGCTGCTGCTGCTGCTGCTGCTGCTGCTGCTGCTGCTGCCTCCCCTGCATCTGTCTCATCCTCGTGCCCTGAAGCCCTCCCGACTCCACCACCCACTGCATGCTCCCCTGCACGTCCCCTTCCACGCCCCCCTGCAAGGCCCCCTGTGCACCTCCCTGCGTGCCCCTAGCTTCCCCTGTCCACCCGCCCTCCACTGTCTCCCCTGTCCCCTCAACAACCACTGGCGCTGCCTCCGCAGCAGCAGCAGCTGTTACTCCTCCAAGTGCCTTCAAACCACCCTGCTCCACTTGCCCTACTGTCTCTTGCCGCTGCGCCGCTGCTCCTGCTGCTCCTGCTGCCCTTGCTGCCAGCGCTCCAACTGCTCCTGCTTCTCCATCTTCCACTGCTTGCGTATTTATTGCTGCTGGGATGACCGATGCTGGTGGTGGCGGTGCTGCTGCTGCTGCTGCTACTACTGCTACTACTGCTGCACCTCCTGCTGAAATTTCTGCTGTTGATGTTGGTGGCGATACTTCTGGCGCTGGTGGCACCAACGCTACTGCTGCTGCTGTGGCTAAGGCTGCTGCTGCTGGTGGAGTTGCTGCTGCTGCTGCCGCCGCTGGTTGCACAGGTAGCACCTGGCCAGTAACACCCGCACCAGCCACCCCACCAGCGCACTCAGCATTCCATGCACCAGCGCACATGGCAAGGGCGTGGCTTGGCAGGGTAGGAGGCGGCAGCAGGGAGCGCCAGAGCGTGTAGTCATGCGCATGGGGCGAGAGTGCGAAGCCCAGGGGTCGACCTGGCGTGACGGAGAGCAGAGAGAAGGGTGGGGAGAGAAAGGAGGGGAGAGAGAGGGGGGGAAGACCAGCAATGTGTGATTTGTTTGCCACTATTCATCCCATGGTTGTGCTCCTTTTGAGTATATCGCAGAGAGTAACGAAATAGGCAGCCATACCGAGCAAAACAGGCAATGTGTCCCAGCGGCTGCACCAGTGACCTTAAAGACGTCACAACAGGGGTGCAACACAGTACAGTAACAGCTCCTACCCACCCACCCGTTATCTCCTCCCAGCGCGTGCGGGAATGTGGAGGCACAGCAGAGAGGTCCGGGGAGGGGACGGGCACGATGCCGTGGATGCAGAGAGGGTTGGCGAGGCCCTTGTAGCGCCTCAACATGTGTGCGATACCTTAAAGGCACCCACGCACTCACCAGTTATCTCCTCCCAGCGCGTGCGGGAATGCGGAGGCACAGCAGAGAGGTCGGGGGTGGGGAGGGGCACGATGCCGTGGATGCAGAGAGGGTTGGCGAGCCCCTTGTAGCGCCGCCGCTGTAGGCGGTGCGTTCGCAGGAAGCCAGCCTTCTCGGGGAAGGGGAAGCACGGCTCGTCCACCCTGTTGGGGTATGGTGAGGGGGGGAGGGGGGAGGGGGAGTGAGTGGCATGTGTGAGAGTGATGCAGTGAAAAGGGGGGCTAGAGGCCTGCAGTGGGAGGCAACGCATGCGGTGGAGAGGGAGGTGCGAGCATGCCTGGAGTTGCCATTGATGAAGGAGCGCTGCTGCATCTTGCCCAGAGCATACTCTGGTCGCACACTGAGCACACACTGAGCACACACTGAGCACACACTGAGCACACACTGAGCACACACTGAGCACAAAATGAGCACACACTGAGCACACACTGAGCACACACTGAGCACACACTGAGCACACACTGAGCACACACTGAGAACACACTGAGCACACACTGAGCACACACTGAGACACACTGAGCACACACTGAGCACACACTGAGCACACACTGAGCACACACTGAGCACACACTGAGCACAAAATGAGCACACACTGAGCACACACTGAGCACACACTGAGCACACACTGAGCACACACTGAGCACACACTGAGCACACACTGAGACACACTGAGCACACACTGAGCACACACTGAGCACACACTGAGCACACACTGAGCACACACTGAGAACACACTGAGCACACACTGAGCACACACTGAGCACACACTGAGCACAAAATGAGCACACACTGAGCACACACTGAGCACACACTGAGCACACACTGAGCACACACTGAGCACACACTGAGAACACACTGAGCACACACTGAGCACACACTGAGACACACTGAGCACACACTGAGCACACACTGAGCACACACTGAGCACACACTGAGCACACACTGAGCACACACTGAGCACACACTGAGCACACACTGAGCACAAAATGAGCACACACTGAGGACACACTGAGCACACACTGAGCACACACTGAGCACACACTGAGCACACACTGAGCACACACTGAGCACACACTGAGCACACACTGAGCACACACTGAGCACACACTGAGAACACACTGAGCACACACTGAGCACACACTGAGACACACTGAGCACACACTGAGCACACACTGAGCACACACTGAGCACACACTGAGCACACACTGAGCACACACTGAGCACACACTGAGCACACACTGAGCACACACTGAGCACACACTGAGCACACACTGAGAACACACTGAGCACACACTGAGCACACACTGAGCACACACTGAGCACACACTGAGCACAAAATGAGCACACACTGAGCACACACTGAGCACACACTGAGCACACACTGAGCACACACTGAGCACACACTGAGCAAACTCGCATGCGCCTGCCTCACGTTGCACTGGCACGCGCACCTGGAGTTGCCGTTGATGAATGAGCGCAGCTGCATCTTTCAGTGCATGCTCTGGGCGCACACTGAGCGCCCAGTGAACGCACACTGAGCTCACAATGAGCGCACACTGAGAGAACTCGCATGCACCTGGAGTTGCCGTTGATGAATGAGCGCAGCTGCATCTTGCCCAGTGCATGCTCTGGCCGCACACTGAGCGCCCACATGTACGCATTCTCCACATCGTGCTGCACCATGAACGCCTCCTCGCCCCGCTGGTGGTGGGAGTTGCGGTGTATAGGAGGGAGGAAGGGAGAGGAAGGTAACGAGGCAGGTTGACGGGATACATTTACCCAGCTCGGTCGTGGGGTTGCAACGCGGGTTCAGCAATGCGGCGATACAAGCATGCACGCACACGAGGCCTCTCCGCATGAGAAGGGGTGGACGAAGGTTCAACGGCCATGAGAAAGTGGGGTAAGGCGCAGAAGGAGCTCTGGGCAAGGATAGAGCGCACCTGTTGGGAGAGGGTGGAGGCGTAGTAGTGGGAGAAGAAGAAGTGTGCGCCCCACACTCGGTCCTCCCGTGCACTGTACCGCCTCGGGATGCCACTGCTGCTGCGGCCGACGGCGGCGCTACCCGTGGGAGTAGCAGTAAGAGCAGCGACACCAGTGGGAGCGGCACGCAGTGTGCCGCCACTACCGCCAGTGCCGTCACAGCGGCCAATTGCAGCATGACACGTGTCCACGTCCCTTGCTGCCGCTGCTACACGAGCACGCACGTTCCTATTGGCGTCTGCTCCTGCACCCAGCTCAAGAGATGCCGCCCTCCCTGCTTCTTGCCACGCGCTGCTGCTCGAGTTCCCTATGGCTTCAATGCCTGTCGCTGCCCTTCCTGCTGCCGCTGCTGTGGCTGGCCTCCTCACGCCTGTTGTTGTTGTCACTGCTGCTGCTGCTTCTCCTGCTGCTAGCGGACTTGTTTCTGTTGCTGCTGCTGGTGTGGGTGTTGTTGCTGTTGTTGCTGCTGGTGCTGGTGCTGCTGTTGTCGCTGCTGCTGGTGCTGTTACTGTGACTACCACTGCGTCGTCTGCTCCCGGAGCTGCTGCCAATGCTGCTGCTGAGGCAGTTTCACCTGTTGGTGGTGGGGAAGGGCAGGGAGCAAGGCAGGTGATGGGGCGCGGCGGATGGATGGAGGCAGGGCGAGGGGACGGTGCAAGGCGTGGTGCTGCTGGTTGCTGCCAGTAAGCACCAGTGGCGGACGGAGTGAGCTGTGGCTGCTGTAGCCATTGCTGCTGCTGGCTGGCCTGCAGGTGCTCCTGCTGCTGCTCCTGCTGCTGCTGCTGTGGTTGCCCTTGCACTTGCACCTGCTGCCGCTGCCGCTGCTGCTGCTGCTCCTGCTGCTGCTGCTGCTGCTGCTGCCGCTGCTGCAGGCTGCCCCCACTTGGAAGCACCACGTGGCACGTGCTGGTTGCGTGAGTGCACGCGGAGCTGCTGCCCGCCACACCCTCCGCAGCCCCTGTGGGCGACCCATTCTCCCTGAGATCGCCAGATCTGGAGAGAACGGTGGGCCTGGAGGGTATAGGCTCTCTGGCGTCTGCAGTCAGTGCAGCAACAGCAACAGGAGCAGCAGCAGCAGCAGGAGGAGCGGTGGAGGACGGAGGGTGGCTGTCAAGGCTGAAGATCAGCCTCGGTGCGAACCTGGTTGCCGGGGCACCAACCGGAGCTATTTCAATGTCTAGGTTCGGCGCCGGACCTACATCCCACCAGAGGGCCATTCCGCCAACATCCCCCCCAGTATCCCCTCCAGTATCTCCTCCACCATCTCCGCCACTATCCCTGTCAGCATCAGCACCTGGTTCCTCCCTTTCCGTCCCCCCGGCGCCCTCCGCGGACCCACTCCCTGCGCCCTGCTGGAAAGTCCTCAGGATCCCCGCGCAAGCTGCCCCAAGCTCGCCGTTTCCGCCAAGCTCGCCACCCCTACCGTGCTCTCCCATTCCCGTTCCGCACTGCTCCCTCTCCGCGCCAGCCCCGTTGTGGCCTCCATTTTCCTCCGCGCCACTCCCATCGTCCCGTCCACCCCCACCAATGCCACTCTCCCCACCAACCGCACCGTCAATTGCAGCAGCAGAAGGAGCACCAACACCAGGAGGAGGAGCATTTGTAGCGGCCGCTGCACCAGCGTCAGTGGGATCAGTGGGATGAGCTGGATGCGCGGCATTGGCGGGGTGAGAGGCAGCAACGGGGTGGTGTGCGGGAGAGGCGGCGTCGAGATCGAGGTCGAGGCACATGGACATAGACATGGACATGGGGAGGGGGAGCGGCAGGTTGATGTCCGGCGGATGCAGGTCGTACGGCAGCCGGATCATGCGCGTCGCAGCGTCACACGGAGCGTCGCACGGAGCGTCGCATGGGGCATCGAAGTTCATGTTGGGGGTTTGGAGGTCGAACGCGCTCCGCGACGGAGGGCCGGACGAGTTCTCGCCGTAGTTATCAGTATTCTCATTGTTGCTGTTGCTGTTGCTGCTGTTATTGTTCTCTGTTACTGGCGGCTCTAACGGAATCCGTCCGCATTGACGTGCGCTGGAAACGGGAAACTCGTGCTGGTTTTCGGACAGAAAGGGCGCGGCGTTGTGGGACTGGAAAGACGACGCGGACTGCACGTTAAACGCGAGGGGATACGGATTACCGCCAAGAAAGGGAGCTGCGTGCGGGGTCTGAAGGGTGGGGCACGCTTGAAGGTTAGGGAAAGCTTGAAGAGTGGGGCACGGTTGGAGGGTGGGGTAGGAGTGGCGGATATCGAAGGAAAGGCCGGCGGGGAGGTTCTGCGAGCACACGTCGAAATTCATGTCCAGAATTTGCAGGTCGAACGCGTTCCGAACGGAGTCCTGGTCCTGACATGCTCCCTCCCGCCCCTGCCCGTGGCTCTGCCCCTGTTGCCCCGGTGCATCGTCCCCCTCCTGCTGCTCCAACTCCCACTCGAGGTGCATGGCGCACGGAGGAGAGGGAACAGGACAAGCGCATTAGTGGCTGAAATGGGCGGGGAAGCGAGCATCTGTCGGAAAGGAGTGGCAGAATGGAAGGGGAGCGTGTTTTTGTGGAAGTGCGAGATGACGAGAACGAAAGTGTTGTCGTTGCGAGCAAAGCTCCGCACTTGCTGCGGGGTGTCAGCGATTTGTGTTGTGTGAAGGACGTATGGACGGAGGTCCTCACGCTAAAGGCTTGTCCGCGATTATGTTAGTTTATTTGGATATCTCAACGCGCTTATGAAGTAAACTACGTCAAAATTTAATATGTAAATATATAAGAGCTCCTCAGGTCCATATTAGGATGTCTGTTGGAGCCATACCTGCCAGCCAGCAATATACGTCAAGCACACAGTCTAGTCATATAGGAGCAAAACTATAGAATCACCTCCTGCAGGAGCCATAACTCTTGAAAGCCCTAAACCTGATGTTAAGGCAGTCTGTGTTGCCGAGTTACTGTACTCCAAGCCACCAGCAGTCCTGTGCACGTTATGCGACTCAAGATGTCTTGATAGTGCAGCTGGGAACCTGTCAGACGCCTGGAGTAGTTCATACGAAACCTGTGGTCCACATACGAAATCAGGTATGCACAGCAATGTACACATCCTGTCCCTTGCCCCCAACAAACACCCCCACCCCCCATTTTCCCAGAACCCCCTTCCCCAAACCCCTCCCGGCCCCCACCACCCAACCTCCAGGTCACCCTTGTTGGTACAATCTTCCCCATCCCACCGCACCCCACCTCACCCCACCCCAACACCACCCTATGAATGTTTTTTTTGTGCTGTGGCTGTGCCTGTCCGCTTTGCCTTGCCCATATGTGCAGACAGACACTCAGCTGGAAGCACCCTGAGGTTGTGAAATGCACTGTCTGCTGCCTGGCATACACAGTAGGGCAGGGGTAAAGGGAAAGGCAGATGTAGGGAGGATAGAAATGAAGCGCGTGGAGCAGAACGGTTTGGACACTAGTGCAGGCGGCTGTGTAAGTCATCAGCAAGACAACGCAGGGACCAAACGAGGTTGGCACGCCGCACTCGTGGAGGTGTAGTTTGAGTCGACTCAAGGGACACGTAGGCACGTCGTAGACTCACCTTCTGTACAGTTTGGTCTGCAAAGCGCAGACGGCACGATGCTGCTGCACCTCCCTCTGACCCCCTCGCTGCTGCGCTCTCCACGGGACTGCTGCCCTGCACGCTGCCAGGAACCAGACCTGTGCTGCTGCCAGCACCCGTGTCATGCATGCCTGCATCGTTTCCAGGAAGGGATCCGCCAGTGCCTGCTGTAGTGTGACCGCCCTGAGAGGGAGTGGGTGCAGGAGGAGGATGAGCAGCCTCGGCTGCTGTCTCCTCCCTCTCATCACACAAGCCCTTCTCCGCCTCCTTGCCAGCTGAACTCTCCACACCATCCCTGCCCTCTGGTGTCCCTTCACCCCCCTCTCGTGCCGCTTCTCCCTCCTCTGATGCCTTCTCGCCGCCCTCTGGTGCACCCTCAGCGTCTGCCATAGTGGCATCTCCCTCGTCCGCCACACCCATTTCTGTCTTCTCTTCTCCTGCCACACCACCGTCCTCATCCTCTCCACTGCTCGCTGCGCTCCCTTTCTGTGCAATGGTTGCCTTGTGCCGCGCCACCATCATGGCCACGATCCAGTCAAACACCTGCACATGGAGGAAAAATCATCATCGTGAGAAAGCATACACCGCGAGCACCAACATTGACCACACATCAAGTACATTTCCTCCTGACACACAAGGTCTGAAAGGAGCACACGTGATTAATTGGGCAGATTAAGAGCACATTCAGCCTGACCTGAGCAAGGCCGTAGCGGGGGTGCTCCAGGGCGTTTTGAGGACCGTAGCGCCCTGTGCCCTGGCATTCCGGGCAGAACACCTCAGTCAGCGGCAGCAGCTTCGCTCCCTCCAGCGCCTCTGCGCCCTCAGGCGCTGCTGCTGCTGCTGGCACTGCTCCTTCTGCTGCCACCGCTGCCTCTAATTCTGCCCCTTTACCCGGCACGCCCGTGCTGGAAGCTCCAGCTGCTCCAGACGCTGGTACAGGCGCTGCTGCAGGCGCGTTACCGTTCTGCTTGCCTGGCTTCTGTGCTGCAGTGTCAGATGAGGTGCGCTTGCCCAGAGAGTGTGCCGCAGCAGGTGCGAGGATAGGTGCAGAAGGTGGGGCCAGGAGGGACGCTGCAGCCGAGGCAGCAGCTGTTGCCACGATGGCCACCACTGCTGCATCCTCACTGGACACTGGCCCTGCGAGAGTCAAAGGAAGCGAGAGTCAAAGACGCCCACATGTCAGTATGCCGTCGAATAGTCATGTATAACAATGGTACAGAAAATTCGGAATATAAAGTAGGCTGGAAGCCAACAGAAGGAAAAAGGGCACCTGTGGCAGCAGCAGCAGCCAGGGCAGAGGTTGCAACAGCAGCAGCGGTGGCGGAGGAGTGGATAGCGTCTGGAATGCCAGCCCACGCCCATGCGTCGGAATGAAGCTCGTCACTGCTTGCACTGCTCACATCAGCATCCGCACCCTGTCTCACAGGCTCAGGCGCATTGGACTGAAGAGCATCTCCTTGCCGGTCAATCCCAATTGCCTCAGCAGCAGCAGCACTGGCAGACACAGGAGCATTACCGCCAGCCTCAGCAGCAGTAGCAGCAGCAGCACCTGTGACCCTGCCAGCAGCAGCAGCGGCAGCAGGTGTTGCAGCGCCACTGGCGCGATGGCTTGGCCTCAGGGAAGGCGTGTGTGCCTTGTGGTGGCGGTGCATGGAGGAGAGGAGGTGCGCCACGTCCGCTTCGAGCGGGCAGCACAGGGCGGGCGGCACACTGGTGCTGGCGACCGCGGAGCAGAAGACCACCCAGTCCTCTATGCAGTGCGAGTGGAATATGTGGAACTTCTGCTCGCCAGAGAACGCGAGTATGGACAACATGGACATTGACAAAACACAGAAAGAAATTAGATTCTGAAATACGCAAGGGAAAAGGGAGAATGGGTGGGAGGAGTGGGAGCATGGATGAGTATCACCTTGTGTCGGTTCCTGCTGCTGCAGGCAAATTGTTTCAAGCGTGCATTCCACAGGGCGCCAACCACCTGCCCTTCCGTCATAGGTAGCTGGCACAGGAAGCACACTCTTGTTGCCGACGCCCCTGCACCGGCTCCCAGACCTCCTTTCCGTCTCTTCGCTGGCACTGCAGCTGGTGCTGTGGCGTCTCCAGAGGCATCGACCCCTGCTTCTGGCACTGGAGCCGCAGCCGCAGGTGCGTTCACAGCTGGGTCGTCTTCAGCTCTTCCAGATGCGGCCTCGTGAGGCCCAGGAATGGCAGTTGAGTCGTCGCCACTGCAAGCTCCACGTGCTTCTTGCACATCCGCATTGACTTCAGTTGGCTTTTCTGTGCAATGTGGCTCAGCAGCAGACGTGCCTTTCGGTTCCTTCTCCCTGTTACCATCATCGTCATCTTGGAGAACATCCTTATTGTTGCCTTCTTCCGGTTGCTTCTTGAGCTCCTCTGGATGTTCAGTGGGAACATCTGCCAGCAGCGGTAGCTCCTCCTTCTGGCTGTTCTTCTCACCAGGACCACCATCGGACCATTTCAGCAGCTGCTTCTCCCACTTCCCTCGGCGACCAATCAGATTCGTGAACTTGAACAACGCGAGAGCGAAGTCCTCAGGTCGGCTTGGCTCATCCGATTCTTCTTCTGTTTCCGGAACAATATCAGGTGCACCCCCCTCAACGCCAGTAACTGCAACATCTTGACCATTGGCTCTTTTTTGGCGCTTGGAGCCACCACCAGCAGACTTGACGACATCACTGGAATGAGGCGCTTTACGCTTGGAGGAAGAAGACACGGCGGCGTTTTTTCCTGCAGAAGCGGAGACGGGTAAACTTCAAGTTGCGAGAAGGTAGAACCGGCAGAAAACATGTGGGAGCATGAAGCCGTTGCTCGCGGATTGAGCGGAAGGCTCACCTTCCCCAACGAGCTTCCACGGTGGCGTCAACTTGGAGGTTTTTTCCCAAGGCGGACTCCCGGTGACGCTGGACGGTGGTGAGGTGAGCGGTGTAGCTTCCGCCTGTTTCCGCTTGTGCTTCTTCCCATGTATATGGTCGATCAGGCTCGCATCATGGTAAGCCCATACGCTGCATTCAACACAAAAAAAACAAACTCGGTTACACGAAATGTCACAGTTCTCCAAATACATTTCGGCAAGAGCGGTCATGGGAGCAAAGAATGAGACCGAAAGGAAGTAGACGGCGCGGCTTACTCGCACAAAGTGCAGTAGAAAATGATGCGTTTATCGTCCTCTACCACCAGCACTCCTTCTCCCTTGTACAAGCTCTGCAGATGCGATGCAAGCGCTGACGCCAATTTCTTGTTCTCAACAGGCTTCTGAGCCGCCGTTTGCGGAAGCGCAGCCTTCGGTTTCTTCTTGCCATCCTGCTTCTCGGCTTGCTTGGCTCCTCCAGCCGGCTTTCTACTACCCTTCATCCTACGGTCAGACAGCGTGCCTCGCAAAATGCCTTTCACTCCTGAACGAGGTGTCGACTGCTTGGAGGCTGGGCCTTCCGCACCTCGTGCGGAGAACATGGCGACTGTTGATTTCTGAACCATGTGTAAACCTTCGTTAATGATTGGTTTGTTGAAGATACACCAGACATCAAAGCTGACTAAACTATCTGTGATAAGAACAGTTGTGCTTTGCCACCAGTCCTCCAACTGCAACCGACTAGACTCTGAAAGGTGCACTACAGCGGATATTCGACGGACAAAAGCGAAAGATTCTTGTGTGAAGAGATGAAAAGTTTCAGAAGTGAAGTTGCTTCTTGTGTGGAGCACGCAGCGCGGTTGGAAGCGTGCCTGTCAGAGAACTACTGAACCAAATGAAACCCTTGTTTCGTCTTGACCAACTGCTGTGAAGTCACGGGGGCGTTGTGTGTGACCCGTCCCGTCTCCCCTCCCTCTCGTTCCTTGCATTCGAGCATGCCTGCTTGGCCTCCTTCATGACAACCTCAAGGCAAGACCTGACCAACCAAACCCGTCATGCCTCGCACTGCGAGGGAATGAAAGGAATCGTAGCTGGGCGACGATGCCTTTGCGACAGTTACCACCACAGGAATCTCTGTAGAGAGGGGTTGCGAAAACCCTAACCCGAACCAGGTCAAGGGGCACTCGCCACGTAGGCGGAGGACCACAAGTGATGACGTGGGACGCGAGGTGGCCGGCGCGGCGATTGGGTCTTCTTCACTCAGAGTGGATGGATGGATTCCGCAAATTCGAAATGGACCTGCCCTAAGACTGATAGGCTAGTTGGCTCGCGAAATGTTCTCATCTCAACGACACTGGTTACGTCGTCCAATCGAAAGGCCGATTTCTCGCTAGGATTCATACAGCCACCAGATTCCTCCACACCCATTCGGCACTAAAATCTGCTTGCGCGTAACAGCACGCTTATCGGTTCCAGCAGTATTGAGTCACGCAACGCAACTCGTCCTGGTGACGCTTCCTGTATTGCTCCACCAACTTCAATCAGCTTTCCCAAGGCATTCAATCATTCAATGTTCCTTGGAAATCATGGGGGAAATTCGCGAAACACCGTGAACGGAAATGGAACCCTTCACATTCGCCACGCTCCAGAGTCCAGCAAGCCCGATGCTCCGACCAGCTTCAGTCTTCATTATGCCAACAGCATTTCATTATCGAAAATGCCTTGGCGCGGACGAGTTTGGACAATCTACTAGGGATTCTCGTAGACTTCCCCGCTGGCATTATCTCCATCTTTGCAAGTCCGATCGCGTCCGCGCTACCGTTTCCGCAGCAGCTTCGCGTCAGGGGGGTGATACAATGAAGGAGCACGCAAGAAATTGTGGAATGCGGGAACAAAGTCACGAAGCCTTGAAGCAAAGCGCGGGAGCGTGGCAGGATACTCCCGAGAAGGTCTTCGCAAAATCCGGTTGGTCAGGCGTGCGTCGCGCGGCCGTGGCAGCGGTGCATCGCTCGTGTGACGCGGCGGAGCACTGGGAACCGTGGCTCGGCGCGGTGCTGGAGGAGGATTCCAGGCGCAGGTGAGCAGTTGGCGCAGGCGCTGGAAGAAGAAGCGAAGCTAGGGTTGGGGTTTGCGGTACAAATCGTTGACGAAAACTGGAGCTTTGAGACGGGGGAAGAACCGTGAACCGTGCCAGGTCGGGCCAATATCAGGATGAGGGCGTGTCAGGTCGGGCCAATATCAGGATGAGGGCGTGTCAGGTCGGGCCAATATCAGGATGAGGGCGTGTCAGGTCGGGCCAATATCAGGATGAGGGCGTGTCAGGTCGGGCCAATATCATGACTCATGCATGCAGGGCCACATTGATAGAGTGACATAATGATGGTTACGGTATTTGGAATTCAGGGGTTCCTGCTGGACACTTCACCCACGGAATTCCTCCATGTAGCTTTCCCTGTGCAACCCCTCTGCCCTGTCCACCATCCTAGCCGAATGCTAGACGAGCTCACAGCCGCCCTGACAAGGGCGGGTGCCCCACCGGAGGAACAAGAAGGGGAGGCGGTGGGTTGGGGACGGGAGGGAGTGGGTAACGAGGAGTCTGGCGTGGTTGAAAGCGAAGGGGGTGAAGGCAGGGGTGAGGGGGAGGAGGCAAGAGCATCGGACAGGGGAGGCGCCGCGACATTGTTTCCGATGCTGCTGGGTGTGCCAGTGGCAGTGAAGGTGTGACCCCCTTTGCGATTATTACCCGGCCGCTCTTTTCTCTGGATTTTTCTCAGATCCCTTGGCACCAGGCAGGCACCAATCCACTTTGCAAAGCAGTCGTAACAACAGGCGACTGGATCATGCAATGCAAGGGATTGCAGGGACAGCATGTGTGAATGTGTCCCCTGGAACGTTCCCATGCGTGCGTGGCAGCAGGATCTGATCCACGTGGATGGCTTCTCCACCAGAGCAGGCGCGCTGCCAGGCTTCCCTGCACTGGACTCCGTATTGCAAATGCGGGAGGGCGAGGTGCGTGTGGGAGTAAAGTGAGGGAGGGGAGACGAGTCTCTGGAAGGCAAAGGCTGCGTGCAAGTTACATTCGCCTATCGTACCACATGGGTGGGTGGATGGATGCGTGCGACGGCCCCTGTCAGTTGGTGTTGTGTTGCAGTATTCCACACGGACTTGTTGCCTCTACTGTTGTTGCAACAAGTCTGTGTGGAACTGGGTTATGGCGTTTCTCACCATCTTCCTTTTTGGGGGCTTTTCATTCTGTCTGCTCGTGATCTGCAGATTATCCAACGGCTGAGGTCAGCTGGTGCACTCATTCTGGTCAGTCCATTCACATCGCACCCAATCTCGTGATAATCTGACGTTTTCACATCCCCTACCAATGTCTCCTCCTTGCACGGTACAGGTTCACTCACGTGTAGGATTTCACCAGTCTTGCAGTATGCGCTGGCCTTTTCTGTGCTATTCAGCTTTGCGTACCTTACCCTCTGTCCCCTCTCCTCAGCATACATTCATTCCCAATATATGCATGCAGCCACGACAGAATTCGCACCTTCCTCTCCTCTCCTCTATCGTCCTTTGTCCAGGGCAAGGCAGCCATGACAGAATTCGCCTACCGCCACCCGACTCGCACACACAACCCTCTTGCTCCAGTTGAGTCTCCTCCAACCTGGAATCAGCATCAGTGAATCTTCCCATGCCTGAGCCCAGTAGCGCCATCACACTACCACCACCACACTTCCTTCCATCATCATTCCCTCAATGTGCCCGATCTTGTCCGCTCTGTCTCTTGTCCGCACTGTCTCCTGTCCGCACTGTCTCCTGTCCGCACTGTCTCCTGTCCGCACTGTCTCCTGTCCGCACTGTCTCCTGTCCGCACTGTCTCCTGTCCGCACTGTCTCCTGTCCGCACTGTCTCCTGTCCGCACTGTCTCCTGTCCGCACTGTCTCCTGTCCGCACCGTCTCCTGTCCGCACCGTCTCCTGTCCGCACTGTCTCCTGTCCGCACTGTCTCCTGTCCGCACTGTCTCCTGTCCGCACTGTCTCCTGTCCGCACTGTCTCCTGTCCGCACTGTCTCCTGTCCGCACTGTCTCCTGTCCGCACTGTCTCCTGTCCGCACTGTCTCCTGTCCGCACTGTCTCCTGTCCGCACTGTCTCCTGTCCGCACTGTCTCCTGTCCGCACTGTCTCCTGTCCGCACTGTCTCCTGTCCGCACTGTCTCCTGTCCGCACTGTCTCCTGTCCGCTCTGTCTCCTGTCCGCACTGTCTCCTGTCCGCACTGTCTCCTGTCCGCTCTGTCTCCTGTCCGCACTGTCTCCTGTCCGCACTGTCTCCTGTCCGCACTGTCTCCTGTCCGCACTGTCTCCTGTCCGCACTGTCTCCTGTCCGCACTGTCTCCTGTCCGCTCTGTCTCCTGTCCGCACTGTCTCCTGTCCGCACTGTCTCCTGTCCGCACTGTCTCCTGTCCGCTCTGTCTCCTGTCCGCACTGTCTCCTGTCCGCACTGTCTCCTGTCCGCACTGTCTCCTGTCCGCTCTGTCTCCTGTCCGCACTGTCTCCTGTCCGCACTGTCTCCTGTCCGCACTGTCTCCTGTCCGCTCTGTCTCCTGTCCGCACTGTCTCCTGTCCGCACTGTCTCCTGTCCGCACTGTCTCCTGTCCGCACTGTCTCCTGTCCGCACTGTCTCCTGTCCGCTCTGTCTCCTGTCCGCACTGTCTCCTGTCCGCACTGTCTCCTGTCCGCTCTGTCTCCTGTCCGCACTGTCTCCTGTCCGCACTGTCTCCTGTCCGCTCTGTCTCCTGTCCGCACTGTCTCCTGTCCGCTCTGTCTCCTGTCCGCACTGTCTCCTGTCCGCACTGTCTCCTGTCCGCACTGTCTCCTGTCCGCTCTGTCTCCTGTCCGCACTGTCTCCTGTCCGCACTGTCTCCTGTCCGCACTGTCTCCTGTCCGCTCTGTCTCCTGTCCGCTCTGTCTCCTGTCCGCTCTGTCTCCTGTCCGCACTGTCTCCTGTCCGCACTGTCTCCTGTCCGCACTGTCTCCTGTCCGCACTGTCTCCTGTCCACACTGTCTCCTGTCCGCACTGTCTCCTGTCCGCACTGTCTCCTGTCCGCACTGTCTCCTGTCCGCACTGTCTCCTGTCCGCACTGTCTCCTGTCCGCACTGTCTCCTGTCCGCACTGTCTCCTGTCCGCACTGTCTCCTGTCCGCACTGTCTCCTGTCCGCACTGTCTCCTGTCCGCTACTGTCTCCTGTCCGCACTGTCTCCTGTCCGCACTGTCTCCTGTCCGCTCTGTCTCCTGTCCGCTCTGTCTCCTGTCCGCTCTGTCTCCTGTCCGCACTGTCTCCTGTCCGCACTGTCTCCTGTCCGCACTGTCTCCTGTCCGCACTGTCTCCTGTCCGCACTGTCTCCTGTCCGCACTGTCTCCTGTCCGCACTGTCTCCTGTCCGCACTGTCTCCTGTCCGCACTGTCTCCTGTCCGCACTGTCTCCTGTCCGCACTGTCTCCTGTCCGCTCTGTCTCCTGTCCGCACTGTCTCCTGTCCGCACTGTCTCCTGTCCGCACTGTCTCCTGTCCGCACTGTCTCCTGTCCGCACTGTCTCCTGTCCGCACTGTCTCCTGTCCGCACTGTCTCTTGTCCGCACTGTCTCCTGTCCGCACTGTCTCCTGTCCGCACTGTCTCTTGTCCGCACTGTCTCTTGTCCGCACTGTCTCTTGTCCGCACTGTCTCTTGTCCGCACTGTCTCTTGTCCGCACTGTCTCTTGTCCGCACTGTCTCTTGTCCGCACTGTCTCCTGTCCGCTCTGTCTCCTGTCCGCACTGTCTCCTGTCCGCTCTGTCTCCTGTCCGCTCTGTCTCCTGTCCGCTCTGTCTCCTGTCCGCTCTGCCTCATCTTCTGCCGTTTTGCCTCGCCTTCTCCCGCTCTTGTCACCTTCTCCCGCTCATCATCTCCTCCATCTACTCCCTCCCAGTCCTTCACGCCTGGAGGCTCCAGCAGCGGGTCAGCAGCAGCTGTTGCAGCAGGCATCTGTCCGCTGGCCCTCGGTTAGTCTCCCTCCTCCTGCTCCCTCCCCTTGCTCTCTCCTCCCTTCACCTCCTCTCTTCTGCTTCTCCTCTTCCACACCTACCTCTCACCCCTAATGCCACCTCTTGTCCCCGCTCTCCCTCTCCTCTGCTGCTGTCTCCCCTCCCTCAACAACCCCCTCCCCACTCCGCAGCATCACAGACGTGTGCATCCATCTCCCGCCCTGCAGCTTTCACAGCCACAGTGGGCTTTAAGCCATCGCACCACCGCCTCCCCGCCTCTGGCTGTGTTTCGGTCAGCACCCCAGCCCAACCCTCTCTTCCTCTCGCCCCCTCGTTCTCCGCCGCACGTGCTGAGTACATGGTTGTGATAAACACCGTGCTCAAATGGTCTGTGGCTGATGCAAGCTTGCGTGCATGCATGCACTCGTCCACCTCACTCGCATCACCTGCTGCTCGCTTTTGAGAAGGCAAAACACTGCATGACCCACTTGGAAGCGCATACGCTCTATGTCCCCCCATGCAGCCATCGCACTCCCTGGACCAGTTTGGAGTCATCTCAGCCTCAGTGCGCTGGGCGGCACTCTGTGTATCTTGACAACCTCATCCCCACCCCACCCCCACACTCTCCCCCCAGTGCAGCCATCGCCCTCCCTGGACCAGTTTGGAGTCATCTCAGCCTCAGTGCGCTGGGCTGCACTCTGGGGACAGGCCGTGGTGCCCCACTGGCGCCCCCCAACCCCCTCTGCGGCAGTGCACGGTAAGCTGCACTCGCCTTCTCCCCATCTCCTCTGCCCTCGCCTGTAACCCATGTGCCTGTGCCTTTTCGTTTAGAAGCACCTCTGGGGCAGTGGCTCCCGCAACCACCATCACCGCTGTTGACCGCACTCAACTCGACTCCTCGTCCCTGCTCCCTCTCCTGCACCTCACCTGCCTGTCTATCTGCCTGCAAACAACCCCTCCAGAGCCCCGCTGTGTGGCAGTCCCTGAGGGGCCGCTGCTGGAGCAGTGTGAGCGGGGCCCAGCGTGGGAGGCGTTTCAGCAGCTGCTGGTGCAGATGAGGGCAAGCAGGTGTGCGGGGTTTGAGGGAAATAGGTGATCTGCACCATACCATTATCCCTGTCACCTCCCTCCCTCGTCTCTTGTCGCTTATCCATCCATCCATGCTTCCTCTCCTCCCATCATCCCCAACATCTCCCTGCAACGTTTCCTTAATGGCTGCCCTGCCTGACAGTGCATGGAAGGTGGTGTCGCTGCCCTGCCTTGACGACTTGCAGCGGATCAAAGAGTAGGATCCAGCCATGCCACGCCACGCCTGCCATGCCATGCCATGCCACGCCACACCTGCCATGCCATGCCACGCCTGCCATGCCATGCCATGCCACACCTGCCATGCCATTCTGTGCTGCACTTCACACCAAAATAGTGAGACACACGCCATGTGACGTGGTGTCACACAGAGATATTCCACACTAACTATCCGTTCCATCACGCTTCACCCTGCTACATGCCTCTCTGCGCCACACAAGCTTTTTGCCACACGCATAGGAAAGTGCTCACGGATCTCCTCCCTCGCCATCGCAGGTCCCACCTGGCTCTCATGGCGTTTGAATATGCCCGCTTTATCGATTCCCTCCACCTGCCTGACCTGCCGTCTCTTGTTTCCCCGCCTGTAAGCACAGCGCACACCGCACACCACCCACCACCCACCACCCACCACCAGTGCTACAAAACAAATGCCTGCTGCTGTTATGTTCACCCCACATGCGCCATGCCTGTATGCGCCTTGCAGAATCTCCTGAGCTAGTGTCACGGGTGGAGCATGCATGGTGTGCGAGCATTGCAGCATCAGCATCAGCATCAGCATCAGCATCAGCATCAGAATCCCATCAGCATCAGCATCAGCATCAGCATCAGCATCAGCATCAGCATCAGCATCAGCATCCCATCAGCATCAGCATCAGCATCCCATTAGCATCAGCATCAGCATCAGCATCAGCATCAGCATCAGCATCAGCATCAGCATTAGCATCAGCATCAGCATCGCATCAGCATCAGCATCAGCATCAGCATCAGCATCAGCATCAGCATCAGCATCGCATCAGCATCAGCATCAGCATCAGCATCAGCATCAGCATCGCATCAGCATCAGCATCAGCATCAGCATCAGCGTCATCGTCAGCATCAGCATCAGCATCAGCATAAGATCAGCATAAGCATCAGCATCAGCATCAGCATCCCATCAGAATCAGCATCGCATCAGCATCAGCATCAGCATCAGCATCAGCATCGCATCAGCATCGCATCAGCATCAGCATCAGCATCAGCATCGCATCAGCATCAGCATCAGCATCAGCATCAGCATCAGCATCATATCAGCATCAGCATCCCATCAGCATCAGCATCAGCATCACATCAGCATCAGCATCAGCATCAGCATCAGCATCACATCAGCATCAGCATCAGCATCAGCATCAGCATCAGCATCCCATCAGCATCAGCATCAGCATCCCATTAGCATCAGCATCAGCATCAGCATCAGCATCAGCATCAGCATCAGCATCAGCATGAGCATGAGCATGAGCATCACATCAGCATCAGCATCAGCATCAGCATCAGCATCACATCAGCATCAGCATCAGCATCAGCATCAGCATCAGCATCACATCAGCATCAGCATCAGCATCAGCATCAGCATCAGCATCGCATCAGCATCAGCATCAGCATCAGCATCAGCATCAGCATCAGCATCAGCATCAGCATCGCATCAGCATCAGCATCAGCATCAGCATCAGCATCATATCAGCATCAGCATCCCATCAGCATCAGCATCAGCATCAGCATGAGCATCACATCAGCATCAGCATCAGCATCAGCATCAGCATCAGCATCACATCAGCATCAGCATCAGCATCAGCATCCTATCAGCATTAGCATTAGCATCAGCATCAGCATCAGCATCAGCATCACATCAGCATCAGCATCAGCATCACATCAGCATCAGCATCAGCATCAGCATCAGCATCAGCATCGCATCAGCATCAGCATCAGCATCAGCATCAGCATCAGCATCATATCAGCATCAGCATCCCATCAGCATCAGCATCAGCATCAGCATCAGCATCAGCATCAGCATCAGCATCACATCAGCATCAGCATCAGCATCAGCATCAGAATCCCATCAGCATCAGCATCAGCATCAGCATCAGCATCAGCATCAGCATCAGCATCAGCATGAGCATGAGCATGAGCATGAGCTTGAGCATCAGCATCAGCATCAGCATCAGCATCAGCGTCAGCATCAGCATTAGCATCCCATCAGAATCAGCATCGCATCAGCATCAGCATCAGCATCAGCATCAGCATGAGCATCAGCATGAGCATCACATCAGCATCAGCATCAGCATCAGCATCAGCATCAGCATCACATCAGCATCAGCATCAGCATCAGCATCCTATCAGCATCCCATCAGCATTAGCATTAGCATCAGCATCAGCATCAGCATCGCATCAGCATCAGCATCAGCATCAGCGTCATCGTCAGCATCAGCATCAGCATCAGCATAAGATCAGCATAAGCATCAGCATCAGCATCAGCATCCCATCAGAATCAGCATCGCATCAGCATCAGCATCAGCATCAGCATCAGCATCAGCATCGCATCAGCATCGCATCAGCATCAGCATCAGCATCAGCATCAGCATCAGCATCAGCATCGCATCAGCATCAGCATCAGCATCATATCAGCATCAGCATCCCATCAGCATCAGCATCAGCATCACATCAGCATCAGCATCACCATCAGCATCAGCATCACATCAGCATCAGCATCAGCATCAGCATCAGCATCAGCATCAGCATCCCATCAGCATCAGCATCAGCATCCCATTAGCATCAGCATCAGCATCAGCATCAGCATCAGCATCAGCATCAGCATCAGCATGAGCATGAGCATGAGCATGAGCATCAGCTCAGCATCAGCATCAGCATCAGCATCAGCATCACATCAGCATCAGCATCAGCATCAGCATCAGCATCAGCATCACATCAGCATCAGCATCAGCATCAGCATCAGCATCAGCATCAGCATCGCATCAGCATCAGCATCAGCATCAGCATCAGCATCAGCATCAGCATCAGCATCAGCATCAGCATCAGCATTAGCATCAGCATCAGCATCAGCATCAGCATCGCATCAGCATCAGCATCAGCATCAGCATCAGCATCAGCATCAGCATCAGCATCAGCATCGCATCAGCATCAGCATCAGCATCAGCATCAGCATCAGCGTCATCGTCAGCATCAGCATCAGCATCAGCATAAGATCAGCATAAGCATCAGCATCAGCATCAGCATCCCATCAGAATCAGCATCGCATCAGCATCAGCATCAGCATCAGCATCAGCATCAGCATCGCATCAGCATCGCATCAGCATCAGCATCAGCATCAGCATCAGCATCAGCATCGCATCAGCATCAGCATCAGCATCAGCATCAGCATCAGCATCATATCAGCATCAGCATCCCATCAGCATCAGCATCAGCATCACATCAGCATCAGCATCAGCATCAGCATCAGCATCAGCATCACATCAGCATCAGCATCAGCATCAGCATCAGCATCAGCATCCCATCAGCATCAGCATCAGCATCCCATTAGCATCAGCATCAGCATCAGCATCAGCATCAGCATCAGCATCAGCATCAGCATGAGCATGAGCATGAGCATCACATCAGCATCAGCATCAGCATCAGCATCAGCATCACATCAGCATCAGCATCAGCATCAGCATCAGCATCAGCATCAGCATCACATCAGCATCAGCATCAGCATCAGCATCAGCATCAGCATCAGCATCGCATCAGCATCAGCATCAGCATCAGCATCAGCATCAGCATCAGCATCAGCATCAGCATCAGCATCAGCATCAGCATCAGCATCGCATCAGCATCAGCATCAGCATCAGCATCAGCATCATATCAGCATCAGCATCCCATCAGCATCAGCATCAGCATCAGCATGAGCATCACATCAGCATCAGCATCAGCATCAGCATCAGCATCAGCATCAGCATCACATCAGCATCAGCATCAGCATCAGCATCCTATCAGCATCCCATCAGCATTAGCATTAGCATCAGCATCAGCATCAGCATCACATCAGCATCAGCATCAGCATCACATCAGCATCAGCATCAGCATCAGCATCAGCATCAGCATCGCATCAGCATCAGCATCAGCATCAGCATCAGCATCAGCATCATATCAGCATCAGCATCCCATCAGCATCAGCATCAGCATCAGCATCAGCATCAGCATCAGCATCAGCATCACATCAGCATCAGCATCAGGATCAGCATCAGAATCCCATCAGCATCAGCATCAGCATCAGCATCAGCATCAGCATCAGCATCAGCATCAGCATCAGCATGAGCATGAGCATGAGCATGAGCATGAGCATGAGCATGAGCATGAGCTTGAGCATCAGCATCAGCATCAGCATCAGCATCAGCATCAGCATCAGCGTCAGCATCAGCATTAGCATCCCATCAGAATCAGCATCGCATCAGCATCAGCATCAGCATCAGCATCAGCATCAGCATCAGCATCAGCATCACATCAGCATCAGCATCAGAATCCCATCAGCATCAGCATCAGCATCAGCATCAGCATCAGCATCAGCATCAGCATCAGCATCAGCATCAGCATGAGCATGAGCATGAGCATGAGCTTGAGCATCAGCATCAGCATCAGCATCAGCATCAGCATCAGCATCAGCATTAGCATCCCACCAGAATCAGCATCGGATCAGCATCAGCATCAGCATCAGCATCAGCATCAGCATGAGCATCAGCATGAGCATCACATCAGCATCAGCATCAGCATCAGCATCAGCATCAGCATCAGCATCACATCAGCATCAGCATCAGCATCAGCATCCTATCAGCATCCCATCAGCATTAGCATTAGCATCAGCATCAGCATCAGCATCAGCATCAGCATCAGCATCAGCATCACATCAGCATCAGCATCAGCATCAGCATCAGAATCCCATCAGCATCAGCATCAGCATCAGCATCAGCATCAGCATCAGCATCAGCATCAGCATGAGCATGAGCATGAGCATGAGCTTGAGCATCAGCATCAGCATCAGCATCAGCATCAGCGTCAGCATCAGCATTAGCATCCCATCAGAATCAGCATCGCATCAGCATCAGCATCAGCATCAGCATCGGCATGAGCATCAGCATGAGCATCACATCAGCATCAGCATCAGCATCAGCATCAGCATCAGCATCAGCATCAGCATCACATCAGCATCAGCATCAGCATCCTATCAGCATCCCATCAGCATTAGCATTAGCATCAGCATCAGCATCAGCATCAGCATCAGCATCAGCATCAGCATCAGCATCACATCAGCATCAGCATCAGCATCAGCATCAGCATCAGAATCCCATCAGCATCAGCATCAGCATCAGCATCAGCATCAGCATCAGCATCAGCATCAGCATCAGCATGAGCATGAGCATGAGCATGAGCTTGAGCATCAGCATCAGCATCAGCATCAGCATCAGCATCAGCATCAGCATTAGCATCCCATCAGAATCAGCATCGCATCAGCATCAGCATCAGCATCAGCATCAGCATCAGCATCAGCATCAGCATCAGCATGAGCATCAGCATGAGCATCACATCAGCATCAGCATCAGCATCAGCATCAGCATCAGCATCAGCATCACATCAGCATCAGCATCAGCATCAGCATCCTATCAGCATCCCATCAGCATTAGCATTAGCATCAGCATCAGCATCAGCATCAGCATCAGCATCAGCTTCAGCATCAGCATCAGCATCAGCATCAGCATCAGCATCACATCAGCATCAGCATCAGCATCAGCATCAGAATCCCATCAGCATCAGCATCAGCATCAGCATCAGCATCAGCATCAGCATCAGCATCAGCATCAGCATCAGCATGAGCATGAGCATGAGCATGAGCATCAGCATCAGCATCAGCATCAGCATCAGCATCAGCGTCAGCATCAGCATTAGCATCCCATCAGAATCAGCATCGCATCAGCATCAGCATCAGCATCAGCATCAGCATCAGCATGAGCATCAGCATGAGCATCACATCAGCATCAGCATCAGCATCAGCATCAGCATCAGCATCACATCAGCATCAGCATCAGCATCAGCATCCTATCAGCATCCCATCAGCATTAGCATTAGCATCAGCATCAGCATCAGCATCAGCATCAGCATCAGCATCAGCATCAGCATCAGCATCACATCAGCATCAGCATCAGCATCAGCATCAGAATCCCATCAGCATCAGCATCAGCATCAGCATCAGCATCAGCATCAGCATCAGCATCAGCATCAGCATCAGCATCACATCAGCATCAGCATCAGCATCAGCATCCTATCAGCATCCCATCAGCATTAGCATTAGCATCAGCATCAGCATCACATCACATCAGCATCAGCATCAGCATCAGCATCAGCATCAGCATCAGCATCAGCATCAGCATTAGCATCAGCATTATCTTGGGCACATCTCAATGCACCACTCGCATAGCATATGTTCTCATAGCCTATGTTCTCATAGCCTATGTTCTCATAGCCTATGTTCTCATAGCCTATGTTCTCATAGCCTATGTTCTCATAGCCTATGTTCTCATAGCCTATGTTCTCATAGCCTATGTTCTCATAGCCTATGTTCTCATAGCCTATGTTCTCATAGCCTATGTTCTCATAGCCTATGTTCTCATAGCCTATGTTCTCATAGCCTATGTTCTCATAGCCTATGTTCTCATAGCCTATGTATGTTCTCATAGCCTATGTTCTCATAGCCTATGTTCTCATAGCCTATGTTCTCATAGCCTATGTTCTCATAGCCTATGTTCACGTACTATGTAGCTCATTCAGTCCATTCATAGCCCATGTGATGGCCTGTGTCCTCTCTCCCTCGCCAGCTCATGGAGCTAATCTTGACTGGGCGAGGGGTGACAGAGGAGGAGGCGGCAGCAGGCAGGGCGTCGTGTGTGGCACTGCGGCATGCACTGCAGCAGCAGCTGAGGCAGGCTGGGGCTGAGGCCGTCATCGCCCCTGCTGCCACCGGCTTCACTCCACCCGTGCATCAAGGTGTGGGGAACAGAGGGGATCTATCAAAGTCATAACTTATATTGCTCTCGTCTCTACAATGCTTGCTACGGTACCTCTCCTGTCACTCAGGCGTGTGGTTGTGGTTGCCATGAGTGCCTTGAGGTGGATGTTGCCCCTCTCGTCCCATACGCCCGCACTCCCCAGCAGGCACGACAGGAGACCCTATCATGTCCATCCCCTGGAGCCACTCCGGTCTGTCCACTGTCACCATGCCAGTCGCCCTGAGTGATTTTTGCATGACTCCAGATGTGCCTGTTATGTGTCGCCCCCATCCTTTCTTATGATCGCACTCCCTCGCACCTGCCCCCACCAGGCACGACAGGAGATCCCATCATGTCCATCCCGTGGAGCCATGCTGGTCTGCCCACTGTCACCATGCCAGTCGCCCTCACACCTGCTGCAGCTGCTGGCAGCACTCGCGACGGTGGTTCAGTGCATGAATTCAGTGAGGAGAGTAATGAAGAGTGCAGCAGGGAGGGCAGCAGGGAGTATCTTTCAGTGGGAGTCACGCTGGTTGGGATGTGGAACAAGGATGAGACACTGTTGGACGTTGCATTGGAGCTTGAACGCTTTCTTGATTGCATTTCACCATTGTGAACCAATATAGATTATCCGGGAATGTTACAAAACCATGCATACCGTAGATTTTTTTTTCCTTGCTCATACAACTGCAGGGCTGCTTCCTCAATCAACTTTGCGTCCGTCAATAACATAGATTGCCTACCCCCTGCAGGTCAGTCCTGCAATCCCACAGAAGTGCGCCAAGCCTCCACACACCCACCTGTCAAGTGTGTGTACGCCGTCCCCTCGTACTTGATCTCAATCCCTGGGATCTCCTCTCCTTCTTGACCCACTAGGCCATTGGAGTTGGCGCTGCGGGGAAGGGGAGTAGTGTTATCCGCATCAGCACCAGCAGCAGGGGCAGCAGTGATGGCAGAAGCTCCCGAGGGCTGTGTGGCAGCGAGTGAAGCAGCTGGGGGAAGGGCTGGGTGGGAGTGACCTTCACGATCCCCATCTGTCCCATTATGCTCGGCTCAGCTGACCTGGCTCTGTTCTGGGGCGAAGGTAGTTTGGGCTTGGAGAAGTGTGCTTGCAGGTCTCATTTGTGATCAGGAGCTGCTTAGGATAGTGTAGTAGATTCCCTTGTGTAATTACCGTCTCATTGGTCCACTCCACCCTCAAAACTGAGCATTTCCATCCATGCAAGCAATTGTTGTAAAGGTATTGACGGTACACAATGGAACATATACCAGTAAGTTGCTGCTGGGCTGTGCTTTAATGAATGACATCAAAGTAACGTTGGACTGGTACTGCTTCTACTCAAAGAGACACACTGCTGAGAGTGCGTAAGAGAGACCAGTGCTGAGGTGAGGCAACTAGCAACTACACATTGGATCCAAATCTGATGGTGGGATCACTACCAGAGCAGCAGGTGTGCAGGCAGTGCCACGTACCACACCCCTTCCTCCTCTTTCCTCCTCCCTCAAACGCATGCAGATTGCACGCCACACCATGGCATGCCACACCATGGCATGCCACACCATGGCATGCCACACAATGCCATCTCACACCATGGCATTCCCCATCGGAGCACTTCACATCCCGATTAACAATGCCATGGCAGAAAGGGCGAGCATCTGTGGATCTGAAGATAAAGCGGTTGACACTTCAACCACCTAGCAGTTGACACTTGGAGAACTTAGCTTGCAACTAGGGAGATAGGGGAGGAGATTTTAGGGGAGGAGATTATGCAGACACATTTGTCAACATGTTTAATGAGCTTTCACCCGTCCAATCTTCAATCACTCACCTCAGATGTGATCCCTTTCACTCACCTCAGATGTGATCCCTTTCACTAACATCAGATGTGATCCCTTTCACTAACATCAGATGTGATCCCTTTCACTCACCTCAGATGTGATCCCTTTCACTCACCTCAGATGTGATCCCTTTCACTCACCTCAGATGTGATCCCTTTCACTCACCTCAGATGTGATCCCTTTCAGTCACCTTACACCAGGAAGATGGGGGGGGAGCGGGAAAGGGAGGGTGGAAAGGGGAGGGCGGAAAGGGGTGGGGGGGAGGGGGCGGAAAGGAGGGAGGGGTGTTGAGGGGGGGGGAAGGGAAAAAATGGGCGCTTTCCCCTTTCGCCAGTCCTCTCCGTCCATTCCCCCTCTTCTCCCCTCCGCTCCGCCCACCTTCGTCTTTCTTCTCCCCTCCACTCACCTCCCCTCCGCTCCCGTCCTCCCTTTTTCCCGTCTTGCGTCCAGGCTGGGACCATCGACACGCACTCAAGTCCTGGAAGAAGATGAGGGGAGCGCAGAAAGGGGAGAGGAAAAGCGGAAAGGGGAGGGATACTTAAAGGGTAGGGGAAAAGCGGAAAGGGTAGGAGAAAAGCGGAAATAAGAGGGGAAATGGGCGCTTCCCCCTTCCTCCAGTCCGTCCATTTCCCCCTATTCTGCCCTCCGCTCACCTCCACCTACCTCCACTCACCTCCCGTCCTCCTTTTCCGCGTCTCGCGACCAGAAAACAGTCAACGATCTGAAGTCACGAGGGGGAAGGCGTAAAGGGGAAGGCGAAGGGGAAATTACCGTCGCCTCCACTCACCTCCTTTTCCGCGTCTTGCGTCCAAGATACCGTCGACGCTGTGAAGTAGACAAAACGCGCTGTCTAATTGACGAAGCGCGAGTCGCTACTGATGCGTCAGAAATCGACGCTACTAATTCGTCTGCTACGAATGTTACTATTTCGCCCGCTACTACCATGTGGATAGAAGTCATATCTGGAGCGCGCAACTTAGACTGTCTTACTGAGACTGCGATATTTATTCAGATCTGATACTGCTAGCATACCAATAGAAGCGTAAAGCGATTAGAAATAAGCACGACCGAGAGCGTGAGCTACATAAAATATTTCGCTGTCATGAAAAGCTGTACTTAGATCGACTACCGCGCAGAGATCTGTCTTCATAAAAAATAACTATCGAGACTAACGAGATGCGTGGCGAAACTACTACTAAATCCAAGTTAGTGTGTGAGCTAATGGAAGTCACATACATCTGGGAAATGGCGGGTGAAGTAATGGTGGCAGGTTCGGAGTACCAGGTCCGGTGGTCGTGCCAGGGTGTCAAAAACATCTTCATTCCATTGGCTCGCGTAATTGTTTTCTCATCCATCCATTGTTATTCCAGCTGCCCGAGCAGGTACAGGAGGATGAGAGTGAGCCAGCTGACTTTTCCTGAACCAAAGCCGTCCCGCACCTCACGCAAAACCCACGCGGCTCAAAAAACTTACGGCGCAAACCAACTAAAGATAGCGCCACGTCAACCACCTCTTAGAAAGCTCGAGCCTATCCTTGCTGTTGCACACCAGCGTGCGCAACAAACCTCCCCAACTACCAATCCTCGCCTTTGGCAAACGCGTTTGCATACGGACAAGTCAATCCGATTTGTATAACCCGAATGTGCAAAATGAAAGTGCTGTATTTCTTGGGTTGAACTGGATGGACAAGGCGGCAGCACAATTTCAGCCACCTCAAACTGTTCTTCACGCGCGGCTCGACGAATGACCCCCTGGTCCCCTGCCACATTGTCGGCACCGCAGAATATACCACACATTCACATAAGTGGTCCATCACACAATCCACCACACCTTCCCACCGTTGCGGTCGACTGCACCACCACTATCCATCCATTCACAGCACACTGTACTTTTTCGCACCGCGCGCATAGCCTGGTGCCAGGAATCAGGAATTCCCTCCCACACGGCGGCAGCACAGCATGGTGTCTCAAAACCGCATTTGGTTTCAATTCCCTCTCGCACGCCGTCAGAGCCGCCGTTCAGAATGGCGGATTTGTATCCACCAATCAGCAGCAAGCTTATCCTTCTGTTTCAGCAGCTACCTTTTGCTTGCATCTCCCTCGAGCATCTCATCCGCTCCATGTTATCTAGCGATGATGCGTTTGTGTAGTTCTTTTTCTCGAAGCTCCAATCCCAATGAGCTCATCCGGATAGTACACGGGGAAGCCAAGGCATGCGGCGGCGTTGAGTTAGAGAGTCGGGTGTGGGGTGGGTGGGTAGATGTCGTGAGGAGTGAGCTGCTAATTGCCTTGGCTGAACTGTGTACTATACCGAGATTTCCGCGGCAACCTTTTCACCGCGAAATCTGCACCGCCATATCTAAGTGGCGCGAGCATATCTGCAAGGTCTTCATTACACGAACTTCACGCGAAGAATATATGCGGCAAAATTCTCGCAACGAAGTCTATGCGCCGAGCACAGAAAGGACTTCGAGAGCTTCAAAGTGAAGCACGGCGCCTCTTCTGCTGACTCAAAATGCTGCTTTTGCGGCCTCTCCCGTCGTTGCGGCGATTCCAGTCTTCACCAACACAATGACGGCCACCTGAATAGAAGACCGTTGTGTGACCTGAAGCCGATTGCTCTCAAGCTTCTACAAGCGGGACGCACTCAAGCCCAACCCGAAGTGAAGATTGCCAATTGGCGATCACTCACCGTCGCCGCTAAAGGCGCTTCTTGTTGAAGTAAGTCATGCCGGATCATTGTCGCTGGTCTTTTCTTCGGTTCTTCTTTTTACCAACTCTTCTTTTCAGACGCAAGCCATGCCGGAAGCGGATAGGAGCTTCGACCGTCGCTGTCGTCTTCATGACGGAAGCACTCAAGCATAACCGGAAGAACGCCTTCAAGCATAACCGGAAGAACGCCTTCAAGCATAACCGGAAGAACGCCTTCAAGCATAACCGGAAGAACGCCTTCAAGCATAACCGGAAGAATGACTTCAAGCCCAGCCCGTCACCAACTGTTCGCCAACCGTCACCAATGGCGGACTTGTGGACTTGGTTGGGGTACGTAAACCGAGTTGGACTTTAGATTTAACTTTGTTGAGTCGTACTAATGAGTTTCCTTTTTTCTTTTCAGGCCTTTGCGACCTCATTGGCGACCGTCTATGTGACCTCTTGGCGACCGTCTCTGCGACCTTGGCGACCGTCTATGGAACCTCATTGGCGACCGTCTATGCGACCTCTTTGGCGACCGCCTTTGCGACCTCTTCGGCGACCGTCTCATGCTCACAAGATCGCGAAGCTTTCAAGCATTGGCGCCGCTACGGATGCATTCAAGGTCGCCTCGCCGACCGTCGCCAATGGCGGACTTTACGCCAATGGTTTGGGGTACGTAAATCACTTCAAACTTTTGCTTCGAGTAACTTCGGTTTTTTTTTTAACAAGTACTTGTATCTCGCCTTTTTCCTTTTTCAGACCTCGGCGACCTTCTTTGCGACAGTCATGGCCATTGTCTACGCGACCTCATTGGCGACCGTCTATGTGACCTCTTTGGCGACCGTCTATGGAACCTTATTGGCGACCGTCCATGCAACCTCATTGGCGACCGTCTCATGCAACCTCATTGGCGACCGTCTCATCCTCACAAGATCGCGAGAGGCGCTACGGAAGCTTTCAAGCATTGGCGCCGCTACGGATGCATTCAAGGTCGCCTCGCCAACCGTCGCGTCGCCGACCGTCGCCAATGGCGGACTTGACGCCAATAGTTTGGAGTACGTAAATCACTTCGAGCTTTTGCTTCGAGTAACTTCGGTTTTTTTTTTTTACAAGTACTTATATCTCGCCTTTTCCCTTTTCAGACCTCGGCAACCTTCTTTGCGACAGTCATGGCCACCGTCTATGCGACCTCTTTGGCGACCGCCTCTGCGACCTTGGCGACCGTCTATGGAACCTTATTGGCGACCGTCTATGCAACCTCATTGGCGACCGTCTCATGCAACCTCATTGGCGACCGTCTCATCCTCACAAGATCGCGAGAGGCGCTGCGGAAGCTTTCAAGCATTGGCGCGGCTACGGATGCATTCAAGGTCGCCTCGCCAACCGTCGCCTCGCCGACCGTCGCCAATGGTGGACTTGACGCCAATAGTTTGGAGTACGTAAATCACTTCGAACTCGGCGACAGTCATGGCGACCGTCTTGGCGACCGAAGATGGCCGAGACACGAAAGCTCCGCAGTCACCGATGCAGTCACGATGCTCCTGACGCCAAGTCCTGACGCCGGATGGCGGCCATGCGGACCCATGACGCTTCTTCGGGCGCGTCTCACGGCGGACGGCTCATCGGAGGCGCTTGGCAACGCTTCGATTCGCTACAAGCTGCGCCTCTCGCGGAGGACTCTCTCTGACCTCGTAAGTTTCAGTTTCAGTTTTCGTTGCCTTGTCTTCCGGATTCTAACTACTATGTTGTGTTCTCTCTCTTTTAGTGCAAGGAGGGGCTGAAGCGGGAGTCAACGGTGGCGGCGGGAGTTCAAGCTACCACGGGGGACTCCCACTCTCTCTCTTTGTAAGTCTCAGTTTCAGTTTTCATTGCTTTTATTTTCCGGATCCTAACTACTTTCTTGTGTTCTCCCTCTTTTAGTGCAGCAGGAGAAAAGCGGAGTCAACGGTTGCGGCGGGAGTTCAAGCTACCACGGGGGACTCCCTCTCTCTCGTAGTAAGTTTCAGTTTCAGTTTTCATTGCTTCTATTTTCCGGATTCTAACTACTTTCTTGTGTTCTCCCTCTTTTAGTGCAGCAGGAGAAAAGCGGGAGTCAACGGTTGCGGCTTGAGTTCAAGCTACCACGGGGGACTCCCTCTCTCTCTCTCTCTTTGTAAGTTTCAGTTTCAGTTTTCATTGCTTCTATTTTCCGGATTCTAACTACTTTCTTGTGTTCTCCCTCTTTTAGTGCAGCAGGAGAAAAGCGGAGTCAACGGTTGCGGCGGGAGTTCAAGCTACCACGGGGGACTCCCTCTCTCTCTTAGTAAGATTCAGTTTCAGTTTTCATTGCTTCTATTTTCCGGATTCTAACTACTTTCTTGTGTTCTCCCTCTTTTAGTGCAGCAGGAGAAAAGCGGAGTCAACGGTTGCGGCGGGAGTTCAAGCTACCACGGGGGACTCCGTCTTTCTTTGTAAGTCTCAGTTTCAGTTTTCCTCGATTATTTTTTCCGGATTCTAACTACTATGTTGTGTTCTCTCTCTTTTAGTGCAGAAGAAGGCGGAAGCGGGAGTCAACGGTGGCAGCAGGAGTTCAAGCTACCACGGGGGACTCCCTCTTTCTTGGTAAGTTTCAGTTTCAGTTTTCCATTATTTTTTTCTTCTGGAGACTAACGTTTTGTTGTGTGCTCCATCGCAGGAGCGGCGTGAGCGGGAGACAACAGCGCTGGTAACGACGCGAGAGGTCAACGGCGTTGACCGAGCTTGGACGGCGCTGGCGGGGAGCAACGGCGCTGGCGGCACTTCACAGCTTTCCTCTCCTCTCTTCTTCCAGTGCCCCGTGTCAGGTTGAGAGACAACAAGTACGGGGATCAACTTCAACTCGTCTACGACGTTAGACTAGACTCGTTACAGACGGACACGATACAGACTTGCGTAGAACCGACCACGGAACAGACTGATAGACTCGAACCGAAAAGCCCGGCACGGTATGCCGCGGTTGGGTGGGTTTCGACGGGGTCTGCGGTTGGGTGGGTTTCGATGGGGTCCGGGGTTGGGTGGTTTCGATGGGGACCGTGGCTCACTTTTTAAAGCCGCGGTGCAACTATCTTAGGAACAGTGACAAGCCGGGTTTTGTCTTGTTCCGTACTGGTAGTCAATTGGCCAGCGAGTGTGTAAGTTGTGTTGCGATGAAAACATCCAAGGCGAATGTCGCGAACCTCGAAAGGAAAAGTGGGGGGGAAGGGGTGGGGGGAAGGGAAGGGGGGAACACACACGAAACGGGAAATGGGACCACATCAACACCCCCATACTCCCTTTCGCTGATTGTTCTGCCAATAACACCTCCACATAGCAAAACGATAAACCTTATGTTTCATAAAAGCTTTGCAAAATACATATTTCACTTACAAGGTTTATTTTGGTTTATTTATCCATCCATTTGCAAGAGTATTATTTATAATGGGGAGAAAGAACATCAAATGTACAGACATGCAAGACTTGGAATGTCATATTGAAATCCTTATCATGCAAAGGATCGCAAGCAAACAACATGGCATAATCCAAGGAGAGCCGATTTTTACACTACGATCCACTATTGGTGCAGCTGTTCATTTACAGGGAGGAGGGGGGAGGGGAAAAGGGGAAGGAAACGTTGCGCATTATTGAAGAATTTTAGGTAGGGAAATTGAAGAGAGCATGGAAACTGAGATATGATAGACAGCCTTCAGTGGCCAAGCAAAGCTGGTACTGTCGGCTGGGCTGGACGAGAGAACGTAGTGGAAAGGGAAGGGACGGTAGTGGGGGAAGGCGAGGGGCAGGGGAGGGGGGAAAGGGATGGCTGAGAGAAGCGTGAATGGTGGGAGAGGACAGTAGGAAAGGGAAGGGATGTGAGAGAGGGGGAGGAAAGGTGGGAGGGAAGGACAGGGGGAAAGGGAGAGAAGGACAGGGGGAAATGGAGAGGAGGACTGGGGGAAAGGGAGAGGAGGACAGGGGGAAAGGGAGAGGAGGTCAGGGGGAAATAGAGAGGAGGACAGGGGGAAATGAAGAGGAGGACAGGGGGAAAGGGAGAGGAGGACAGGGGGAAAGGGAGAGGAGGACAGGGGGAAAGGGAGAGGAGGACAGGGGGAAAGGGAGAGGAGGACAGGGGGAAAGGGAGAGGAGGACAGGGGGAAAGGGAGAGGAGGACAGGGGGAAAGGGAGAGGAGGACAGGGGGAAAGGGAGAGGAAAACAGGGAGGGCACTGCCCAAGAGAAGTTGATGCTGAGGACCGGGCAAGGGATCGGAAAGGGGGAGGCATTGGAGAGGGGGAAATTGGATTATTCCGGGAGGTGACATGGTGGGACGCGAGATGCTTCGCCACCGTCGCACAGATGCTTCGCCTCGCTGCTCGCTATCGTCGCCCTGGTGCTTGCTATCGTCGCCCTGGTGCTCGCTATCGTCGCCCTGGTTGTCGCTATCGTCGCCTTGATGCTCACTATCGTCGCCCTTGTGCTCGCTATCGTCGCCCTGGTGCTCGCTATCGTCGCCCTGCTGCTCGCTATCGTCACCCCGCTGCTCATATCGTCGCCCCGCTGCTCGCTATCGTCGCCGCACCGCTCGCTATCGTCGCCCCGCTGCTCATATGCGACCACCGATATCTAGCTATCGTCGCCCCGCTGCTCGCCACCGTCGCACCCATTCCTGCCTGTCGCTACCGTTGCGCCTTTGCTACCGCAGATACGTGAGGAATGGAGGGGCGGGAGAGGAATAAGGACGGCAACGGAGGAAAACGAGCGCAATGCGCTTCGAATACGACAAAAAGGTGTTTACGAGGTACGAAATTGCGCAGATATTCGTGAGCACATCAATAGACCATGAAACGCGAGAAATCTTAGCGGAAATGGCTCTGCGTAGCTCGGAAAACGCACTTCAAGTTAGTAAGAACCTAGTTCAAGCGTGAAAGTTTGCCAAGTTTGAGTTGTTTTGAGTTCAAGTTTGAATTTTCAAGTTTGCTGCATGCGCTCCCCCTCAACTCGTTGAGCGGAGCTTTTCCCCGAGCCCTCCCCCGTTTCCCCCCCACACACATCATACTGCGAAGGACTTTTCCGCGCGCCCTTCCCCCGCTGGCAGAAACCTCTCCCTGCTCGCTTTCCTGTGTATAATTGGTTACGCGGCTTTCAAACTATAATAGTTTGAACTGGAGCCCGGATATCTGCACCGCGGCTTTAACGTATGCCAGGTAAGCTGCAGGTTGTCTGACATCATCGCGACTCGAGGATTCCCACCTGACGTCTGACAGCAGTACATCCGAGGCGGTTTTCTGCCCGTGGCAGGACAATTCATAATCCCCCCCCATAAGTACTCATTCTTTTCTTCCCTTCCTTCCTCCCGCCCCAAACCACCCCCCCCCACCCTCCAACAGGTGTCCCGTGCGAAAAACCCCCACCTCAACGCGGTGCACGGTTGAAACGCTAGAGGCCTCGCCTCTAGCGGCCAAGAGGGGTCAAGACTCAAGACTCAAGACTCAAGAAGTGGAGCAGCAGCAGAGGGTCGGCCTGTCGTCGTACAGAACCAGAATTTGAAGCTGGTTGTAGTCTCTAGTTGGAGATCGCTTCCTTGTATGTGTGACATGTTTTATATTAATTTCTTTCATCTTGACCTGACACGGAATACAAATCCCTCAGCGGAATTACTTCGGAAGTACTAGACTCAGACTCAAGCACGATCGAACAAACAGAAAGCACCATTGTAATTGTCGACGAGCAATTTCTTCCTAGGAATGGCGATTATAACTCTCAAGATCTCAGTGAGCAAATACTCTTGCTTGGCGATCGCACGCTTTCTAACCTCATCAGCCGCACGCTTCTTACATGGAGATTGAATCTTAACATTTCCAGCGTCGTTTACTCCTCTAGCCTTCTTTTCTCTTCTTGGAACTTCTTAGCAATAGCTGGGAGCAAAAGCAACAGCTTGGTGCGTTGCTCCTCTCGCCTTACGACGTCTCAGCTTTGCAAGATAAGCAACAACTGATGTATCTTGCCTTTTCCGAAACGAATATGTCTCTTCTGAAATTTAAAAAAAATTAACGTCTGTTCGGCGAGTTTCACTGCTGGTGTCAGCAAGGTTGCGCGTGTGACTTGTTCTCGCGAGCAGAGCCGCTGCTGGGAGCGACGAGCGAGGTGATGGCGGCGCTAGGGCTGGCGCATCTGCTGGTGGGGCGGTCGCACGAGTGCAAGTTCCCGCCGTCGCTGCTCGCGCTGCCGTGCGTGTCGTCGCCCGCGCTGGGGCCGGATATCGAGCAGCAGAGCTGTGCGACGGTGCACGACAGGGTGAGTCGCAGAGCTGTGCGACAATGCGCGACAGGGTGGTTGCAGAGCTGCACGATAGGGTGAGTCGCAGAGCTGCGCGATAGGTTGAGTCGCAGAGCTGCGCGATAGGGTGAGTCGCAGAGCTGCGCGATGCGCGACAGCGTGAGCAATGGTGAGGGGGGGGCGAATGGCGGCACTATTTTGGCCAGCATTCATTGCAATCGGAACGTTTTCCAGTTCCCCCCCAATCTTCCTCCCCGCGCCCACTTCCCCACTTCCACTTCCGGTTTTACAGCTCATGGAGCTCGTCACAACGGGGCACAGGGTGACCAAGGAGGGTCGACTTAACAGTTTCGAGTTGACTTGAAAGACTCTGACGCCCCTTCTTTTCCGCGCCAACTCATGGAGCTGGTCACGACTGGGCGGGGGGTGACAGAGGAGGAGGCGGCAGCAGGCAGGGCGTCGTGTGTGGCACTACGACGGCTGCTGCAGCAGCAGCTGAGGCAGGCTGGTGCTGAGGCCTTCATTGCCCCTGCTGCCACCGGCTTCCCTCCACCCCTCCATCAAGGTGTGAGGAACTGTCGGAAGTGACCAAACTATTGCTCTGGTCTCTATTGTTGCTGAAACTCATGCTTGCCACCACTCCTGCTAGTCAAATGTGTGGCTGCCATGAGTGCCTTGAGATATGGTTTTTGAGACGTCTAAAAAGTGATGCTGCCCCTCTCGTCTCATGCGCCCACCCTGCTCACCTGGATATGGTTTTTGAGACATATAAAAAGTGATGCTGCCCCTCTCGTCTCATGCGCCCACCCTGCCCACCTGGATATGGTTTTTGAGACGTATAAAAAGTGATGCTGCCCCTCTCGTCTCATGCGCCCACCCTGCCCACCTGGCACGACAGGAGACCCTGTTATGTCCATCCCCTGGAGCCATGCTGGCCTGCCCACTGTCACCCGTGCCAGTCTACCTCACACCTGCTGCTGGTGGTTCATCTGGGAGTGCTGCTGCTGGCAGCTGCACACATGAGGGTGGTACTGCTGATGAGAGCAAAGGGGAGGGTAATAAGGAGTATCATCCAGTGGGGGTCACGCTCATTGGGATTTGGAACGAGGATGAGAGATTGTTAGACGTTGCAATGGAGCTTGAACGCTTCCTTGATCGCACTTCACCATTATAAACCCTGTTGTACCGTAATTCAAAATTTAATTCTTTGTTGAGGCGCTTCCTCAACTATCCAATCTATTCTGCGTCGATTCTGCACATACGCCCCAACTAGTGCAACATCTCCCGCTGCTGCATCTCTGGCTTCTCCTCACCCAGTACTGCACCCTTGAACTCTTGCTGCTCCAACAACAAGCTTGCTGTAGGATGGTCTAGCTTCCACCCTGCTCTTCTCCCATGCCCCCTGGCTCCACGGCCGCACGCTCGTGGTCCGAAGCACGGCAGCAATGAAGGAGATTGCCTCCCCCCAGCAGGTTAGTCCTGCCATCCCACAGAAGCGCGCCAAGCCTCCACACACCCGCCTGTCAGGTGTGTGTACGCCTTCCCCTCATACTTGACCTCAATCATCGGGATCTTCTCTCCTTCTTGACCCACTAGGCCATTGGAGTTGGAGCTGTAGGGGCAGGAGGGAAGGGGAGCAGTATCATCCGCACCAGCACCACCAGCAGGGGCACCGACAACAACCGCACCATCAGAGTGGTTCGATGCGGTTCTGTGTGGTTGGAAGCGGTGAGCATGCAGCATCTCCAGCATGATCTCAGCAGAGTCAACAAGGGTGGGCCCTGAGTTGTTGAAGTAGCGGTCCCCATCCGCCACAAACACCGCATCCCTCTGCACCGCTCTCAACCGGTTCCACTGCGGCAAATCCTCAGAGGTCAAGAGCTCCTTCAGAATGGCCTCCTTTGAAAGGCCACAGCACATGGTGATGATTACGTCTGGATCGAGAGAGACAAGGGCCTCAAAGGAGAGTATTGCAGTACGTTCCCCAGGCTGAGAAGGGCGGGGGGAGGGGTAGGAAAAGGGGGTGGGTGGCAAAGGGGCAAATACAAGGGGGGTTGGGCTGAGAGAAAGGAAGTGAATGGTAGGGAACGGAAAACGGTGTGGGCCGATGGAGAAATGGCATTCAAGGGTGGAAGGGGGGGAGGAGGGAAGGCTGCAGTCATCGCAGGCACACCAAGAGCGCACGGGAAAAAGAACGGCTGTGTTTCCCACCCCCCCCAGTCCCTTGCCTTTCTCATACCGCTTCACATGTTTCCCATAAACCTTCCCCCCATGCAGCCTCCTCTGAGTCTCACCTTCCCCGAGAGGCTCTCCCCGCCAGCGCACGCGACGATCTCGGGCACCCAGTACCCCGCGCCCATCAGCGGCCGCACCCACTGCAGGCACACCACACGCGGGCGCGCGCACGCCCCCTCCGCGCCCCGCGGAACCTGCGCGCGCACGCGCGACCAGCGCGCCTGTAAATTTTCCACAAGCGCGCGGCCCTTGTCGCTGTGCCCGACCGCCGCGGCGATCTGCAGCATGTTGTCCCACACGTCGGACGCGCTCATTGGTCGCAGCAACACCACGTGGCACGCGCGCCCCGCGTCGTCGCGCTGCGCGAAGTACTCCGCGCACGCCGCCTGGAGGTCCGATGCAGTCACGGCGCACACGTCGCACGCATCCTGCGTTATAATCACATCCGGCTGCAGCCGCCGAATCGCCTCCACGTCCACGTGGTACCGCGACAGGCCCTTGCGCACGCGCTCCGACAGCTGCGATTCGGTTTTACGCAAGGGGGAAAAGGGAGAGGGGAGAGGGGGGAGGCTGCGATCCACCCTGTCTACGCAAATGCGGTAATTTCACGCTAGTGGTTGAATGAAACTGCACTATGCATTTCCGAAAATATCTACGCCACCTTCTCTTGCCCGCTGCTCAACCTCTTGTCGCAATCGCACAGCTCTGCGACTCACCCTGTCGTGCACCGTCGCACAGCTCTGCTGCTCGAGATCCGGCCCCAGCGCGGGCGACGACACGCACGGCAGCGCGAGAAGCGACGGTGGGAACTTGCACTCGTGCGACCGGCCCACCAGCAGATGCGCCAGCCCTAGCGCCGCCATCACCTCGCTCGCCGCTCCCAGCAGCGACACCACCCGCAGCGCCCTGCCCGTATCTGTCTGACCCTCCCTATCGCTATCGTTCGCCATCGCGCTGCTGCCGCCTTCGTGGTGTTACCCGCGCTCACGAACCGTTACGAGCCAGCACGCAAACAGAGAATTTCTAGATTCTTTCGACGCGAGGAGTCAGTGATGCTAAGTCGAACGGCGGCCGCGATCGAAGAGCGCGCCGTCCGTGCGACACGCTTATGGAGAACTGTGATCAGGTGTGTGGTGTGGTCCGTAGAATCACCATAGAAAAAGCATATCACAGTTGGGGATTTGCGCCACCCCGAGGCCCATCTATAGAATCCTTGGGGACGAGTGTTTTCGCGGATTCAAACGTGGCGCTGTGGGATGATGACTGCAATAACCAGGGTGCAATGCGGTGAAGAGCAATTGTGAGAACTTCAGGTACCGTATATTTGCAATAGGGGTGTTATTCGGTACAAAGTGGTACTATTGATTGTGACGCTAAAATCTAAGGCGCCACATGACTGTACATGCTAATCCATTCTAAATAAACCCAGGTCAATGATAGAAATAATAATAAATATTCTTGAAATCCATTGAATTTGGATTATTCTTGCCATCCTCTTGTGAAATATATTATAACCTTAAGTCAGGCTAACAAAAGGGATGATCAGGTTGTAATACTATACAGCACATCAAGAATGTTCTAATTTGTACGTGTATCTTGATTCTCAGCCGTTCAAGCAATCTTCTTTGCAACGAAACTCTCCATTCTGCTTGGCCCAAGTGCCGCCATATCCTCAACCCACCGCCATTAGGTACCTCTCTTTCCGTCCTATTCCTGTTCCTGCTCCGCGCCTCCCCTCCACGGCGCGACACCATAGGGAAATCTTAACGAATAAGCTTATATATCTTTTGCCGCAACTGCCCTTAGTATTCACATTTTTCGACGACCGTCTCTCTGCGATTTTGCTGCGGGGTGGGAGGTTTAAGCCTGTCGACTCGAATCGCACGTCCCCATTTCTCCTTCCCCGTTTTCGGCGCTTTAATTAAACTCAGCGCATCATGCGGCCACCGCGCGGCGGAGGTTTCAGGGGGAGGGGCGGCGGAGGATTCGGCGGTCGCGGCGGGGGTTTCGGCGGAAGAGGCGGCGGGCGAGGCGGCTTTCAATGGGATGAGGGGCCGCCGTCCCACGTTGTGGGTAAGCAGCGACCTGTTTTTTGGGGGGCGAGGAACGGCGAGGAACGGCGAGGGGCGACGAGGGGAATGTAGGGAACGAATAGTCAGTGAGTTGGCTGAGTCGTCTTAGAATCGCTCGTGGCGGCGGTTTATGGTGGTGGGCCACGAAGAAAGTGTAAAGAGGCGATTGCGGGGGAGGTCTGATTACAGTGTTTATTGCGGGAGGTGATGTGGCCCTGTTCGCTTCGTCTCGTCTGCGCCCTTATTCTCTGTGCCTCCTTGCATGACGCTCACCCCCCGTGCGCCGCTCCCGTGCGTCGCGCGTGCAGAGGTGTCGACATTCATGCACGCGTGCGAGGGCGAGGCGGTGACGCGGCTGACGGTGGGCGAGAAGGTGCCGTACTTCAACGCGCCCATCTACCTCGAGAACAAGACGCAGATCGGCAAGGTCGAAGAGATCTTCGGCCCCATCAACGAGCCGGTCAGTGCGGTTGAATGCGGTGAATAGGGGCTGAGTGCGGTTGAGAGCGGTGAAGGGAGGTTGAGTGCGGTGAGGTGGGGCGGTGACGCGGCTGACGGTGGGCGAGAAGGTGCCGTATTTCAACGCGCCCATCTACCTCGAGAACAAGACGCAGATCGGCAAGGTCGAAGAGATTTTCGGCCCCATTAATGAGCCGGTGAGTGCGGTTGGGTGCGGTGAATAGGGGTTAGGTGCGGTTGGATGGGGATGAGTGCGGTTGGATGGGGCTGAGTGCGGAAGACGGTGGGCGACAAGGTGCCGCACGTTAATGTGCACATCTACCTAAGACGCAATAGTCTCCCCCCCCCCCCCCCCGTCCCCCTTCATGCAGTACTTTTCAATGATCATGCAGCGTCCTACTTGCCTCTCCCTTCCCTCACCGCGTCTTTTTGCCCCCTGTTGCACTCCTTCCCTTTCTCCCCCCTCCTCCCCATCCTCTCCTCTCCACCGTGTCCAGTATTTTTCGATAAAGATGCAGGAGGGAGTGGTGGCGACGTCCTATTCGCCGGGGGACAAGTTCTTCATCGACCCCATGAAGCTGCTGCCGCTGCAGCGCTTCCTGCCGCAGCCCAAGTGAGTGTAGAGGAATGCTGTGCGGTGCTGGGTGGTGTGATTGGATGGTGCACTGTGCACATGGAGTTTAGAATGCGTTCAACCAAATTTTGTCGCGTTCCATGTCTCGTATCCTTCGATCCCTTGTGCCCTCCCTTTCTCTTTCCTTTTCTCTCCTCACCCAATTATCTCTCCATTTGTCTCCCTCCTCTCTCGCCTCTTCCACCTGTTCTCCCCTCATGAGTGCAGGGGCGCCAGTGCAGGGGGAAGAGGGGGCTTTGGAGGCCGGGGAGGCAGGGGGGGCCGTGGAGGGGGCCGAGGGGGATTCAGGGGAGGGGGAAGGGGCGGAGGAGGTGGGTTCAGGGGGAGAGGGGGAGGGGGAGGCTTCCGGGGTGGAGGAGGGGGATTCAGGGGGAGGGGTGGGGGTTTCCGTGGTGGTCGTTTCTAGGGTGGCTAGCCCATGCCTGCATGTATTATTGATTCAAGCTGTTGGGTGTAGCGGCATGTGCATACACCATGGGTGGATCAAGATTTCCACTGTCCATGTCTGTAGTCAACTGTAAATGCGAATTCTGCTGATATTGCTAGTAATTTGTGCCAAATAACCACTGGTAGAGCTGTTTCATATTTTCCTGATTTTGATAAAGATGATCAGTAAAATAGACCTGTGGATAACGCGGCCGTTCGAATCGAGAACGATACACACGGAAAGCAGCCCACCATCACATGCCAGTACACAGCAGCAAGCAGAGCAGAATCGTGAATCGTGCATACTGCCCTGACCGCAGACGACTCCACCTTCCCCAAGGTCACCAGGGAGCACACTCACAGCGCCAGTTCAACCTAGCGGCCGCTCTTCGCGCCACCCCACCCGCGCCAGTAGCACCCTCGCCGTCACGCGCGCCTGAACCCGTCCCTCACGCCACGCGCGCGTGACGATTTTCGAGGCGCCTCAAAAGTCGTCTTATCGCGCGCGACGCCATCCCGCCCGCCGCCATGGACGCTCCCCCCTCCCCCTCCAACGCGTCCGTTCCGCGGTTCCTCTTCGTCTCCCCCTCCGCCTCCCACCGCGACCACCCGCGCGGACCCCCTTCCCCGCCCTCCCCCTCCGCCGCTGCAGCCTTTCCGCGCTTCTCCCCTTCCCGCTTCTCCCCCGCCCGCTCCATCGGTGCGCGCCGATTGCGCTGTCTGTCCGCGCGGGGGAGTGGCGCGGGGGAAGAGGAGCATGCGGATGAGTACGGGGGGAGCGATGATTCCGGGGACGACGGCGGAAGCATGGGGGGAGGGGATGACTTGCGGAGAGACGGGGGAGATGCGGAATATGCGGACTATTATGCAAGTGGGCGGGTTAATTCGCACCCGTTAGAATCACACCGCACGCCTAGTCACTCCCCGGGCTTCAGTATTCCTTCCGCGCAGCAAGCGCGCAGCAGCAAATCGGTAGGCGACACGTCAGCAGAACGGGAGGGCTCCGACGAATATAACCAGCCCAGTCGAGACGACGATGATCCCGAACGAGAAGCGGAGGCTCGGGAAGCAGCAGGGTTGGGTTTGGGGGACGAGGAGTGGCTGGGTGTGTCGGGGCATGGGGGAGGCGGCAGCGGGGGAGACGGAAGGGGGGGCGGCGGCAGCAGGGGAGGCGGAAGCGGAGGGGGCGGAAGCGGGGGAGGCGGTGGAGCGCGGGGGGCGCTGGAGGTGGCGATGGAGAGCCGGTCGCTGGCGAACCAGCTGCTGCGCGCCGATGAGGAGGGCCGCCTCCGCTGCAAGTGCGTTCCGCGCGGGGGGAGGGGGTGGGGAAGGGTGCATGGGGGTGGCGGGGAGAGGGGTTGAGGGATTCGGCGAGGGGTTGGGGGTTGGGGGTGGCGGGGGAGAAGGGTTTCGGGGGTAAGATGGGTTTATGCAGTGGAGAGGGGTTCCGGGGAGAAAGAGGGGTGTAGTTTTGGGAGGGCTTTAAGCGGCGGAGAGGGGCTTATGTGACATGGGGTGTTGAAAGGAAGCTTTGACTTGAGTTATGGTTTGCCCATTCCTAGTGGGAGAAGGTGTAAGGGGAGTTATGGTTGGGGGTTCTGAAGGGTAGGGTTACCCCACTATGACACCCGTGCACATATTTGTGTGTGTATGTGTGCTTGGGGGGCGTTCATGTGCATGTGTGCGCAGGCTTGCAGCGCAGCGGTGGCCCCAGGACGCTGATGTCTTTCAGAAGATTGACGAGTACTACTATAAGGGGTATGCCTACCACTATCTCACTGGCTCCAAACACTTGGGTTTCCAAAGCCGTTGGACTAATGTATGGAAGCTCTGTCTCCTTCGCCCTCCCGCGCACACATGTGCATCAATTCAGGGTGGCTGTTCATGTGCGTGTTGCCACTGTGTGCCCCTGACCATCGTGTGTCACCATGCCCCCCATATGCCCCCCATATGCCCCCCATATGCCCCCCATATGCCCCCCATATGCCCCCCATATGCCCCCCATATGCCCCCCATATGCCCCCCATATGCCCCCCATATGCCCCCCATCCCCGCTATGCCCCCCACCCCCCCTATGCCCCCATGCCCACAGCACACTACTGGAGTCGGACGTCAGAGCCGTCACCTCGCCTTCTGCCCTCCAGGTATCCCACCCACACCTCCTTCCTCCCTCACCGCACACCTCTTACCTGCCTCACTCTACCCCTCTGCCTTCCCTCTCCCACGCCTCCCATGCCTTCTATCCTCTCTCTCCCCCTTCGTCCCCGACACTGTCGCAAATCCTCACTCTCACACCACCCCTCTCTGCACCAGCTCCCCTTTTCCCAACGCTCGTTCTCACCATCTGTCTGTTAACTCGCGTTTGTTTCCTCCTAAATATTAAACTTAAAGCCCAGCATTCATTCTTCTAGGTTCAAACTTACCATCCGTGTGTTTTTCAACCCTGTTTCCTCCCTTCCTCCCCCACGCCCCTCTCCCAATCCCGTGCAGGACATGTGTCGCTTCCTCGCCTCCTCTGCCCGCCTGCAGGCAACAGAGCCACCTACTATGCCTGCAGGGCACAAGGGCAGGGGGACGGGCAGGGGGACGGGGGAGGAGGAGGGGGGCGGCAGGGCGGGCAGAGGGGGGAGGGGGAGAGGGAGAGGGAGAGGGAGAGGGCAGGGGGTATCGGGAAGGGGAATGCAGTGTGGTGATGGGGAGGGGTGGGAGGGGCGGGTGGTGGGAGGGGCTCTAGAGGCAGTGCTTCGGCTGAGTTCCCTGCTCTCCCTCTCACACCCTGTTGTTACCAATGCTGCTACTGCTGCTGCTGCTGCCGCCGCCAGCAACGCCAGAGAAGCAACAGGAGGTGCAGCAGAAGCAGGAGCAGCAGCAGCTGGAGTAACGGCAGGTGATGCAACAACAGCAGGAGGTGCAGCAGCAGACGCAGAGCAGCAGAGCACAGAAAGGGACGACCCTTGGGGTTTGTCCGCCTTCTTGGGAGGAGGAACTGCCACGCTGGCAGCTGACGTGGATGCCAGACAGCATACAGCCAATGAGAGGCCGCCAGCTGGCTGGGTGGGGGGGAGGAAGCGATCAGCTGCTGACGCGTTTGACAGAGGGAGGGAGGGGGGGTGGGAGACACAGGGGAGGATGGATGGGAGATGGAGGAGAGGGGAGGGTGGAGCAAGGCGAGCAGCAGAGGAGAGGGAGAGAGTGAGGGAGGAGGAAGAGGAGAGGAGGAGGGAGGAGAGGGAGGCGGTGTGTGACGAAGCAGCCACCCTGGCGTGGAACATGATTGGTCGAGCGCTGCTTGCGAGTGCGAAGCAGCAGGGGGTCAAGCTGCTGGGCAGAACCGAGTCTGCACTGTTCCAGATCACTCTGCCGCCCAATCTGGACAACTCAGGTGCGTGTCGACGACAGCAGACCGCTTAGCACAGCTTCGGTCGTTTTCAGTACTGCGTGGCTGAAACCTCTTGCTGAATCCTGCCAGTGCTCCTACTCAAACCCCTCCATCCATCTTCCCTCCCCACCCCGCCCGTGTCCTGTGACCCTGACCTACTCAGATCCGAGCATGGAAGCACAGAGGGAGGAGTATCGCCGCTTGTGCACCCACATTGGCTCTATATAGATCAAGGCAGGCGGGTCACAGCACAGTCACAGAATGATGGCTTTGTGGCTAGTCCCAATGTCAGCCCTTGCCCTAGCCCATCATGGAATAATCGTGCGTGTGTGCCCAACAAGTGGTTCTGCGTGTTTTATGTACGGCACCATGCCACTTTCCCACCTACTGCTACTAATTCGCTACTACCCCAGGTATTACTGCTAGCGGCAGCTGCATAAGGTGCCGCTTTGGTGCAGCTATCAGTTGAATGAGAGTGCAATAAGTTATCTATGAGTGAGGGCAATAAGCTGCCACAGCATAACTACCGGTACTTGTTACAAGCCATACTGATTATTGGTCCCAACATGAGCCCCCCCCTGCAAAATTGCAAATACTCATGATGCCACATTTAGGCCATGAGCTTCCATGATCCACATGCACCAGCACCCAGCGCACTTCTCTATCTCTCTGCTCTAACCACGAAAGCACAAACACGTGCACACACCCATCCAGCCCTCCTGTTTGGCACGCGGCCTTACGACGAGGCCTCAGCAGCAGCAGCAGTGGGAACTGCCGGGCTGCCAAAGCTCCTCTCCCGCTCCCACGCCACCTGCGCCATCATGGTCAGCGCAGACCGCGCCTCCCGCTCCTCCCCCACCTCCCGTGCAAACGACACGCGCACGTCCATCACCCTCGCCGGGAAATCTGCCGCTGCAGCAGCCCCGGGCATGGCGGGGCGAGCGAGCACGCGGAGGTCAAACCCGAGGCGGTCCACCCAGATGAGGGAGGCGTCGTCCACCTGCAGGTCTGGGAGTGCGGCGAAGGCGGCGGGGAAGCGGCGCAGGTCCTGCCAGTGCTCGCGGTTGAAGTCCGCCACTATGCCCGCTGCCACCTCGCGCAGGGGGTCTGCATCGGCATTGAGGTAGGCCTCTAGGGAGATCCACTCGCCCTCCTGTGGGATGGAAGGGTGGGGGGCAGAGCAGTATGGCATGGGTTTGGATGGCGGGGGAGCGGCGCAGGTCCTGCCAGTGCTCGCGATTGAAGTCGGCCACTATGCCCGCTGCCACCTCGCGCAGCGGGTCGGCGTCCGCGTTCAGGTAGGCCTCTGGGGAGATCCACTCGCCCTCCTGTTGATGAGATGTGGGGGTGGTGGTAGGCAGAGCAGTGTGAGGTTGGTTTGACTGAATGGGTGTGATAGGTGCTGCCATGCGTAACCCCTTATCACTCTACCACTCACACTCACACCGCCACCTCCCTCCACCCTTCTCCTCGCCCCGATTGGAGTCTGGTGCCACGATCACGTGAATAGAGCGGAGGGGGAAGAGTCATCAGTGCTCCATGGGCAGCTGTTCTGCATGCTACCACTCACGCCCACACCACAACCTTCCCACTTTCCTCCCTCACCTGGTCGGCGTCGGGTGCCACGAGCACGCAGTCAACGTCCAGCAGGAAGAGAGCGGAGGAGGCAGAGCCGTCGCTGCTGCCATGGTAACCGCTTTGAATGCTACCACTCACACCCACACCACCACTTTCCCCTCCCCTCCCTTCCCTTCCCCCCCTCACCTGGTCGGCATCGGGTGCCACGAGCACGCGGTCCACGTCCAGAAGAAAGAGAGCGGAGGACGCCGAGCCGCCGCTGCTGCCCGCGTCGTCCTCACTGTCGGGGAAGCGCCGCCTCCACGCCGCCTCCAGCTTCTGGTGTAGGGGGGAGCGGGAGGGAGTGGGGGTGTGGTAACAGGGAGGACAGATGACAGTCAGGCAGACCGGTGGACGTGCTGTGCGAGGCTGTGTGGCTAGATGTGTGAATGGGTGGCTGGAAGTTGACGTAAATGTACCAACTTCTTGTTCATTGCTGTTCTGCTTTCTGCGTGGTGTTGACTGGGATTAAAGGCAGCACAGGTACATGTGCATGTCATGTGCCTTGACGCTTCCTTGTGCGTCAGCCACGGTTTCTCTTGACCCACCAGCCACCATGACCGTTGTTGACCCAACATGACCACCGTTGACCCAACATGACCGCCGTTGACCCAACATGACCGCCGTTGACCCACCAAGACCGCCCGTTGACCCATCATTGATGTGATTGACTCACCACGAGCGTATTGCCGTCGTGTGCCTTGGTCAGCCGTCCGTGCAGCGACACCTGCGGCTTCTGCTGACCTGGCAGCTCGATCTGTCCAATCAGCATGGGCATGAAGGGGGGCGGGGGTTTGGGAGGGTGAGTACCTTGACACCACAAGAGCTGCAACTGTGGGCCGTGGGAGTGGAATGGCTGGTGGAAATGCGGTGGCTGGGAAGCGGTTGTTAGTCTTTAGGCACATGTTGCGCCCCGAACAGCGTGACCATCCCATTCAAATAAACGATGCCATTGCCTCCACCCGCATGCCTCCCATTTAGCGTTGAACGTGTGGGCACATTCCTTGAATTCGCCTCCCCCTACCCCCACTCCCCTCTATCTTGAGGTGTAAGCACTCCTCTTAACTCCCCGCTACCTGGACGCGTAAGCACGTCTCGTAATCTCCACCCTACCTGCACGTGTAGGCACGCCTGCGCGTCGTCAGCGAGATTGGCGGCGGCGCGGCTCGAGTCGGCGAGCAGCACGATGGGGCGACCCTCGGGGTCGGGCGCGAAGAACGCGTGGCAGGTCAGTGGCCACGTGGCAGGCAGCGGTTGATCGTCGCCCGCGAGCGTGTTGCCCGCGCCGCCGTGCGCGAGCGTGTTGCCCGCGCCGCCGTGCGCGAGCGTGACGAGCGTGCCCTCCGCCGACAGCTCCACCACCGTCTGCGCCAACTCCGCCGCGGACGGGCGCACCGCGGGAGGGGCGGAAACTGGAGGTTGGAAGGAAAGGCGAGATGGGGAAGAACTGAGTCCTACTAGGCGCTAGCTCCGCAAACGACTGCGCAATTCAGCAATTAGCGGCGAGGAAAGGTTGAAGGAGAGTGGGAGGTTGGGGGGTGGTGGGGCGGCGGAGAGAAGGGGGAGGGGGAGGGAAGGGCTGCTGATTTGAGGTGGGTAGGGCTTCGGGAGTTTGGAACGGTAGAAGGGTGGATAGGAGCATGGAGCAAGGAAGACGGTCCATGCGGCCTGGTGGGCATGGTGCGGCATGCAAGGGCCGAGATGCGAGGAGGGTGCGTTCGCGGGGTAGGGAGGCATGACGGGGATCCTATGCGAGAGAATAGTGGTGCAAAGCTGAGAGAGCCTGCCATCTGCACTTACCAGCTTCCGCTGCTGCCGCTGCGCTGCACCTGACAGCCCTCACCGCCGCTGCCGCTACGAGCTGAACCAGTGTAGCGATGGGATGGGAGGAAAGAAAATTCATAAGTGGTTGAGACAGAACTGAATTGGTCGCAGGAAAACCATCTTACATGGTTTCAAATGTCACGGAGCTGTTCAGCAGCAGTGCATGTGAGCAATCGCAAGATATAAATTTGCGTCGACTCAAAAGCTCCACAGTAGCCGGTGAATGGGGGCGATCACGCGTCGCGAAATACATTAAATTTGTGCGCGGTGCTTCAAATCCATACCTGAACTCCCGTGGAGTCCACCTTCTGGCTGCCGATCGCCGTGTGCGCGTTCAAGCCGAGAGTTTGGCCGAGGAATGAGGCCTGCAAGACACGGAGGATCGGTGGATGCGAAAAACAGCATTGTGAATTTAGCGAATGCCTTACATTGGATGAAATCGCAAGACGAGGAAGCTTACCAGCGCACGAATGCTTTCTCACCTGCACCTTGGGAGCCCTAACGGCTGTGGCCTGGGACCCTCGCTCCACTAAGCATAAGTTTGCAGCCTGAATGGCGCACGAGGAGCACGCGGCAGCCATCGTTGCTCGATGCTCGTGGCGACGGAGACTTGGTGACTTGCCGATTACGACGCAAGAAACGCGAGAGACGTCCCTAAAATCGTGTAATGATCCGTCTGCTGCGGTGCACAAAGGAGCTGTTTGCGCGAGGGACGACAGCAAGTGGAGAGACAAGGGAGAGCAGATGGCGAAGCAGAGAGGGAGGACGTTGCCTGACAGGATGAGGCAGGGTGCCACGTCAGACGTGCGCATTCCCAATTCCGCTTGAAGAAGCTTCTTCAGGGGCGATTGAGGAAATCGAGGGGTTTGGTACACGTCAGCGCGCGGCTTGGCATTTGCAAGGCATGGATTCCGATTCAGCGGGAGGCGCAAGGGCACCTCATCGCGGTGCTGGCTGTGGTCCAGTTAGCAGCCGACATTTGGAAACTACAATCCCTGGTCTTCGTATTGAATTACGATGTACACTTGCTTCCATGAGAAAATAGCATTCTCAATATGTGCCGACAGCAATAGTTGTTGAAAGCTTCACCTTAATGCTTCCTACTCAACTCAAGCCTACCTACCTAGAATATTGCTTCCTACATATACGCTACTGATACTACAAGACAACATTTTTAGGCTACGGTATGTTGTGTCTTGCGGCTCTAACCAGATGCAGGAGGCAAGGTGCCAGCCATACAGGAGGAAAGCGCAGCGGCGTGATCACTAGGAAGTGCCGCCAGGAGCGGCTGCATTTGATCTGCGAAGGCCTGCGCGAGATGTGAGCAGGCTTGGCCCACGGAGAGACGCACTTCCGGTGCAATCTTACCGTTAACCGCCACCTCTGCGAACACAGGCACCAGCTGCGGCACCACTGCCAAAATCTGAAAAAAAAAAAAAAAAAAAAAAAAAAAAAAAAGGCACAGTGTGTAAAGCGCAGCCAGATGAAAATAGCAGCGCAAACGGGAACCATGAATTATGATGCTAGTTAATGAGGGTCATGCCACATGTGAGTGATCGTGCACACGATGGTGGGGCTTGGCATAGATACCTGGGGGTGCGAGGCAGCAACAAGTGCCACGAGGCAGCCGTACACTGGCTTGGCCTCCTCCAGGTCTGACTTGAGTGGCAGCGCTGCCACCAGCACTGGCAGCACCTGATGCAACGGGACAGAGCGCCAATGAGGGGAATAATACGGAGCAGACTCGGAGGGTTAAATCAGCAAGGGGGGCATAAGGGCAGACAGGAAGGAATAAATATCTTCATTGACAAGGAATGGACAAACACCAGACCTGGCGGGGAGGCATGGCAACGCACGGACCTGTTCAAGAGGCATGGCAGCACCACCAGAAGCGATCATTCGTGCAACAGCGCCAGTGGCGTTGTCCCTCACATCATCATCCTCGTCCGCTGAGAAAAGCGGGTGCAATCCCAACAGGATGTCGGGGTAGTGCCTGGGGTTGGGGGCGGGGGAGGGGGGGGGGGGGGTGTGGGTGGGGTGGAGGGAGGGAGAGTGGGTGGGTGGGTGGAATGAGGTGGCACGTGCAAGGCCAAGGGAATGACAGTGAGGTGCCTGCCTGGGCCGTGCATGTGGGATGTGGGGGGGGAGGAGGTTCGGGATGCAAGGCCAAGGGTGGCATGACAGTGAGATGAAAATAGCATTAAGGTGACGAAGAAAACAGCACAAGGCGTGTTCACCCCTCCATGCCTCCCCACCAGGGTGCTCCCACTGCCCCACCTGTGCATGGCAGCACGCTGCACGCCCACCTGTGCATGGCAGCACGCTGCACGCCCACCTGTGCATGGCAGCACGCTGCACGCCCACCTGTGCATGGCAGCACCCACCTGTGCATGGCAGCACCCACCTGTGCATGGCAGCACCCACCTGTGCATGGCAGCACCCACCTGTGCATGGCAGCACCCACCTGTGCATGGCAGCACCCACCTGTGCATGGCAGCACCGGACACTTCAGCCAGCTTGCCGACAGCAAAGGCAGCGTTGCGGCGGTTGGGGGGGTCTCCGCCCTTCAGCTCCGATGCCAGCACGGGCAGCAGCGTCTGTGCATGGGGGTGAGGGTTGGAGGGCGAGAGATGAAGGCGAAGTGAGTGAGTGAGGGGATGAAGATGGGTGGTGAGGGTGCGATTGGGCTCAGAGGTACTCGAGGAAGGGGGAAGAGGCACTAGAAGGCACACAGCGTGACCACAGCACTGCCACACACCCCACGCCAGCACAAACCCCACAGGCACTCACATCCACGTATGGCGCCATGGCTTCTCCCAGCTCCCCTGCCACGTCAGCAATGCACCCCACCGCCATGCTGCGATCGTTGGGCGGGCGTGAGGCTTTCTGCATGAGGGAGGAGGAGACAAGGGCCGGAGGAGTAGAGGAGAAGGGGGGCGGGGTAAGGGATGGGTGCTACGAAGCATGGCTGAGAGACAGAAGACTAGCGAGTGAGAGCGGCGGCAAAGGGGGTGAGCGGGGAGGGATTTTAGGGTACTAGAAAAAGATTTGTCGGGCAGGGAGGCAGGGAGCAGAGTAGCATGCAGCGACACGGCGGCGGCAAAGTTGCAGGCAGTGCAGCGGGCCCACGCAGGTCACAGCAAGCGAGAGTACAAGGAGAGTACGTGAAAGCAAGGGTGCGAGAGTGCAGGAGAGAGAGGGTGGGTGGTAGCGGTGGGCACCGTGAAGGCGAGCAGAGAGTGGAAGACAGGGGCGAAGGCAGCAGCGAGCGAAATAACGAGAAGAGTACGGTGCAAGAGCGCAAGGGAGCAAGGCGCCAGGGTGGTAGCAGGGGGCACCGTGAATGCAAGGATGTCGGGCAGCAGTGTGTGGAAGACAGGAGCGAAGGCAGCCGCGCCGACAGCACGAGCCACAGCGGGCAGCAGGTCAACAGCGGCGTCCATGAGCTCCTCATCATGCTCCTCCTCCTCTTCCTCCTCCTCCGCTGCCTCCGTTGGCCCCGCTGCCCCCTCGCCGCCCGTCTCGGCGTCGCTGGCTGCTCGCTGGCACGGCAGCTCGTCCCTCAGCGCTGCCCGCACCGCCGCCACTAGAGGCTCCGCGTCTGAACAGCAGCAGGTTGGGGGAGAGGGGTGCGTTGGTAACAAGAGGTGGGTTGGGAAGGGGCACGGCAGCTCGTCCCTCAGTGCCGCTCGCACCGTCGCCACTAGAGGCTCCGCGTCTGGGGGTAGGGAGAGAGTTTGGAGAATCCTCAAAAGTCAATCAAGGCCCTTTCTGAATGGAAGCTCGTCCCCCAGTGCTGCGTGCGTGGCTGCCACTAGAGGGCCACTAGAGGGTCAGCTTACATTACAGGCGAATGGCTTATCCCTCGCCGTGACTCACAGGGCAACAGGGCCGGCTGGTTGGCGGCATCAGCAGCGCCTTGATGGTCTCGGTGACGCAGCTGAAGGCCTGCCCCACCACTGCATGCCCGCTCCCCGTCGTTGCTCTTTGGGGCGCCTCACAAGCAGAACAGGGAGGTGGGCTAGTGACTCACAGGGCAACAGGGCAGGCTGGTTGGCGGCATCAGCAGCAAGTAGCGCCTTGATGGTCTCGGTGGCGCAGCTGAACGCCTGCCCCACCACTGCGCGCTCCTCGTCATCCTTCATCGCCCCCATCCACACCTCCATCGCCACGTCTGATGGGCGCAAGGGCGGAGGTGGAGGGGGAGAAGACGGGGGAGAGGAGGGGGAAGAGTTTGGGGGCAGCAAGCAGAGATTAGTGCGAGAGGGAACGATGGCAGCAGTGGGTGCGGTTGAGCATAACAAATGGATGGGCAGCGGGGGATATCAGAGAAAGAGGTGAGGATGAAGATGAAGGAGACGGAGAGGGAGGGCGAAAGGGGAGGGTGCGATGTTGGATGATGGGGCTCACCAGAGACATGCTTTGTCTCCGCGCTCATGGGCTGGTGGCCGTGGCGGCAGCAGGAGGAGCAGAGTCGCACGCATGGTTGATGTGTGTGTGCCATGCCATGCACAGCGAGGCACGCGGCACAAAGGGGGTGGGGTGGGGGGGTGGCGCACGCACAAGGGAGAGGACGAGGCGAGAGAGTGAGTGCAATCAATGGGTGCTATGCTGTAGAGGAGGACAGGCGGGCAGAGGGGAGATCCGTGCAAACGGATCTTCATGCAGGTTGAAGCAGCACGGATAGAGAGAGCATGGCACGGCACGGCAGCAACCACAGCAGCAGCCAGCCGCTTTTGTGGGAGGGCATGGGGCGTACCTGGCCCGGGGCGGATGGGAAGGCATGCAGTGCTGCTGTCACCAGGTCTGGTGTGGGGGGAGAGGGTGGGGGGGAGAATGGGAAGACGTTGCTGTGAGGGGTGCCGCGAAGGCAGAGAAACTTGAGCGGACGAAAAAAGAGAGATAGATGGTGCGAAAGGTGAGTGACATGCTGCATGCTTGGTTGCAGGCAGGTGGTGGGCAGTGGATGCAGGGCGGAGGGTGGAGGGCGAGGGAGGAGGGCAGGGAGCGGGAGGGGGGGGGGGGGGGGGATGAGGGGGGAACTGACGTTGCAGGGAGAGCGTGGCCTGCAGGCGCACGTCCTCATGCGCATAGTCCGCCCCGTCCTTGAGCACTGCCACCGCCTCCTGCACGTACCTGCGCGGAGAGGAGGGGGAGAGGGGAGAGGGGGAGGGCGAGGTATGCGGATGAAGCATGGCAAGGCGAGTCAGTGGTGGTTGATTCACCCTCAACCATGCACTACTCTCAGCTTCCATCAGAGGTCTATGGCATGCATGCACTGCAATCATTCAGCCCAGCAGCAGCACCACTCCCCAGCAGCGCACTCACGGGCCGAAAGCAGCCTTGGTGTACTGAGCATACGCCCCAATGGCCTGAGCGGCAGCCGCCTTCTCATCCAGCACTGCCGTGCGCACACTGATGCCCCTCAGCCCCCTCAGCGCCCCCTCCTCGTCCTCGTCCTCTGAATCCGACGAGATCTCCCCTGCCGCCAGTGCTGCCGCTAGCTGCCGCCGCCCGCCGCCCTCCGCGTCGGCGGCATCGTCGTCGGTGGCGGCCGGGCCGACCACGATGCCATCGTCAAGGCGGCAGGAGGAGAAGGCGAGCGGCACCACGTGCTGGAGGTACTGGTAGCGGGGAGGGAGGGGTGAGGTAGGAGAGAGGGAGGCGAATGGGTGAGAAGAGGGAGGGAAGAGGAGGGTGGTGGGATGTGAGTGGCACGAAACCGTTTCCAAGTCCGACAGCAGGTGCGAAGTCAACGGGGAGAGAAATGCCAAAAGGAGAGCGTGCAGGTGCGATGATGCAAGCAGCAAGGGTAGCGAGGAAGGACCCCCAGCAACTTACAGGGGCGAAGTCAGCTTCGAGGAACTTGGCCACGTCACTGAAGAAGGAGTGCGCGTACTCCCTCAGTGCACTCTGATCCAGGGCGAAGCCCTGCCATGGGGAAGGTTGAGCATGGGGTGTGGGGTGTGGGACGTGGGAGGTCGCGTGTGGTTGGTGAACAAGGGAGTGAGGCGCTCTGAATCCCTCGTTTACACAGCTTACTGATGTTCACAACACATAAAGAATCCCTGCGACCCCCCGAGCCACCAGCACAGCACCTTGAAGTGCAGCACTCAGGCCATGAAGCACAGCAGCACTCTTTCCACGGCCTGGCACCCTGCAGCAATCCCAGTGATGCCCACCAGCTCGTACCCGCACTGCTTGTGGCTTACTGCTGTTCACACCACTGCCCCTCAACTGCTCCCCCACCCCCAACTTGGAGTGCAGCCCCACAACTTTCCCCACCTTGAGAGCAGCATCCATGAAGCCGGGCAGCACAGGCTCCACAGCCTGGCGCCCCACGGCAATCCCAATGATGCCCACCAGCTCGTACGCACGCGACCGCACGTCCACGTCAGCCTCTGCTGTGAGGGACACGAGCGGGATGAGCGCCGCCAGCACCGCGTCGCTGTAGGGCGCGAACTTGGGGCCCGCTGCTGCTGCCGCTGAGCCTATGGCGGACTGGCAGGGAAGAGAAGGAGGGTTGTGGGAAGAGAAGGGGAGAGTGGGGAGATTACTTGGGACTTGCTGCTGCTGAGCCTATGGCGGACTGCCGGGGGAAAGAGGGGAGGAGGGGAGGGGGGTGGATGGGGAGGTGGATGGGGGGGGTGATGACGGGGGTTGTGACACGAAATGTGACCGGATGGAGGACATAGGGAGGAAGAGTGATGGTGGGAAAGAGAAGCCGCCTTTGGTGTAGTTACGTATGCATACACACAATGAGTAGCCACACGTCCCATCACATGTCATCGCACTGCAACATGTCGCATCACATCATCACATCCTACCACATCCCATCACATCCCGCCACATCCCACTGCACGGCACTCACGATGCACATCTCCTGCAGGTTCCTATCGGGCGAGCGCAGGGCGTCCATGAGTTGGCGCATGAGCGGGTCCAGGAAGTCCAGGATCTCGTCCCCCATGTGCTCGCAGAACGCCGCCAGCGCGTAGTACGCCTTCTCCTGATGGGTGGTGGGGGGAAAGGGGAGAGGCAGGGGGACGGGAGGGGGGTAGGGAAGGGAGAGCACACGAAAGCAGAGGTTGAGAGGGAGGCACAAAAGTGATTCCTCACATCGACATCAATCAAGCAGCCCAGCACCCAGAATGATTCCGAACTTCCTTCCAGAATTTATTCCATCAAACCCCTTCATTTCCACTGACCCTGACGACGGGCGAGGCGTCGTTAAGGGCGGCGAAGACAGCTGGCAGGATGATCTTGTAGTGCTCCGACGCCTCGGGCTGCACAAACTCCGACAGCTGCCCCACCGCGAAGCACGCCGCTCCCCGCACCTTGGGGTGCGCGTCGCCCAGCCCCGCCACTATGAGCGGCAGCATGTCTGACTCCAGGCGCCCCCGCACTGCCTCACTGCGGGGAATGGTGGGGGGGTGGAGGTGGAATGGAGAACGGGTCTTGAGACGGCTTGATGCATGCTGCTCCTCGCACCTTGGGTGCGTGCCTGTCGCCCAGCCCCGCCACTATCAGCAGCAGCACGTCTGACTCCAGCCGCCCCCGCACTGCCTCACTGTGGGGCCGCGGGGCAAGGAAGACGGGGAATAGAGAGGGTGGGTTTTGAGATGTCTTGAAGCACGCTGCTCCCCGCACCTTGGGATGCGCGTCACCCAGCCCCGCCACTATCAGTGGTAGCACGTCTGACTCCAACCGCCCCCGCACTGCCTCACTGTGGGCCAGGGAGGAAGGATAATGGGGGAAGCAGCAAGTGGGGAGATGAGAGGTGGGAGAGTGGAAGTGGGTGACAAGCCAGTGCCCCCTCCCACTTCACTCAACAGAACCCCCCTGCACTTATCAGCAACCCCCTGCAACCACCAGCACCCCTCTGCACTCACCAGCACCCCTCGGTAATAACAGCCAGGGCCATGACAGCGGCGTAGCGCATGTGGGGGTTGGTGTCCGTGATGTGCGCGCGGGCGAACGCCAGCACGGGCGGGAACACGTGCTTGCGCGGCGCCTCCATTGCCACCGCGTCTATGGCCTGTTGGGGTGAAGAAGCAGGGTGATGGGGGGTTCGGGGTGGTGAAGGGGGGTGAGAGGGGGATGAGGGGCGGTGAGAGGGGGGTAGGGGGGAAGTTAAGTTGTGGTTGTGGGAATGGATAAGAGTTCATGCGCGAGGCCTCTGTGGTCACTGCGTGTGTGGCCCAGGGGGGACTTTGACAGGGGGGCGTGAAAAAGGGGTCACCTGGGCGGCAAAGCGCATGGGCGAGAGGTCACCTGGGCGGCAAAGCGAATGGGCGAGAGGTCACCTGGGCGGCAAAGCGCATGGGCGAGAGGTCGTACTCCTCGTCCTGCTCCGAGTCCGTCTGGCCACAGGGCTCGGCGAGCAGCCGCGCCATGGCGGCGAGGATGACGGGCACCAGCTTCTGCTTCGCCAGCCACTTGGCCTTCCATGCCGCACACCACGCCACCACCTGCGCTGCCTGCAGCACCGAAACACACATTCTAACAGTCTGTCAGTTCGCATTCACCACGATTGAATGTGGAGTGAGTTTCCCTCATGCTGGTGTGTGTTGGTCGTGTTCCTTGTTACGATTCCCTATCGAGCATCATCTGCCTCATCTGCGCCACTTGCGCCATTGCAGCGCGGCAGGGGCGTGGCGCCTCACCTGGAACCTGGTGGCGGGTTCGAGGTGCGTGTTGCTGGCGAGCTCGAGCGCGAACTGGATGACGGCGGGCAGCGAGGGCGCGATGACGGGCGCGGGGTGCTCCGCCAGCTCCGTCACCACCTCGCACACGCGCACCACCGCCGCCTCGTCTCCGCTGCCCGCTGAGAACCGCCCCACGTCCAGCATCGGCGCCACCAGGTCGCGCATCAGCGCCTAGGCGGGGGAGCGGGAGGGGGAGGGGGGGAGGGGAGGAGGAGGGGAGAAAGGCGAGGGAGGGATGAGCGGAGGGGGTTGAAGCGGATGCGGGGGAAGCAAGAAGAAGCGGAGGGGGCGAGAGCAGGAGAGAGAAAGGACGGAGGCGCGAGCAGCGCAATGTCCTGTGCTACGTATTAATCCGCGAATTCGCGGCACTCACCACGTCTTGCTCGCTGTCCAGATACTCCACCAGCGCCGCCACGGCCCTGCGCACCCACGCACCCACCCATCGGGGAGTTGCAAATGTGTGAATTTGGAACCAAGGGGAAAATCAGTAAGAACTCGCGACACGCGAGACCCCGTATGCGACGATCAGGTGGTGCAGGCAGCGCGGGCGGTGTGCGCGGGCGGTGTGCGAGGGGCAGCAGCGTAAGGGGGGTGCGCGCGGAGCAGCAGCGCGAGGGGTGCGGGCGGGGTACTCACTTGAGCGCGGCGACGCGCACTCGCGCGCTGGCCTGGTCGCGCAGGCCCGCGACGAAGATGCCGTGCAGCGCGGGAAAGTGCGGGCGCAGCACGTCCCCGATCGTCTCCACCAGCGCCGCGAACAGAATGAACGCCAGCTGCGGGGGGAAGTGGGGAGCGGAGAGGGGAAGCGGGAGGGGGAGGAGCGGAGAGCGGACCGTGGGGAGGGGGAATTTACAGGTGAATGGCGCAGTGGTGGAGCGGACGGCGGGGAATTGGATGCGGCGTAAGCGCAGGGGTTGACGCGGAATATGGTGTGAGGGCGGGGGCTCACCTCGCGATGGTCCTCCTGCTGCCCCTGCGAGCACTGCAGCAGGAACGGCAGCAGCTCCGGCCACTCGCCATTCGGCACGCTGTGCTTCGCGATCACGCTCGCCACGTCTGCACTGGCGCGGCGCACCACAGGGCTGCATTACGGTAGGGCACGACACGGGAGCGAGGGATGCACGATCAGGGGGCACGGCGAGGAATGCGGGGGATGCCACTATCTGACGAACAGTGTGCTATGAAATGCCAGATAGGGGTGCGATCAAGCCCCACACTTCATATCTCCGCACCTCCGAAACTCGATCCCTAGAACGCAAGCTTTGGTTAGACCGATACCATGAGCCGCGCCCTTTGCCCTACTCGTAAGCTCGCTACTGGTAACACCACGTGCGCCTAAGCGGCGACAATGCTGGAGGCTGACGGAACGGGCTTCGCACCTACACGGCGACCGAATCGGATTCCGCACCTGGGCTCGAGCGCGATGCTCTCGAGGAGCGCGGACTTGATGCTGGCCTTGGCCTCCGCGGGCTGCTGCGCCCACAGCCCCGCGACCTTCTTGCGCATGAGCACGGCGGCGAGCTGGCGCACGTCGGGCGCGGGGCCCGCCTTGAGGAAGTGCAGCAGCGCGAGCAGCACGGCGGGGTCCTTGGAGAGCTGCTTGAACGCCGCCTCCGCCGCCTTGCGCGAGTCGTTGTCCGGCAGCAGCAGCTGCTGCAGCACCGCCGCTAGCTGATCCATCGCGAGAATTGGGGAGGGCGAAGAAATGAGTGAATTTGTTCGCGAGGAAAGGGAGGGGAGCGCGGGTGCGTGTGCGAGCTTAGAAGTCAACGCGAGGCTGCGCTCAACAGCTCAACGCAGCGGGGAAAGAAAAGAGGTTCAACTGATGCAGGGGAGGTGAATTTGTTGATCGTTGCTGCCCTTTCCAGCTCCCAAGGCCTTCCCTTGGGAGCTCCGGAGCGCGGACCAAATTCGTGGCTGGGAAAGATCGTGATACAAAATTGTGGAGTGTTTCGCAATCAGTTTCGCAGCACTTGGCGAAACCGCGACTGCGGCACCCTTCTTCCGTTACTACCATGGATCCATGACATGTGATGCGATGCCATGCCATGAAGATGCTGTCATGTGATGCCATGCCACAGCGGTACACCATGGCAGGCACACACAGGTTGCATCCTCGCGAGACATGCTTCGCCTCCGGTTCGGTCTTTTTGGGCTTCGTCTCGAACACTAGCCTTGGGGGCAAGGCTGCTATTGGGAGGGATGGGAATCATGTGCATTCTATGTATATTCATTTGCACAACATACAAGATCAAGCTACGGTATGTTCACTCCCATACACAATGCAGACATCCAAGCAGCACTCAACAGGAGTGCGTGGTGAAGGGCAAGCCAGTGGTGAATCTTGTGAACAATGAGGTGTACATTATAATGAACGTGTAAGGTTAACCAATACGCCATAACAAACAACCTCCACCACTATTTGTGGATAAACTTCACTTTGAGAAGAAACTCCAATTGAATCTGCATATTTCCAACAGAAGAAGCAAATGCGTTAGAAAACCCCATTCACTGCAGAAAGTGCTGCACGTACAAAGAAAAGAACGTGTAAAAGACCGCATTGTATACAGTACCTGCGATGTATCGTAGACGATAAACTCGTTGTAGCGCAGGTGGCTGTTCTTGACCCCTGAGGGCACGGGCTTGCCGCACGGCACAACGACATCGGAGGCCCACTTGACAAACTCGGCCTCCTTGGGCTTCATCGTCCCCAGCCCCTTGGTTGCATGCTTGCCCCGTGGCAGCTTCTCCACATACTGCATGGGAGGCACGGCAGGCAGCATCAGCGGGAGAGTTAATACAAATACTGGGGTGCCGGTAGGGAAAGGATTTGAATGTCGCTAGCAAGGCGATTGTGAGTGTGGTGGAAAAGGAAGAGTGAGGGGAAACTGGAGAAGCTGATGGGAGGGGAGGTTGTCAAAAGTTTGCTTGTTTAAATGCACCACCAGTTCAAAGGGCAATGAGGTGAGAGCAACGCTGAACTGGGCACTGACCTCGGCGGAAGTGAGTTCATAGAGAGCACCGAGCGCCACACGGGAGAGCAGCAGCAGGCCAACGTTGCTGTCACGGCTGGTGAAGCAGTACTGCGCACTCTTGCTCACCAGGTCCGCGAAATACACCCCCTTGCCAAACTGTCACGCAGAGAGAGGGGGGGGGAGAGGGGAGGAAGCAGCATGTGCATTGGAACAGCTAGGGATGGTGGCACAGGGGAATGCGGGAGGAATACACAGTGCGAGAATGGTGGCAGCGGAACGGGACATCGTATCAGGGTGCAGAAGGGGTGCGTACCATGTAGCCGGTAACAGGCGCCTCTGGCGGTGCAATGCGCAGGCCCTGTCTCAAGATGCCCACATAGTTGGTCACTCGTGAGCCTGCAGGGGGGAAGGTTGGCAGATGGCAGTGCAGGGGAAATCAGATGATGACACCACAGCCCAAACCACGAAGCACCACCGTATGTGCAGTGCACTGTGAATGTAACCATATGAGCATGTGAGCATACCGTGCCACAGCAGCATGTGAGCATACCGTGCCACAGCAGCATGTGGTTCTTGATGTCAGCACGGAAGGCCTGCTTCTCCCCACTGCGATCCACGCGGAACACATCCAGCAGCTCCAACTCCCACTCCTGCCCGCACGGGGTTCATGGAGAATCATGCGTGAATGGGGAGCATGGATGGAACGAAGGGCGGACAGGGTGAGAAGCCTATGGAAGAGCAAAGGCACGAAGCAGGCTGTGTGCATGCAAGGCCAGGACCATGCACCCGCGTACAAAGCACCTTGTGAGTGGGAGCATGCGTCTTGTGCAGGTAGTCCTTGACGAGCGAGTAATCAGCATCGCTGTGCTCCAGCGGCGACAGCCCGCACTGCAGCTGCCGGTAGTGGCGGTCCACCGGGTCCTCCTTCTCCCCCGCCTCGCCCTCGCCTGCCCCCTTGCTGGCACTGAGCAGCGTGGACGTCACCTCCATGTCCCTCAGCGCCTCCAACATGCGGATCTGCATGCCATGGCGCACATGGCATACACAGCAACCCAGGCACATACAAGGCACACAGGTCACATGGGAGGGCAGGACGAGGCCATAGTCAGTGCATGCAGTCCACTCCACTGAGGTAAGGTGCAGAGCTCGATGCAGCAACAGCAGCAGGTACACACGCCCCACTCGCACCTTTGTGGTGAGAGCCTCGAGTGTGCGGATGGCAGCGGGGTTGACGGTGGGGATGAGAGTGAAGAAGCGGTTCGACACGTCCACAATGGTGCTCTCCCTGTGTAGTTTGAGTCGACTCAAAACGCACCTTGGTGGTGAGTGCCTCGAGAGTGCGAATAGCGGCGGGGTTGACAGTGGGGATGAGAGTGAAGAAGCGGTTGGACGCGTCCACGATGGCGCTCTCCCGCCGCCCCGTGCTGTCGGGCGGCAGCTGCAGGGCGGCCTGCACGTCCGTGAGCACGTGGAAGCCGCGCTCTATGTGGCGCTTGGTGAGCTTGCCCAGCGGCATCTCCCGCACGTTGATCTCAAACTCCACCATCGCCTCCCTGCCACGCGTGTGCACGGTGGAGGTGGTGCGGGGAGGGGGAGGAAAGTGTTAAGAGGACGAGGAAGAAGGGGGCACGAATTCCAAAAGGTGCTTGGTGAGCTTGCCCAGCGGCATCTCCCGCACGTTGATCTCACACTCCACCATCGCCTCCCTGCTCTCCACAGTGCCGCGCGGTGTGCGGTGAGGGGGGTCGCGGCGGGCGAGAGGGGAGGAAAGGACGAGTGGGGTCATTGAAGGGACTGGGAGAGAGGGGGTGAGTGCAGTGGGCAGTGGGCATAGAGGCTGACACATGAGATCACTGGGACGAGGGGTGTGACACTTGAGAGCAAGCACGCAGAGAATATTATCCTGAGTCACAGCAACACCGAATGGATCTGAGGTCGAAGATCATCAAGAGCACCTGCCAGCATGTGAGCAGCAGCACGCGAGCTCCCGTCAGTGAGCTCCAGTCAGTGAGCTCCAGTCAGTGAGCTCCAGTCAGTGAGCTCCAGTCAGTGAGCTCCAGTCAGTGAGCTCCAGTCAGTGAGCTCCAGTCAGTGAGCTCCAGTCAGTGAGCTCCAGTCAGTGAGCTCCAGTCAGTGAGCTCCAGTCAGTGAGCTCCAGTCAGTGAGCTCCAGTCAGTGAGCTCCAGTCAGTGAGCTCCAGTCAGTGAGCTCCAGTCAGTGAGCTCCAGTCAGTGAGCTCCAGTCAGTGACCTCCAGTCAGTGAGCTCCAGTCAGTGACCTCCAGTCAGTGAGCTCCAGTCAGTGACCTCCAGTCAGTGACCTCCAGTCAGTGACCTCCAGTCAGTGACCTCCAGTCAGTGACCTCCAGTCAGTGACCTCCAGTCAGTGACCTCCAGTCAGTGACCTCCAGTCAGTGACCTCCAGTCAGTGACCTCCAGTCAGTGACCTCCAGTCAGTGACCTCCAGTCAGTGACCTCCAGTCAGTGACCTCCAGTCAGTGACCTCCAGTCAGTGACCTCCAGTCAGTGACCTCCAGTCAGTGACCTCCAGTCAGTGACCTCCAGTCAGTGACCTCCAGTCAGTGACCTCCAGTCAGTGACCTCCAGTCAGTGACCTCCAGTCAGTGACCTCCAGTCAGTGACCTCCAGTCAGTGACCTCCAGTCAGTGACCTCCAGTCAGTGACCTCCAGTCAGTGACCTCCACTCAGTGAGCTCCTGTGAGCACCTGATGGACTTGAGGTCGAAGATCATCATGAGCAGCGCCACCAGTCGCTTGTCCAGCTTGCTCCTTGTGCCCATCAGTGCCCCGCCCTGCTCCTCCTCCTCGTCCCCTCCTCCATAGTCCTGCCAGGCAGGGGGAGAGCAGATGCGCACCGGAGCATTGATGCTGATTGCTATTGTCTTTCAGTTCATCTCCTAACCCTGAAACCCCAAATCCTAAACCAATGATGCGCCCACATATGAGCAGGCAGGCGTTACAACAGCACGGCATGGCAGCTGCTCACACTGCTGCAGCGGTTAGAACTATCTCTATGTCAGCAGCTGGAACAGATGCCATCAGCCACTCACAATCTCAAGAGGGTAAAACTTCCCAGGCTGCTTCTCAAAGCCTGATTTCTTCTGCCACGCGTCCCAGTCGTTGCCTGTCTTCTCCCTGAACAGGCGCTTGAACAGCCCCATCGCCCGCTCACGACTCTCCTGCTCCAGCTTGCTCCCCCCCCTGCCCTCGTTGCCCACGCGCCCCCACTTGCGGAACACGTGGCACGTGGGTGACTTGTCGTCCTCTATCACCTGCAGGATGTAGTAGCTGCAAGGAGGGGAGCAGAGGGCAAGGGAGTGAGAGGGAGGGTGGGATACGTGAAGAGCAAAAGAAGTGTTGGAGGGTTTGACGTGTTGCCTCCGCTGCAGGAAGAGGGGACGGGGAGTGGGGACAGAGGACGGGGAGAGAGGAAGAGGTGGATGTTAGATACCGCATGCAGCAGGTGCAGTGGATTGAAGCAGGCAGCGTGTGGTGGTGCGAGGGAAAGAAGGAGGCAGACCTGTTGGCGCCAGTGGAGAGGTCAGCGAGGGAGAGCGTGGTGCTCCACACGCACCCCTGGCACTCCAGCACGTGCCCCCTCTCCGCCAGCCCCGACGCCTCATGCACCGCCGCCCGCCCCTTCACACGCACCGTTGCCCGCACCTGCTCCTCCCCCTCGCCCGCCCTGCCCTTGCCCTTCCCCCCAACCCTGCTCTGCTTCCCAGCAGCGGCGGCAGGGCGATTGGCGTCCACCTGCTGCAGCAGCTGCAGCGAGAGGGGCAGCAGGTAGGCGCGCATGGGCAGGCGGCGCTTCTGTGAGAGCGCTTCCAGGAGATAGGCCTCCGAGACCACCGCTGCTCCCAGGACGCTGGGGTGCGGGAGGGGCGCGGATGGATGGAGGGCACGTGGAATTGACGATCAGGTGGGGTTGTTGCGAAGGAGGGTGGCGGGAGAGGAGAGAGTGGAATGGTGGATGGGGTTGAGTTTAGGGCAAGGCAAGGGACGGATGGTAGGGATGGGATGGGGTGATAGCAGGGACGGAAAGACAGTAGAGGTGAAGAGGTGGAACAAGGTGCGGCAACTTTGTTTTGGGAATCTGACAGATCGTTGGCAGAGGCAGTGGGAGCAGTGGAGAAAGTTGGGATGGGGAGGGGGAGAGGTGGTGGACGTACAGGGGCGGCAGGAGCTTGTCCTCATTCTTCTCCACGTCTGCCTCGGTAGCCACAATGCAGTCCACCTCTGGTGCACGCCGGGCGCAGGGGGCGAGTGGGGGAGGGGAGGAGCAAGGGAGGAACAAACGGGAATGAGGGGATGGAAAGGAAAGCACGGCGGATGGTGGAGCGATGATGGAATGGAAGCACTGTCACGGCAGGAAACCCCGAAAGAAAGAGCAATGTGAATCAAATCAGCGCGATGCTTCTGTGGGCAGCAAACCTCACGAAACAACTCCACACGCAAGAGCAGCTTGCCAGCACACTCACTCACCCGCGCTCGTCAACGACACCACAGCACCACCACCCTCCTCAATCTCCTTGCGCCACGCTGCCTGGGTGCGGGACAGGCGCCCCACCAGCGCCACATGCACCCCCTCCAGCGGCTTCTCACGCTCCACTCCCCCATCCGGTATCGCTGCCTCCCGCCCCTCCCTTGCTGCTCTACCGCCCTTCCCCCGGCTCGCTTCCTTCCCGCCCGCCCCTGCCGTGCTCGCCTGCTTCACCTCACTGCGCTTCTCCTCTGGGGGCAGCACCCGCTGCGGCCACACACTCGCCCCCTCCTCCCCCGCCTCGCTCCCCTCAGCCTTCCCCTTGCCCTTCCCCTTGGCCCGCCCCTTGCCCTTGCCCTTGTCTGCTGCATTGAAGCGCTGCTGCTGCTTCAATCGGTACTCCTGGCAGCAGCAAAACGCAGAGGCAAGAAAGCAGTGAGCGCAGGAGCAAAGGCCGCACAGGCATTGACAAGTTGTACAGCTGCATGGGATGAGAGGAACGTAACTGATGAGAGCTCACAATGACCATGCGAGTCAGGAACGAATTAAGCTCATCAATAATAAGTCACCATAATTCAGAAAATGCCTCCAATACGGATCCGCCACTGCTGAGCTGACACCGCCACTCACATCAACAAACGGGTTGGTAATCTCCTCAGGAACCACCCAGGCAGCTTGCTTGCGCTGCACGTCGCGAGTGGTGAAGGAGCAGGCGGACCAAGCAGAGAGGAACCCTCGGCAGCGGTACCGCCCATCCCAATACTCCATGGGGTATGCGCACAGCTGGCACGGCGGCAGGGGGCCAAACAGCATGCCGTCCGCACACCGCTCCCTCAGGGCGTCCTCGCTGCCACCTGGCTCCTGCTGATTGGCCTCCAGCATGGCGCGCATGTCTGCTACAGTCAGGTGCGCGCGCAGCTGGTCCTTCACCTCCCACACCCGCCTTGCCTGCTGCTCCAACGCCCTCTCTAGCTCCGCGCTCATCTTCCCCTCCTCGCTCTTCCCTGTGTCCTGTGGCTTGGCGTCCTCCTTCCCCTTCCCCTTGCTCTTGCTGCCTTCCTCGCCTCCCCCATCCTGCTCCGCCCCCCGCTGCCGCTTCTTGGGGGGCTCTGAAGGGGCCGTGGGGGGATGGTGGAGGAGGAGAGGGTGTCAATCAGATAAGAGCATGCAAACACAGAAACGGCACATGCAGGTACAACTAGGCAACCAATGCCCATCCACTGCCTTCACCTCTAGTCCTACACTCGCCGTTTATCACCACCCTCTGCACCCATTGACCAGCCATACACCCTACCTACCTCCCACCCACACACCGTACACGCACCTCCTCCTTTGCCCTTCCCCTTGGCCCCGCCTCCCAGTATATCCAGCAGGCGCTGCTGATCCTCCTTCTGAAGCTCGCCCCACCCCTGCCCGTGCGCCCCCTCGGCCAGATACCCTCCCCCCCACAGCACACTCACCTCCGCCCTTGCCCGTCCCCTTGGCCCCCCCTCCCAGCAGCTGCAGCAGGCGCTGCTGGTCCTCCTTCTGGAGCTCGCCCCACCCCTGCACGCCCTGCACGCGCGCCCCCTCAGGCCAGATGCCCTCCTCCCCCATGCACGCCACGTGCCGCCATGCAGGCACCTCCATGCCCCTCGATGCCTCCATGCGCGCCACTCGCAGCTGCGATTCACATAGGGGTAGGGCGGATGGGCATTGGGGGGAAGGGAATGATTGGTGCCATGCCGCGTGGCACCATGCTGGCACCTCCATGCCCCTCGATGCCTCCATGCGCGCCACTCGCAGCTGCGATTCACATAGGGGTAGGGCGGATGGGCATTGGGGGGAAGGGAATGATTGGTGCCATGCCGCGTGGCGCCATGCTGGCACCTCCATGCCGCGACTCGATGCCTTCATGCGCGCCACTCGCAGCTGGAGCGCATGGATGGGCAGGACGGGTGGGGTCGGGGCAGGGAAATATGGAGTGGGGTGGACCGACATGGCTATAGTCGCCTGGGGTCAGAAGGGTTGCAGGGAATAATGGCACGGAGAGAAAGGCAGGGGGGATGCATAGGGGGCGGAGCTTGGAGGCAGGTGGAAGCAGCACTCACCTCGCCCTTGGCGATCTTCTCATTGCAGTGCCGGCACGCCGACCGGTTGCTTGCAGCATACGTCACCTGGAATCCAGCCACCGTCCCCGCCGCTGCTTCCTCCCCCTCCGAACCTGAATCATCCGCCACTGCCTTCCCCCTCTTCCCCTTGCTCTTCCCCTCGCTCTTCCCCTCGCTCTTCCCCCCGTCACCCTTCGCCCCCGCAGCTGCAGCAGCCTTCCCCTTTCCCCCTTTGCCTGCTTTCCCCGCTTTCTCCGCTTTCCCCTCGCCCCCCGCTGTCCCCGCGGCCTGCGCGACCAACTCCCCCTTGGCGTACGCCCTGAGCGCCTGCTGGTCCTCCCAGCGCAGCACGTCCGCGCCCTCCACGTCGCCCACACTGGCAGGGGGAGACGGGAGGGGATACGTCGTGCTGTTGAAAGGCGGCGGTGCTAGGGAGAACCGTGCGGAAGGGGCAGAGACAGAGGCGGTAAAGGGGATGGGAGCAGACGAGCAGACGAGCAGACGAGCAGGGGAGCAGGGGAGCAGGGGAGCAGGGGAGCATTGGTGGCAGGAGGGGCAGGGCGGCACTGACTTGGTGATGAACCCCGGCGCCTTGAAGACGCAGCTCGCGTGGAACCACAGCTGCTCCGCGCACATGGGGGGTGGAGAAGGGGGGATGGGAGGGGCATGGGCGGAATGAGAGGGGAATGGGCGGAATGAGAAGTAGAAGGCGCAATCCGGGAAAAGGAGGATGAGATGCAAATTGAGAAGAGGGGGCGGAATAAGGTTGAGAGCGGGAAGTGAGAATGGAGGGAGATGCAGGGGAGGCGGAACGGCGCGTGCATGACTGTAATGCCTTCAATCACAGGACACTAACCAGAGAGGAATAACGCCATGAATTTCAGAGCCATTAGAGCCATCGATTGTGACGCAATGCGACATGTATCCATAATGAAATCCGAAGCCACTATGAGCGCATTACCGTCATGAATCCGTCGAACTGCTTCGACTCGACGACTTTGGCGATGCGAAAAGCGTCCTTGGCGATGCTCTCCTTGCACTTCCGGCAGCTCGCGCGCGCCGACTTGGCGTACTCCGCCTTGAACGGCTTCGGCTTGGCGCGCTCTCCCTCGTCCGCCATGGCGCTGGCGTGTCAAGTACGCGAAGGATGATGGTCTGTGCGCCTATGACTAAAATGGCGCGAAACTTATGGTAGGATGGAAAACAAGAACTGAACAGTCCTTGGTGGCATTGGAGACCCAGAATTTGCCGTACGCAGTATTGACGGTCTCACTCTCGCCATAAAATAATTTGCCGAACCCAGAATGTGCTCTCTGGACGAAAAAGCTAGCGACAGTGTCAAACAATAGCTGCTATCATAGAGCTTGCATTCCTTCCTAGGCATTACATTCTATGTGCATTACATGCGGACATTACGGTATGATATTACCGGAACTGCTTTGTAGATGCACATGTGGGAGGGAGGAGAGGGAGTGAAGACGGGAGACAGCGACGTATGAGCGGGTAACGAGGATACCCCACGGGAGACAGACGGCTGCGATCGCCGCGAGGACGAGAACTCGCATTCCTACGCGTCGATTGCTCCGCGGCATTTTGGATAGTCCACGCCGAATGGGAGATTTGGCATGAAGGGGGAGATGATCAAGCGAGGGCTGTGCTTGTTTGTTGCTTCGGTTGAAATGGGTTGGGTTAGATTTCAAAATGAACACAAAGTGCTTCTGCACTAGGCTATGAAGAAACCTCGTGGTGGTACTGTGAGCGCCTATAACGAGTCGAGGACTCCACCTCCGCATCCAGGGCGAACGAATTCCTTGCGACTTCCACTCCAGCACTCTTCTGCTCTTGCCCCCACAGTTTCGGGAATCCCAAGGTTGCTGTCTTTGCCTGCTCGCGCTTCAAGCTTGTCGCACTTCACACGCGACCAGCTTCCTGCGCTCCTTACCCTATATACTGTCGTTTCCCGTTCAGATCCTTGCTGCTCGAAGGCATTGTCTGCGACATGTCCAGTAGGCGTGCGAAGGTGCTTCTAGGTGTAACGGTCCTCGCGACTGTCGCTGGGTCGCATACGTGCACCAGCTGCAAGTGAAGGAGCGAGAGGTGTGCTACCTCTTCTCATTGCCTATATTTTTGTCTTCCTCCATCATTCAGTCACGGTTATATTCTCTCAGCACTGTTTTCACTGTGTCATTGACACTAAGTGGCACCTAAGGCATTGCACAGATCCGCTTCGTCTGCTCATGGTGTTTAGTCGCCACGCCGTGAATTCCCTCACGCCACGTGGCACAGAACCTCCACCGCGGCGTGTTGCGCGACGACCAGCTTTTGGAGGAGAAGCGTCCCCAGTTCCAGTCGCAGGCCCAACCGTCGCATTCACCGCTGTCGCAGATGCAATCGTCGCAAGCATCCCCTCCAGCAACGCAGCAGCAGTAACCCGAATCCGGGACACCACACGAGGCATCAGGACATTTTGTCCCAGATCCAATCACAACCGTCAGCGTCTTCACCCTTGGACCCGATCCTCCCACTCTCTTTTAGATATTCCGTTTCAAGCACCAGCAGCCATTCTTACACTGCACCCTGGCCAAGATACGAACGGAATGGCATTATCATCAGAACATCTTCACATGCGCATACCAGCAACGGATCAGTCTCCACTGTTCCAGCTCTCCGCCATGCTCCCTCCATCTTCTCCCCTCTCCCCATCTCATCCCCACTCCCCGTCATCTTCTCCGTCATCCCCCTCCCCCTTCCCTTCCTCCTCCGTTAACCCTCCCCCTTCCGCCTCCCCGTCCCCCTTCTGGCGCATGCCCCTCTCCCCCTCCCGCGTTTACCTTATTGATTCACCCGCCTCCTTCCGGGCGGCAAGGGTTGACGTTATCCTGTCCAAGGCAATCATGGTGGGGCTTGATGCCGAGTGGCGACCGTCCAGACTCCGTCGGGAAATGGCTGAGCTGGCACAACAGGCTGACGTGTCTAAACAGGCTGGCGTGGCAGCTACATCATCACTTCAAGCAGCAGCGGCATCAGCATCAGCAGCATCAGTAGCAACGGCAGCAGCAGCAGCGTCATCTGCGGAAATTCTCCCCCCAGCGTCAACAGCAGGGAGGAGAGGAGCAGAACGGCGGGGTATCAGCAGCAGACGTACAGCTTGCAATCGATGGACAGCTGGCAGCAGGCAGACAGGTGGCAGGGGGCGGACGGGTGGGAGGAGGTGGTGCTGCTGCTGGACCTGCTGTCTCTCCCGCCCTGCCTGTACGCCCCCCCTCTCCGCGCCATGCTGCGCGCCCCGCACACCCTCAAGCTTGGCTTTGCCTTTTCAGACGACCTCGAGTTCCTCCACCAATCCCTCCCCTTGTACCACCGCTCCCTCTCCTCCCACCACCACTCCCTCCCCCCACATCATCACTCCCTCCCCTCACACCACCAGTCGCTATCCCCAGATCACCACTCCATGCCCCAGGACCCAGACCATGACCGCCAACTCCTCCCGTCAGATCACCCCTCCCGCCTTCATGCCACGAGCACCCGTCCCTCGACTGCTTCCATCACGTGTCGCCCTTCATAGACGTGGGCGCGGCCTACCACGCCATTCGCCGCGCCCGCCTACACCTCAAGCGAGACAACCTGCTCTCCCTCCTCACCACCACCGCCCCTCCCGGCTCCCTCGCCAGCAGATCAGTGCTGCCGCCCGCGTCTGGGCTGTCAGCGCTGGCGCAGGTGCTGCTGGGGGCGCCGCTAGACAAAGAATTGCAGTGCAGTGACTGGGAGCAGCGGCCGCTGTCACGCCACCAGCTGCACTATGCTGCTGCTGATGCCCTCTGCCTTATTCACATGGCGCTCGCACTTCTCCCCCTCGCTCTGCGCCCCCACGCCCTCTCTGCCCATGCCCTTTCCGCAAATGGAAAGGGGCAGGTTGGACTAGCAGCAGTACATGGAGGCCCATCCACGTCACCATCCCTGTCAGCATCATCCTCGTCAGCATCCTCGTCAGCGTCCTCGTCAGCATCCCCTTGTGTTGTTGATCAGCCCATTCCGGCTGCATCTGTTTTAGTAACTGCGTGTACTGTCACGCCTGCACTCCCACCCTTACAGTCACACCATCGCCTCATACACACCATGCAACATCAGCAGCAGCATTAGCAGCATCATTATGAGCATCGTCATCACAATCGGCATCAGCAGCAGCAAAACAGGGCTGCAACCCTCACCGCAGCCAGCAGCACCAGCACTCTCGTTGCTGCCCTATCAGAGCTCATAGAGGAACACTCCCACACGCTCTCCCTCTGCCACATCACTGGGAAGGTGCGCTCTGTGGGAAAGAGCATGGACTGCATTAACAACAGCACCAGCACCAGCACTGAAGGAGAAAAGGGCCATGTGCATCCAAAAGTTGACATCAGAATTTGCTGACGTGTGATCTTATCGTGCCGAATGTGCATGTGTTGGTGCTAAAACCTACACTTTCTGCCCTCCACCCTTGCACAGGAAACTAATAGAGTGGGCAGAGAGGGAGGGCCGTGTGCTTCTAACGAGGGACGTGAAGCTCTTCCAGCGCCGCCTGCTGCCGCCCACCCACATGCACCTCATTAGAAGCACCGACAAGCGCGAGCAGCTCCGCGAGGTGGTAACCGCGTTCCGCCTGCGCCTGCCTGCTCAAGTCAAAAGCCATAAAGCAATTAGATGAGGTGTACCAGCTGAGCTAGTGCAGCAGACAAACATTGTGGCCAGCAGTACAGTTCATCCTGCTCTGCAGGGGTCTTCATGTCATTCAATGCGCTCCGACACGCCTACTGAAGCAACAGTCTTCAGTGTGTTGCTCACCACTTTCTGGTTCATCCCCACCCTAAGCCAAGTTGACACAGCCAAGGCTGCATGCTGAATTTTCAGGTCCGAGACATCATAAACACACTGAGAATCAGTGTTTCTAATAGCCTGGCAGAATAACAGATAGGAGCAGCTTTCGATGAGCTATAGTTCTCACATATTGGAACTAGGTGAAATCACACTTCCTTTCCTCGATGGATACATGGGATGATGGGTTTTGCTCACCTGGCCTTGTTATTTCCAGAACACATTACATTCAGTTGGGATTTATTTTGTATGTAGTCTGCTATTCCAAGAAATGCGCTCTGTTTTAAGGATCCATACATAGAGCTGAAGCATTCATATCGTATTTTCTTATCGGTTTGTCTGGTCTGATTAGGCTGGTGTGTACAGTTCAGCGGATGTGCGTGGAGGGTCGAGGTGTCCCAAATTTGGTGATGTGGCGAATCTTTCCAGTACGAGGCAGCACCGTGATAAGGCTTTGACGATGGTTCCTTCTTCGGCGGCGTATGTGCTGTGACGTCAACACACTGCCTGTGCCCTCCCCTTTCCCGCATTTCTTCCAAATTTGAACCGTCGTCAGAAAACGCGCCTCGGCTGTGTGTTTTTTGTGGACCAAAGCGAGTTGTTGTGATCTTATCCTCTTCGCAATGTTTCGTCTGTGATCTCCTGACGAGTCGTTGTCCAACCAGTGTCGTCGTAAGCTGACAGGCTGTAAGTACCGCTCGCAAGGAGTGGTGGACGGCTTTCGCCGAAGGTCGCGCGCACATCTTCCTGGCACCCTGCACAAGCCCATTTCCCTTTGGATTTCACGAACAGTTCCGTCGGCAACTCGTCCACTTCCCGCCTGTCCCCCGTGGCGCGTTCCGTGCTTTGAATTTTCGGTTGTGTGTTTTTTTGAAACGCAAATGTTTTATGCTGGCAACATCTTCGAATAAATCTCTAAGCAAAGCAGTGACACACGTCTTGATTTCAGGTTTTTTTTTAATTTGGGAAATACATCGCATGCTGTATGTGTACCTAAAATGTTTTTTTTTACTCGCAGCAGGTGGTGGTGACCACCACATCCCACAGGGTTGCTGCAATCTGACACTGTAGTTTTCGGCTTGTAGTGAACCAACCACTCCTCTGCTCCATCCTCACCTTGCGGCAAGGATGTTCAGGGAGCCTCCTCACAGAACAGAAACACAAACATACTTGCAAGGAGAAAGTAGAGCCTCTAGACGCACTGTCTGTGTGTTTGGTAGCATGTATATAACAGAGTGACTTTGAATCGTAAAGCTTTAAGCTCATAATTCCCGAGGTCGCCCACCGTAATTTTCCGTCATCAACGAGCTTCATTCGCCCGACCACCATGCGCTTTGGAAGTCGCCCACCATAATTCCCGTCATCCACGAGCTTCATTTGTCTTAGCTCATAAACCCTGGAGATCGCCCATCAACCATTCGCCCCCATCACCAACTGCAACCCGCCTCCATCCGCACACCGCCCCTCGCCCAGCCTACTCTTCGATCTCCAAAGGTAAGCAGAGAGTTCTTATGTCTACTTGTTCCGAGCTAGACGTTTATTAAATGTCATTATTTCAAAAGTTATTTGTGTAAACTTCCGATTACTGACTCATCTGTACACGAACTTCTGCTTCGCATCCAAACTTCTGCTCAACACAAACTTCTGCTCAACACGAACTTCTGCTCAACACGAACTTCTGCTCAACACGAACTTCTGCTCAACCCGAACTTCTGCTGTTCAAGCCGTGCGTGGCGCTCTGACACGTTGGGAGTGCTGCTGTACAAGCCGTGCGTGCCTGACTTCACGGACTCTGACGCTTCACGGACTCTGACGCTTCACGATGACGCGCCGCTCTCCATTCAAGCCTTGGCTGGCCCTGACGCGGTTGATGTGGTGGAACGTGTTGCTGCCGCCGTTCATCCCGCTGCCAACGTCATAGGGGAGTGTTGCTTCCCTTTCCCGATCCCGATTTCGTTTTCCTCGCTTTCGTATTTCGTCATCATTATCATCATCATCCACAACCGCCATTTGTGAATCGCGTTTCCATCGTCCCTCTGATTCATACGGTTGCAGCTGGAAGAAGATCCTCCTCGGTTGGGTAGATGGGGTTGGCTAGATTAGATCCTCCCTCTGAAGGCTGCAGCCTATGAATCATGGACGTCCGCCCTCGTTTTCTTTGTCGTTTTCATGTTCATTTTCGTTCTCGATTTTCTTGTTTTTTTTTCCCCTTGCTTTTCTTCGTGTCATCGCTGTATACTAACTTCGTGCTTCTGTGTGTGTTTCTTCCCCCCGTTTCCAGCAAAGGAGGATCGCGTGGAGGCAGATCTGCACCAAGGAAGCTACCAAGGATCCGTTGAAGGAAGTCACCAAGTCGTCTATCAATGCACCGTTGAAGCACCTGGTAAGCTTTTCACTGTCTCAGTCCTTCCACTATTTACCGTTGCAATTGGTGTATGTCTGTTTTTCTAAAGATTCTTCTTCTGAGAATCGGATAATCTGGTAACAAGATTACTAATATGTGTGTCGTTTTCTCTTAAACATGACCAGCCACGGAGGAGATGACGAACGGAGGAGATGACGAATGGAGCTGTCAATGAAGCAGTGAAGCCTACGAGCAGCCAACCGAGGAGCTCGAGCGGCCTACCAAGGAGCATGGGAAGCTACCAAGGATCCGTTGAAGGAAGTCACCAAGTCGTCTATCAATGCACCGTTGAAGCACGTGGTAAGCTTTTCACTGTCTCAGTCCTTCCACTATTTACCGTTGCAGTTGGTGTATGTCTGTTTTCCTAAAGATTCTTATTCTGAGAATCGGATAATCTGGTAACAAGATTACTAATATCTGTGTCGTTTTCTCTTAAACAGGACCAGCCACGGAGGAGATGACGAACGGAGGAGATGACGAATGGAGCTGTCAATGAAGCAGTGAAGCCTACGAGCAGCCAACCGAGGAGCTCGAGCGGCCTACCAAGGAGCCTTCGAAGCAACTGACGCAGCCCGCGAAGCCGCCACGGAAGATGTCAAGTAAGTTTCTGATTCCTTGCTTTGTCCATCCTTGTCATTTGCGATTTTCTGCTTGAGCTGATGGTTGATAATTTCTTAAAAAATTGAGTTTATACTAATATGCGTCCCTTGTTTTCTTTAACAGGACCAACCAGCCAAGCTGCCAATGCAGCAAATGGAGAACCAGCTGATGGAGCAGTCTACAGATTCTCCTACGAAACGCATGGCGGATCAGCCTTCGAAGCTGGTTGTGTGGGACTGGCTGCAAGGAGTGAAGCTACAAGCAGCTGAACTTGTGGTAAGTTTATCCGTTTTTCGTTTAGCCATTTTAACCGTGTTATCCTTAATCTAGCTGCAAAATGGTGTCTTTCCTTTGAGATTTTGATTCAGAATGAATACTAATTTTTGTCTGTCGTTTCTCTTAAAACAGGACCAAGGAGCCTAAGAGCAGCCAACCAAGGAGCTCGAGCGGCCTACCAAGGAGCCTTCGAAGCTGTCAAGCAGCCGTCGAAACTGCCATGGAATCTGTCAAGTAAGTTTTTGATTCCTTGGATTGTTCATCCTTGTCATTTGCCGTTTTCTGCTTGAACTGGTTGTTCATAGTTTTTTCGAAATTCGAATGTATACTAATATGTGTCTGTTGTTTTTCCTTCAACAGGACCAAACAACGAAGCTGATGGAGCAGTCTACAGATTCTCCTACGAAGCGCATGCGCGAGCAGTCTACAAGTTCTCCTAAGAACGCATGGCGGACCCCCCTTCAAGTCTCCTTCGAAGCACATGATGGATGTGCGCTGGGCTGCAAAGAGCGGCGGAAGCGAAATCTGGGCTGCAAGGCGGCGGAATCGAAATCTGGGCTGCAAGGCGGCGGAAGCAAAGTCTGGGCTGCAAGGCGGCGGAAGCGAAGTCTGGGCTGCAAGGCGGCGGAAGCGAAGTCTGGGCTGCAAGGCGGCGGCGGACTGGACTACTGGACTCCTTAGCGGCGGAGAAGCCAACGAAGCCGCCATTGAACTTCCAAGGTAAGCTTCTGAGTATGAGCATTGTTGATCCATCCTGTTCCCCGATTCTGCTTTAGCTGGTTTCTAATCGTTTTCCTAAACCTCAAATTTGTACTCATTATTGTGTGCTGTTGTTTTTTTAAACAGGACCAGATGTTGAAGAAGTTGCAGCCCACGATGCGGCAGAGCGGACGACTTAGCTGCGGTGCAGCCCACGACGCGGCAGAGCAGACGACTTAGCTGCGGTGCAGCCCTCGACGCGGCAGAGCGGACGACTTAGCTGCGGTGCAGCCCACGACGCGGCAGAGCGGACGACTTAGCTGCAGAGCAGCCCACGACGCGGCAGAGCGGACGACTTAGCTGCAAAGCAGCCCACGACGCGGAGGAGCGGGCGACAGAGCTGCGGTGCAGCCCACGACGCGGAGGAGCGGACGACTTAGCTGCAGAGCAGCCCACGACGCGGCGGAGCGGACTACTTAGCTGCAGAGCAGCCTACGACGCGGCGGAGCGGACTCCTTAGCTGCGGAGCAGCCTACGAAGCGGCGGAGCGGACTCCTTAGCTGCGGAGCAGCCTACGAAGCGGCGGAGCGGACTCCTTAGCTGCTCAGCAGCCTGAAACTCAGCAGCCTGCGACTCAACAGCCTGCGACTCAGCAGCCGAGTCAGCAGCCTACGACTCAGCAGCCTGCGACTCAACAGCCTGCGACTCAGCAGCCTGCGACTCAGCAGCCTACGACTCAGCAGCCTATGACTCAGCAGCCTGCGACTCAGCAGCCGAGTCAGCAGCCTGCGACTCAGCGATTCAGCCTGGTGCAGACGAGGGGAGAGGCGGCCTGGTATGGGCTGCGGAAGCGGAGTATGGGCTGCGGAAGCAGAGTATGGGCTGCGGAAGCGGAGTGTGGGCTGCGGAATTGGAGTGTGGGCTGCGGAAGCGGAGTGTGGGCTGCGGAAACGGAGTGTGGGCTGCGGAAGCGGTTGCTGGGCTGCGGAAGCGGAGTGTGGGCTGCGGAAGCGGAGTGTGGGCAGCGTAGCAGCCTACAGGGAAGCAGCGTAACAGTCTACAGGGGAGTAGCGATGCAGCCTACAAGGGAAGCAGCTTAGCATCCTACAGGGAAGCAGCTTAGCTGCCTACAGGGAAGCAGCGTTGCAGCCTACAGGGAAGCAGCGTTGCAGCCTACAAGGAAGCAGCGAAGCAGCCTACAGGGTAGCAGCGAAGCAGCCTACAGGGTAGCAGCGAAGCAGTCTACAAGGGAGCGGCGTAGACGGAGGGTGGGCTGCAAGGAGTAGACGGAGGAGGAGGCTGCGGAAGCGGTTGCTGCGGAAGCGGAGGCTGGTTGGGAGGGATGTGGCGAAGCAGTGGTGGATGTGGCGAAGGGTTACGCAGATGGTGGCTGGATGGAAGCTCAAGGGTGGCCTAAGATGTGGCTGAGCTAGCGCAGGCTCAGCCGGTCCTAAGGCGAGTGGCGCGGTGCGGGTGTGATCTCAGCAGTGATGTGATGGAGTAAGGGCCGGTGCTTGATTCGGGCAGTGCAAAGTCGCCCGGGAGGCTTTGCACTGCCTGGGCCCAGAATCAAGCAACCCGGGTACCTGACGCTCCAGGTAGCATCACCGTTGGGGTTGCACTTGCACCACAAGTCAGCACCGCACCGGGGTGGGTGCGGGGGGCTTGAGTCACTCTAAAGAGAAAGGAGACCGCACTGGCGTGGGTGCGGAGAGTTTCTCTTACCTCTGAATGATGAGTCCATACTGGCGTGGGTGTGGAAATACTCATTCTAGGTCACTTGAGGGTTTCTGTTTGGGAGGCTTGCGGTTTTACTTAAAGCTTCGCGGCCTTCTCACACTGGCGTGGGTGTGGGGGGTTCGTTCACTTGATGCGTCAGCCTGGAGCCACAGGGAGAGGAATGGAGCAGTGGAGGAGAGCCGCCGCCTATGCAGCAGCCGTTTGATGCAGTTGAGGGGAGCAGCCGCTTGGAGGAATTAAGGGGAGCAGCCGCTTGGAGGAGTTAAGGGGAGCAGCCGCTTGGAGGAGTTAAGGGGAGCAGCCGCTTGGAGGAGTTAAGGGGGGGAGCAGCCGTTTGGAGGAGTTGAGGGGAGCAGCCGCCTGCAGACAAGGGGAGAAGCAGCCGCCTCCTGGTGCAGAGAAAGGAGAAGCACCCGCCCGTTGCATTGAAGGGAGAAGCAGCCGCCCGTTGCAGAGGAGAAGGGGAGTAGCAGCCGCCCGTTGCAGAGGAGAAGGGGAGTAGCAGCCGCCCGTTGCAGAGGAGAAGGGGAGTAGCAGCCGCCCGTTGCAGAGAAGGGAGAAGCATCCATCCTGGTGCAGAGGAGAGAGGTGCCCCAAACCCTGAAGGGGAGAAGCAGCCGCCTTGGTGCAGAGAAGGGGAGTAGAATCACTAAGCCCTGAATGGGAGAAGCAGCTTGGTGTGAGAAAGGGGAGCAGCAGAAGCAGTCGGTGAGAGGAGTAGGTGTGAAGCAGCTTGGTGCAGAGAAAGGGGTGCATTCGCCTGGTGGAGTTAAAGGGGAGAAGCAGCCGCCTTCTCTAGAGGAGGGGAGGGGAATCCTTTAACCTTGAAGCAGAGAAGCAGCAGCTTGGTGTGAGAAAGGGGAGCAGCAGAAGCAGCCTGGTGCAGAGGAGATGGTGTGAAGCAGCCTGGTGCAGAGGAGATGGTGTGAAGCAGCCTGGTGCAGAGGAGAAGGGGTGTAGCCGCCTGGTGCAGTTAAGAAGACAATGGGAGAAGCAGCCGCCTGGTGCAGAGAAGGGGAGAAGAACTCCCAAACTCTGAAGGGGAGAAGCTGCTAAGGGGTGGAGTTGGGAAGCTGCCAAAGGATTTGGGAATCTGCCAAGGGGTGAAGAAGTTGGGAAGCTACTAAGGGGCGGAGGAGTTGGGAAGCTGCAGCAACAGCGACGTGCATCAAGAGCGACCATGGAGTTTTTTAGCCGAGCGTACGGCACGCCCCTCGTCTTTTGAGGAAGTCAGCCCGTCGGCATCCAAAGGGGATGCGGCGGGACGGATTTTTTTATCCATGGCTCGCGCACGCGCTGAACCAAAAAAAAAAAAACTTGGGAGATTGAGTGAGTGCAGTGGAGATGTAGCCGCTTGGTCTAGAGGAGAATGGAACCCCTAAACTTGAAGCAGCAGTGAAGGGGAAGCAGCAGTGAAGGGGAAGTAGCAGTGAAGGGGAAGCAGCAGTGAAGGGGAAGCAGCAGTGAAGGGGAAGCAGCAGTGAAGGGGAAGCAGCAATGAAGGGGAAGCAGCATGAAGGGGAAGCAGCAGTTAAGGGGAAGCAGCAGTTAAGGGGAAGCAGCAGTGAAAGGGAAGCAGCAGTGAAGGGGAAGCAGCAGTGAAAGGGAAGCAGCAGTGAAGGGGAAGCAGCAGTGAAGGTGAAGCAGCATGAAGGGGAAGCAGCAGTTAAGGGGAAGCAGCAGTTAAGGGGAAGCAGCAGTGAAGGGGAAGCAGCAGTGAAGGGGAAGCAGCAGTGAAGGGGAAGCAGCAGTGAAGGGGAAGTAGCAGTGAAGGGGAAGTAGCAGTGAAGAGGAAGTAACAGTGAAGAAGTGACGCAGTGATGCAGTGAACCAGTGATGCTGTGATGCAGTGTAGCTGTGATGCAGTGAAACGGAGCAGATGAGTAGAGAAGATATGGAGTAGAGACAGCGAGCAGACATGTACCCAGTTACCAGCTACCAATAGCAGTTTCCAGCCATATACTTTGAGCTTTCTATTCTCCTTGCACGTTGTACTAGGTTCATTAGTGCATTACTCACACAGAGCCCTCTATCGTATAACAAACAATTTACCCTGGTTGGCTTTGTCTAATAACGCTGCATTTGTTTATATGGGGAATGAACTGGTAGCAGGGTGTGTGAGCTGAGCACACTACAATAGCAGGGTGTGTGAGCACAGCACGTTGGGAATACTCACACTCCTCAGGACGGCAGTTCAAAGTGGCAAACGCTAGGTAGGGTAGCTTCTTCCAGCCCACAGAAAGGGGCTGGTTGGCATGGTACAAAAAGGTGCCACAATTCAGAGTGACACTGGTACCGTACGAGCCAAAATGACTGGCAATCAATCTTCTCCTCCAGACTGCTCTGCAACTGCACAGAACTCGCATTGGTGACATGTAACCAGGTTCAAATGGCATGTAACTAGCATATGCAACTAGCTTTTCCGACACGTAGCAGCACGGTTCAGATGACATGCAGCTCTGCGAGAAAGTGAGCAGTGAGGTCTGCGAGGAAGAGCACGTGAGAGCCGTCCACGTGCTGCACGCCCAGAAGATACTTCTCATCCCGCACCTTGAACAGCTGTGCGGTGCAGTGCGGTAAGGGGAATGGATGGAGCTCAAGAACAGTCATTACGATACGACTCAGGTAGTGACTTCAGGGGCAATGAACCCCACACCCGGCAAGTTCTGAGAATTCTCAATCTCACAACCTCCAGGACACATCCAGCAACAGAGCAGCGGGAGCCATTTGCGTTGCGGTATGCATGATTAAAAGGCATAGAAAGGCAACGAGGGGGAGGTGGAGTGCACAAGCAAGGGCGATGAGGGCCGTTGCTCAAGGTAAGTTCGATCGAAGAGCAGCAGTGAGAGAGACTGGGACACACACGCTCACCTGCATCTCAAACCGCAGTAAACGCCGAACCCCGTCGCCCACCAGCGCCTTCACAGGAATCACCGGGCGGCCTCTCTCGCCCTGTATCGTCCTTACACCATCCAACCGCCCCCCATCCACCAGCATCCCATCCGCATCCCCCCTGCCCCCACCATACCCACCCCCACGCCCATGCCCGCACCAAGAGGCTGTGCTAGAGGCAGCACGAGAGGCGGAGGAGGAGGAGTTGGGGGGGAAGGGGAGGGGTCCGTCCCAGCGGCAGTTGACGACGTAGGGAGAGAGCTTCTTCCCCCCTGCAGCGCTTGCAGTGCACGGAATACCTCCCCCCTCACCTCCATTGGGTGCGCGCGGGACTGGTGGGGAGGGAAGGGAGGAGGAACGGAGGAGGAAGGGAAGAGGAGGGAGATGGAAGTGGAAAGGATTGATGGGTGAGGTAGGAGGGGGGTGGGAGAGGGAGAGGGAAGGGCGGTCACCTGCAGCGTTATGCAGCTGCTCGTTTTCACACCCGCACTCATTGATACACACTTACATGCATGTGCACGTGCACTCTCTCCTGCAGCCCCAGAGCCCTCTGTCCGCCACAACCCTTTGATGATTATGCGCGGGCGACCCCGGCACCCCCATCCCCAGCCCACCTACCTGTTCCACGCCCACATTCACTCCCTCACCTGCAACCCCACCGCCCATTTCCGATCTGCCACAACGCGCTGATGATTATGCGCGGCCGACCCCGGCACCCCCATCCGCGCCACCAGCGCATGGCCCAGTCCCCCCCTCGCGGCCACCAGCGCATGGCCCAGTCCCCCCCTCGCGGCCACCAGCGCATGGCCCAGTCCCCCCCTCGCGGCCACCAGCGCATGGCCCAGTCCCCCCCTCGCGGCCACCAGCGCATGGCCCAGTCCCCCCCTCGCGGCCACCAGCGCATGGCCCAGTCCCCCCCTCGCGGCCACCAGCGCATGGCCCAGTCCCCCCCTCGCGGCCACCAGCGCATGGCCCAGTCCCCCCCTCGCGGCCACCAGCGGGGACTCATCAGCCGCAAGCGCGTAGCCCGTGGAGATGCGGCGGTGCGAGTCCAGCAGCAGGTAGTAGGCGACCGTGGCCTTGTTCGTGCGCCGCTCCCGCAGGGACTCCGCCAGGTGCTCCTGATCAAACCCCATCTTTGTAACCACCTGGAAGATCTCCTCGTCGATCTGTCGGTGGTGGAGAAGGGAAGGATGGAATTATGAGAAGAGAGGATGAGGAGAGGAGAGATAATCGTCAGCACCACCTCGGTCACCAAGAAGAGCACCTTCTCAATTTCATAGTGTGATTGGGAGGGAGGGGAAGGGGGGGTGGGGAAGGGAGGATGCGAAGAGGTGCGACTCCGCAATGCAGTCCTCATCAAACCACAACTTCGTCACTATCTGAATCCTACCAGGAATATCAGCAATATCTCCTCGTAAATCTGATTCCTGAAACCCTCAACTTCTCTGCATGCTCATCCATCCTGCCCCTCACCCGTTTGGCCTGCTCGGCAGCATTTGGCGGCGGCACGGCGAGGTAGCGCGGGAGCTTGGCGAGGAAGCAGGGGTGGTGGCAGATCTTGGGGATGGCGATGCGCTTCATTGGGGCGACCAGCAGCATGCGCGGTATCAGATCGCGCGCGCCTCCTGACAGGTGGTGTGGGAGGGCGTATATGCCACCCTGCATGCAATAAGAGAGGGTAGTTCACAGGGGGCTGTGAAATGGGGCCAGTTCACAGGGGGCTGTGAAATGGGGCCAGTTCACAGGGGGCTGTGAAATGGGGCCAGTTCACAGGGGGTTGCACCGCCCGCTCATACGCTGCACCGCCCGCTCATACGCTGCACCGCCCGCTCATACGCTGCACCGCCCGCTCATACGCTGCACCGCCCGCTCATACGCTGCACCGCCCGCTCATACGCTGCACCGCCCGCTCATGCACTGCACCGCACGCTCATACCCTGAACCGCCCGCTCATACGCTGCACCGCACGCTCATACCCTGCACCGCCCGCTCATACGCTGCACCACCCGCTCATGCACTGCACCGTACGCTCATGCGCTGCACCGCCCGCTCATACGCTGCACCGCCCGCTCATACGCTGCACCGCCCGCTCATACGCTGCACCGCCCGCTCATACGCTGCACCGCCCGCTCATTCGCTGCACTGCACGCTCATGCACTGCACCGTACGCTCATGCGCTGCACCGCCCGCTCATACGCTGCACCGCCCGCTCATACGCTGCACCGCCCGCTCATACGCTGCACCGCCCGCTCATACGCTGCACCGCCCGCTCCTTCGCTGCACTGCACGCTCATACACTGTACCGTATCCCACCATACCCCACAGCACCGCACCGCAGCGCACCGCAACTTGATTTTCTTAAAGAAGTTGGGGGATGTTTTCATCGTCGAATGGAAGGCTGCCACACAGCAGCGCGTACAGATCACCCCGCAGCTCCACACGTCCACCTCGGGCCCTCCGTACAGGCGCCCTGATATCACCTGATGAAGAATGGGGGAAAGGGGGAGGGATGGGGAAAGGGGGAGGGATGGGGAAAGGGGGAGGGATGGGGAAAGGGGGAGGGATGGGGAAAGGGGGAGGGATGGGTGTACAGGAGTCAGTCCGACAAGTGATTGATACCAGCTCCACACGTCCACCTAACGGGCTACAGAGGTGAGTCGAGCATTTAGAGTTCCAAAGCAGCTCCATGCGTCCACCTCGGGACCTCCGTACAGCCGCCAGCCCTGATATCAGCTGAGGGAAATCAGGGAAAGGCGGGCAAAGTGGGAGAATGATTTCCAAGTATTTGAAATCAGGCCCACACACACGTCCACCTCGGGACCTCCTTACAGCTGCCCAGGTATCATCTGAAAGGGTTTGGGCAGGCGGGATGGCAGAAGGCAGAGGGCAGAGGAGAGGAGGGAAGATGAGTTCAGGACAGAGCCAGTGATGAAAGATTCAGTGAGCTAAAGTCAACAAGCTTCAAACTGACAAGCTACCTGGGACTTAAAAGTTCCTCTATTAAGCAACAGCAGCTTTGGAACCCATGCATTTGCCCCATTCATACCTCCGGAGCAGCGTAGTTGGCGCTGCCACAGGACTTTGGCGCTGAGCCCAAAGTCAGCAATGCTTACATCAACCAATTCACAGTGAAAGCCATCTGAATCCCCCACACGTACCTCAGGAGCAGCGTAGTTGGCGCTACCGCAGGACGTCTTGAGGAAGTGGCTGTCGCGCATCACATTGCTGAGCCCAAAGTCGGCGACCTTAACGTTGCCCTTGGCGTCCAGCAGCAGGTTCTCGGGGCAGCATGCCGTCCGCACACCGCTCCCTCAGGGCCTCCTCGCTGCCACCTGGCTCCTGCTGATTGGCCTCCAGCATGGCGCGCATGTCTGCCACACTCAGGTGTGCGCGCAGCTTGTCCTTCACAGAGGGGGGAAGACATAGAGGGGGAGTGAGTGGTATTGTTGAGGTGCGTCAGATGTAGAGGCACTGCAGCACATTCACGCCCCGCACGTCGGCCGCAGTGGCAGGGGGGAGGGGGAGCGCAGTAGATAGGCGGCGATGGAATGGGGGGAGGAGCGGGCAGTGGCTATGGAGTGAGCGGAAAAAGGTGGGGGCTGAGATGTGGCGGTGCTAGAGGGGTAAGCGCGGACGGCGCACAAATAGAGGCGGCAAAGAGGGATGGGCGCAGGCGAGCAGGCGAGCAGGGGAGCAGGGGGGCAGCAGAGCAGGGGTGGCATGGGTGGCATGGGTGGCATGGGTGGCAGCGGCGGCAGGGAAGCAGAGGGGCACTGACTTGGTGATGAATCCCGGGGCTTTGAAGATGCAGCTCGCGTGGAACCACAGCTGCTCCGCGCACATGGTCGCGGGGCGGGGCGGGGGGAGTGGGGGTGGGGGATAGGCGGAATGGGAGGGGGATGGATGGAGGGAGCGGGCGAAATTCGCAGGGAGGGGGATGAGAGCAGCGTAGAAACTTGGGGAGAGGGAGCGGAATGAGGTGAAGAGAGGGGAGTGGAAATGGAGGGAGATGCAGTTGTACAGGGGATTGCGGAGGGCGCGCGCATGACTGCACTGCAATGCCTTCAGCCTCAAGACCCTAAGGCGCTATAGCCTGCGAAGCAATGCGACATGAACCCGTCATCGCCGTGCATTCGCCAAGCCATCGCCTTCGTTACTTGCTCAGCCAGTACCAAGCCACTACCGTCGTTATCTCCGCAAGGCATTACCCTCGTGTAATCCGTGAAGCCACTATCGAGGCATTACCGTCATGAATCCGTCGAACTGTTTGGACTCGACGACTTTGGCGATGCGGAAGGCGTCCTTGGCGATGCTCTCTTTGCACTTCCGGCAGCTCGCGCGCGCCGACTTGGCGTATTCCGCCTTGAACGGCTTCGGCTTGGCGCGCTCTGCCTCGTCCGCCATGGCGATGGCGTGTCAAGTACGCAAAAGGATGATGGTCTGTGTGCTTTTGACTAAAATGGCGCGAAAATAATGGTAGGGTGGAAAACAAGAACTGAACAGTTGTTGGCGGCAACCCAGAATTTGCCGTACGCAGTATTGACTGTCGCACTCTCGCCAAATTATTCACCGAACCCAGAGTGTGCTGCCTGGACTAGCTAGCGTAAGTACTGCTGTCATAGCTTGCATTCCTCTGCATTAGATTCTATGTGCATTACATGCGAATAATTTAGTATGATATTGCCACTGGTTGATTGAGAAATTGCTTTGTATATGCACAAAGATCTCTTACGAAATAACAGTTTCTAACAAAGCCCGCAGATCTTTCGTTTGACTAGAAACCAGAGCATCATCCATTGCACCCCAATCAGCGCTAAGAATATTTGAAGCTTGTTCCAACGCTGCCTCTCTATCAACATCCTCTGTTTCATCCCCGCCTTCTGTTCCCATTAGAAGAACCAAGTACAGTTGCTCTGCACAGTGCCTTCGAACCTGTTGCGAGTGCAAGGGTGGATGTGAAATGGAAGGGTCTTGATCTTTTACACATGTAACACAACCCATCGAACTGGTTTGCCGTGACACTGGACAGGTAAGGCGGAGCTACGCAGTGGCGCGCAATGGCGGTGCTCTGCCGATACGAGTAGTGGGTGCGATGCTGCCAGAGCAGGCACAATCGCAGTGGGGACTGGCAGGTACACTCACAGTGGGGACTAAGAGGTGAACGTACAGTGGGGAAGCGCACGGCGAGCAGCCAGAGCAGCGTGGAGAGGGCATGTTGGCGGGCAGAGCAGAGGGGGGCGGCGAGGTGGCAGAGCAGGTCGACAGCCGCCAGCATCTTGGGCACTGATGTCGTGGGCTGTGGGCGGCACAGCTCCTCCTCCACACTCCCCACCAACACCCCGGGTAGAGCCGTGAGGGAGGTGGTGGGAGTGGCAGGCTGCAAGGGGGGTGGGAGAGGGCAGGGCGTGGGAGGGCAGGGAACGCCATGCAGAACGGTAGAGTGGAGACGGTTGGCATGCAGAAAGGGATTGCTGGAGCGTGGATGTGAAGCAAGGGATGTGATGGATGAAGACCGGAGGGACCAGGTGTTGATGCGGCAGGTGCAGTGCAGGGCTTCACGGACCTCATCTGAAGCTGGGGTGTCTGCTGATAGTGACCCGAAGAAATCCGCCTGAAGCAGAGCAGCGATGGCCTGCAGTGAGAGCAGATGGCAAGCAGTAGAAGCACGCAGTGAGAGCACAGTGGACATGAGAGTGGCAGAGCAGGTGCAAGGACCCAGACATAAGCATGCATGGAAGCAATGTGTCACATCACATGGCTTCAATGCACCCTCCCACACACGGCAGCACACAACCACTCTCGGCGAGCAGCACACAGATGCATTCTGTCGACATGGCGTCCACTCGGAATGCAGCAGGGTCTACCTTGATGTATGGAATGATGACCCGATTCTGCTTGCGGTGCCGTCTCAGCAGCACCACCACGTCCTCCGCTATCTTCCCCTGCACCTCCTCCCACTGCCCACCACTGCCCCCCTCTCCTGCCTCCGTCGTGGCCCCCTCTGCCCCCGGTGCTGGATTGAGAGAGAGCAGGGCGCGCAGAGAGGCAGCAGTGAGGGAGTGAGAGAGAGCGCCCGCGGAGAGCAGCAGACCCGAGAGCAGCGGCAGGCGGTAGGCGGGGAGCAGCAGCAGTGGGGCCAGGCGGGGAAAGACAGCCGCAGGATTCTGGTAGGGTGAGGAGGGAGGAGGTGGGGGAAGGGAGGGGAAATGATGGAGGTGAATGCAGGAGGAGCAGAGGCGGGTGGGAATGAGAAGGACTGGAAGAACAAGGAAGCGGAGAGAGCGGAATAGGGGAGAGCACAGCACAGCGCAGCAGGCGGCACACCTTCCATGCAAAGTGAGGGTCAGAGGGCACATGCTGCCTCAGCTGCTCCCACCCATCCACATCCCTGCACACACCGCTCCCTTCCGCCCTGCCACCCATGCCTTGCCTCACAGCGCCTCCTCCATCCCTCTCCTCCTCGCCTCCACCTGATGCCCCCTTTGTGCTGCCACCAGCACCACGTGTTTCAACTGCCTTTGCTGTCCCTGCTTCCTCTCTAGTCACTCGGATCCCCACCATCGCTGTCCCGCGCTGTCTCCCCCACAGCAGCCGCAGCAGCCCCTGCCCCGCCACCTCGCGCGTGCCGTCAATCTTCTCCCCCGCCTGCTTCAGCAGTACGCCCACCACCCGCCCTGCCACCTCTCTGCACCACTCCTGCACCCCACTGCACCGCTGCTGAGAAGAGGAGGCATCAGGTGCTGCGGGGAGGGCAGGGCTTGGCGCGCCATGTGGGAGACTCGCCTCCGCTGCACCCCCTCCATCCCCCAATTCGCCTTCTCCCACCTCTCTCAACCTGTATGCTTCTTCCACCCACGCCACCAGCGCTTTCATGGAAGCTTCCCTCACGAGGCGGCCCACGTCGCCCCGCTGGTCCTCCGTGTAGTCCTGTGCTGCTCGCAGCAACGCGGTTACCACACCCTCCCCCCCCTCCTCCCACCACACTCGCCCTACCAACCCACCCTGCCTGCTCCCCTCAACCTCCTCCTTCTCGCCCTCCTCCCCCTGCAGCTGCCCCACCTGTGCCCCGTCGCCCCCACCCGTCCCTGCGTGCCCCCTTGCGCCTGCCCCGCCGGCCTGCAGGAGGGGAATGATGCTGGCTGCATTACCCAGCGCTTCCACTGCTGCTGCCCGCACCGCCACGTCAGTCACGGCACGACGCCCCCGCTGCAGGGATGACAGGGAGGATAAGGGACGGGGGGTCGTTGCAGAGTGGTTGAAAAATGGGTGGTTGGTGAAAATGGATAGGGACTTGAGGTGCGAGACTCAGGTGTCCGTACGCACGAGATGAAAGGATGAAGCTACAGTGTTAGAAGAAGTCCAAGATTAAATAGGCTACAGTATTAGACTAGTAGTCCAAAATACATTAATTAAAGTGGGATGGAGGGAGCAAGGATGAGTGGATGGGCAGAGACTGCGAGCGAGAGAGCACTCACATTGTCAGTGGCAGCAGCACACAGCGCCTTCACCACCCGCTCTGCCAGCTCGTGCCTTGACCTCTCACCCTCACCCCCATTCACCCCTCCTTCACTTCCTCGCTCCTCCGGCCCCCCTTTTCCCTCCTCCTCCTTTTGCCCTGAGTTTTCGTGCCCCACTTCCAGCCCTCCAACGTTGGCGCCAGTACCAGGGGAGTCAGGGAGAGGGGCGGGGGACCAGGCAGGGCAGAGGCTGGGCAGGAAGCACTGCAGCGCCAGCACAGCGCCTCGCCTCGCACTCGCTGCTGAGCTGGCAGACTCCAGAGTCGCCACGTGGCGCGTTATCAGTTGGCGAGCAAAGTCTGTGCAAGCAGGGGACCGCTGGGTGCGAGCGAGGTCCCACAGGGCGGCTGCCGCTGCCTCCTGCACCGATGAGACAAAGCGCGCCCGCGCACACTGGGGGAAAGGGGGGGAGTAGGGGACAAGATAAGGTGAGGGGGAAGGAGATGGGAAGGGGAGGGTGACGACAAGTGAGCAATGAGCATGTTGGCATGGTGTTAGCACAGCGGGGCGTTTGGGTTGACACAATGTCACAGTGCTCAAGTGCATGCTCAACCAACTCCCCTCCCTCACAACGCCACTCCCCATTTCTTTTCCCCGGCCCCCCTTTACCTGCAGCTCCCCCCCATCGCCCGCCAGCATATCATGCAGGCACGCAGTGGCAGCAGTAAGAGCAGGCTTGGGCAAGGGAGGCAGTTGCGCGCGGGGCAGCGCAACAGCGAGGGCGGAGAGCAGGCGGCAGCAGGCCACCTTGAGATCCGCTGCTAGGCGCCCTCGGAAGGAGCGCGGGGCGAGCAGCGTGGGGAGAGACGCGGTGAGGGAGGAGAGGGTGTCTGAGAGGGCAGGGGAGGGTGGGGAGGCGGAGAGGGGCGGGAGGAGGGCAGCGGTGGCGAGGAGGGCGCCGTGGCGGGAGGGGGGGGTCGGGGGAGGCGAGCAGGGGGAGGAGGTGTAGGTGCAGCAGGGAGAGCAGGCGCGGCGGGTCGAGGGGAGCGATGGCGGCGAGGGAGTGGGCGGCGAGGGCGCGGATGGGCTTGTCCCAGTGGTGCGTGCTGGTTGCTAGCTTGAGCAGCAGCTGCTCCCGGTACTCCGAATAGCCTGCCACGAATAGTGCCACCTGGGGGGAGGGGCAAGGGGGCCGGGCAAGGGGGAGGGGCATGTGGGAGTGGGAGGTGGTGGGGGGATAGACGAATGGCAGTGATGGTGCAGTCACGGACATGTGACCTGGCCGTGGTTGGTATGTACAGCAGGCGAGGAAGAGGTGGATAAGGACGATGAAAGGTGCATGGACACATGCCTGTGAGGGTGGCACAGCACCTGAGTGAATGCGGTGCGAGTGGAGGACAGCGACGTGACGTCAGCTGCATTCACTATGGCGATGCCCCCTGCTGGCGCCCACTGCTCCACTTTCCCGGAACCGCTCTCCACCGCATTGCCGCCTGTGTTGGAGGCGTGCGGAGTGCCTCGGGTGGTGGGCGTGGAGAGCGCTTGCGCGTCAGAGATGCAGCCAAAGCGGCCCACTACCTCCTGGAAGGCCGCTGCTGCCGCCCACCGACACTTCATCTGCCAATGTTGCATGGGACATGGGGTGTGAGGAAAGGAGCACACGGCATGGGGCATAGTGCATGGGGCATGGGGCATGGGGCATAGTGCATGGGGCACGGGGCAAGTGGCAATGGCATGGGGCATGGGGTATGGCGCATGGCGCATGGGGCATGGTGCATGGGGGATGGGGCATGCGGCATGGGGCATGGTGGTCACAGCAGCCCACCTGGCGGTCACAGCAGGCGACGGCGAGGAGGTGAGGGCAAAGCTGTTGCAGGGAGGCAGCGGCAACGGGTGGCGAGAAGGAGTGGGCGATGGCCCAACACACATATGCCGCTGCATCGCGCACATGCGCCCCCGTGCCCACCGCCCCCCGCAACACCTCGTAGTGCAACGCCTGGGGGAGAGGGAAGGGGGGGGGAGAGGAGAGAGGAAAGAGAAGAGGGGGAGCAAGCGTGAGGGGCGGGCGATATGACATGGCACGAAAATTTGAAGTGTGAGTGCTGTGTGGTGTAAAAGGGCTTGAGTGCATGAGGGGCAGAGAGGGTATGGACTGCGGATGGCATGGCACAATGATGTGGTGGGGTTTGGAGCATAGAGAGAGATCATTTGTGTCTGACGTGAGTGAATGAGTGTTGAGGTCAAGTGCGTCTACTGAGCGATTAAGGGCAGTGGGGGAAGAGGCACACGGATGCGAGGAGCGGTGTGACGGAGTGCAGGCGCGACGGCAGCAGCAGCCCTCTGGCCGCCAGCTCTGCTAGCGCCAGACACACGCCCTGCCATGCACTGTCCGATGGTAGCTGAGGAGGGCAAGGGGGAAAGAGGGAAAGGTAGACGGAGGGATGGATGGTGGGATGGTGAGGATGAGATTGATGGGAGTCGCAATGTGGCCATTGAGGGCAAAACAGGTCGGAAAAGATCCAAGCTGAAGCGATCGGGGGAGACGAGCAGGGGACGCGAGCACGAACGCATGGGCATTGTGACTTCATCTCCTGCGGTTGCACCTGGAAAATACCCTCACCCCGTGCGGGTGCATTGTAACAACACCCTCACCCCGTGCGGGTGCATTGTAACAATACCCTCACCTCGTGCGGGTGCATTGTAACAATGCCCTCACCTCCTGTGGGTCCACGAGGGCAATGACGGCCGCCACCACTTCGTCCGCCATGCCAGCTGGCAAGCCACCCACCACCCGCGACAGGCCGCGCGCTGCCGCCCACCGCACATCCGTTGACTGGCAGTTGGGAGGACGGGGAGGGGGGGAAGGGTGAGTGGGGAGGTGAGGGCGGAGGCTCAAGTTATCGTAGGAGCACAATTGTATTGATGCGTGCTGCTGCCACACTCACCTGCTGCTATCACTCTCGTACACGCACCTCGTGTTTGAGCATAGGCAGCAGCTCCCCCACCGCCTCCTCCACCAGCTCCTCCACCTCCTCTTCCTCTTCCTCCTCCCCCTCTTCCTCCCCCACCCCCTCCCCCTCTCTCCGCCCCAGCTCTCTCTCCTCCGCCCCTCCCACTCCTCCCGCACCTTCCGCCACCCCCTGGTCCGCGCCTGGCCCAGCACCTCCTGCTGCTGGCGATGGCGAGGGCGCGGGGGAGGCGGCAGCAGAGGGGGCGTCCACCCGATGGATGCTGCGCTGAGGGGGGCAGAGGGGGGGGTTGAGAGGGTGGGGTGGGAAGAAAATGAACACATGAGGTCTGCTTTGGAAAAGAACGAAGGTATGATTGTGCAAGCAAGGGCATGCGGGGTGCTGGTGTTGAACCAGACAGCCAAGTGGCGGTGCTGCTGTACTAAGCAAGCAAGGGCATGTGGGGTTGAGGGCTCGAAGCTGCCGTACCTGGTAGCGCCAGGAGGGTGCGCGAGGGGGCAGCAGGGAGAGGGCGAGGCGGTGGAGGAGCTTAACGAGCGCCAGGGGGAGCAGCAGTGAGACAGGGCGCGCTCGCATGGGGGAGGGAGAGGAGTCTGTGGAAAGGGGAGGGTTGGCGGGGGAGGTGGAGTGGAGGAGGGGCAGGAGGACGGCGGTCCACACAGCGTGCGTGTGGTGCGTGAGCTCTGTGCGCGGGGCTGCCTGCATGCTCACGGGGGGGGCAAGGGGGAAGGGAAGGGGAGAAGGGGAAGGGCAACAGGGCAAGAGACGATGGTGAGTGTAGGTGGATGGGAAGGTGGGAAAGCTGGATGGGGGAATTGGGGGTGGAGGAAAGCCGTGGGGACAAGTCCATGGGACAACAGGCAGTGTCCGACAGAGGCAAACAGGCAGCAGCAGAGGCACCTTGAAGATGGCGGCGAGGGTGAGGACGACAGGGGCCAGCAGCTCCTCCGCCCCCTCTCCCCTGCCTGGCGGGCCGTCCGGGAGAGCGGCTGGCGAGGGCTGGGCGGCAGAGAGCGAGGCGACGAGGCGGCGACTCTCTTCCATGAACCTGGGAGAGAGAGAGCGAATGCGAGGGGGAATGTGGCGCGGAAGGTGCAAGGGCGCACGGGCACGGGGATAACACGGGGATGGATTTGGTTGGAGAGGGAGGGGGTGCATGGCGTATGGGGGAGATGGGCGGTGTGGAAGATTGACGAAAGGTGGAGACTGCATGGTATACCAGGACCGTGCATGGCGTACCAGGCGGGTGCTTGGCCTACCAGGCGAGGGGGGAGTGCATTTCGGGGCGGGAGAGGAGGCGGGCGAGCATGAGGGGGACGGGCAGGCGGCCGTTGGGCAAGAAGGAGAGGCACACTCGCAGCAGCACGTCGCACAGCGACCACGCTTCTGACAACCTTCCTTCCCATGCAGCGGTGGGGAGCGGTAGAAGGCGGTGGAGCACATGGGACGCCACGGGTGCTGCTGCTGCTGCTGCTGGTGGTACTGGTGGCGGTTGGGAGGAGTCTACGAGGGAAGATGGTGTGGAGGAGGGTTGCAGGGAGACGGGGCGTTGGGGGGCGAAGAGGTTGGAGTCGAGGGAGGGGAGGGAGAAGGGCAGCAGCAGCAGGTGCGAGAGCCACGAGAGCAGCGCGTAGTGCACTCGCCACTGCTCCACCGCCTCTATCGCCACCCCCACCTCCTCGCCCGCCTTCTCCCATGTGCGCCATGCGCGCCAGGGGCGACCGGCACGGGATGTGGGGGAAGGGATGGGAAGAAGGGGCGGAGACAGGGGCGGACGAATGAGCGGCGCAATCATATACGGGAGGCGTGAGGGACTGTGATTGAACCGGGTGGCGTGCACAAGGCATCCTGTTGATAGGCAATGAATTCATCCCTCCTCTCCCACCACCGCATTCCCACCTCCCACCCCCCCCACCAGCGCATTCCTGCAGCGCTACCTTGGGCGGAGCGGGCGAGAGGCGGAGCACGAGCAGCAGCAGCGCGAGCGCGGGTTCGAGGTGGGAGGGCGCGTTGGGGAAGAAGCGGCACACGACCTTGGCGCCGCGCACGTACGCCACCACCTGCACCACGCACGCCGCCCCCGCCACCTCCCGCACCATCCGCTGCGCCTCCGCCTCCCCCATCGCCCGCCCGAGTTCCCCCGACCCCGCGGAACCCCCCGCGAGCGCGGAGGGCAGCGCGGCGGCGGCGGCGAGCGCGTGCGCGGAGAGGCAGGCCATGGCGGGGGAGAGAAGCGCGGCGAGGTGCGGATCCAGCAGCTCCGGCTGCTCGCGGTACTTGGCGCACTGCCACGCGGGGGGGTGGGGGCGGGTGTGAATGGGAGAGGGCGCATGAGCGGGTGAGCTGATGGGCGGGTGGGCGCATGCGCGGGAGAGGCGCATGAGCGGAGGGCGGTGATGCAAGAGGGACGGTGCCATGGCCGGCGATCGGACGGCTGTGGAGTACTGCACACGCGGGTTGGTGTGCGCACGGGTGCGACGAGTGACGCTGCACCCAGCCCTTCATGACTGTTGCATTCTCCTTCTGACACATGAAGCTCCGCGTATGAGGTACGCGCGACGGACTACGAGCGACGGGCTACGAGCGACGGGCTACGAGCGACGGGCTACGAGCGGCGGGCTACGAGCGACGGGCTACGAGCGCCGCAAGCTTCGCTAGAACGAGCGCAAGCTTTGCACCCCGCATATATGACGCGCGCGATGCTTACGATGTTTTCGAAGCGGAGCAGCACTGCTGCCCGCGGGTCGTCGCGCATCTCCCCGTCAACCACCGCGCGCCTTCGTTGCGCCTCCTCCTCCGCGTCGCGGATTCCGAAATTCGACACACCGCATTGCACCGATCCAGACCGATCCGACTCCTCGGACGGCACGAGTATGGCGACGAGGCGCTGCAGCTCGCTCGCCTCCTCGAGGAACGACAACTCGCAGCTGTCGCCCTCGAATTCGCCCTCGTCGCCAGGCGTCGCATCGCCGTCGTGCGCCATGGCGACTGGCCTCGCGCTGATCTGGACTCTTCTCTTTTGAGGCCCTCTTCACTGACCTGTGGCAGATCTGCTCTGCTGCCTTCACTTGCAGATCGCTGGAAATGCATTTCAAGTTTGGCGAGGGCGAGAGCAAAAAAAATGGCGAAGGACAATTCGCTATTTATTTTGGCGAGTTACGCTGTTTCGCAAAAACCATCGCCAAGGAGAGCATTGGTTCAAATGAGCGAAAACATTGGAGCGAAATTGTTTTCCTCCAATCCACGTTCAGCAACCCCCAAGCCCTTCAGCTCCAATATATTTGAGGCGCGGCGCTGAGAAAAGTTCAGAGTCTGTTGTGAGTCCAAGTCCAAGCATCCAACCTCGCTGTATCTGCGACATTATCGACCTCGAGAAACTTGCGATCTGCCGTGTCACGCGCGCCGCGCGGCAGCACTACTTGCGGATATGGTGGCGACGTGTGCAGCCGGCCGCATTGCGGGATCGTGCCTCGCGATCCACGCCGAGGCGCCTAAAGCCAGCCCCACCCAACCGTCGCGCGTGGCGGCGCGAAACGCGTCTTGTCTGACTGGCCTCCGACGGATCGCTTCTCCGAGCGACAGCGGCGCGTGCGCGACGACCTTGCGATCGAGATCGCGGATAGCGATGGTGAGATGAGATCCGAGCAGTCTCTGGCGATCGCAGCAAGTGATCTCATCTGTCCGGAAAGCTCTAGTTGCTGAAAGGAAACAAGCGTGGCTGCAGGGGCAATGGCGCGTCAGCGCGCCAGGCAAATGCACTCGAGCAATGCGCTTCCGTTCTGTTTCCTCTTTGCGTTAATCCAATGGCGTTGCATGTCGTGGCATGTTGCTGTGGTGTGAACCATGGCAGGCGGCAGCAGCGGGATCGGCGTCGGGCAGTGGCGAGTTGCGGTTCAGCAAGTACCAGGGCATCGGCAACGACTTCATCCTCGTGAGCCGCCTCGCTTCCCTCCCTTCCTGGCTTCCCGCCTGCCTGCGTGCCTCCGCACATACCTCCTGTCGCTGCTCCTGCTCTTGCTGCTGCTGTTTCTGCTGCCACGTGCCACCCTGACCCTGCTGCGGTTTCTGCTGCCATTCGTCCTTTGCTCCTTCGCTCACACCGTCACCACCTCTGCATGGCTGCTCGACCCGCCAGGTGGACAACCGGCATGCGTCGGAGCCGGTGGTGTCGCAGGAGCAGGCGGCGCGGCTGTGCGACCGCAACTTCGGGGTGGGCGGCGACGGGGTGATCTTCCTGCTGCCGGGGCAGGCGGGCGCCGACTACACCATGCGCATCTTCAACAGTGATGGCAGTGAGCCCGAGGTGTGCAGTGCGGTGCCATGCGATCCAGTGCAGGGGATCTGAGCCCATAGTGTGCAGTGCAGGGGGGTGTGAGCGCGAGGTGATGGCAGGCGGGCGCCGACTTCTCCATGCGCATCTTCAACAGCGACGGCAGTGAGCCCGAGGTGTGCTGTGCGGTGCAGTGCAGTGCAATGCAGTGCAGGGAAATCCGAGCCCAAATGTGCAGTGCAGGGGGGTGTGAGTGCTAGGCAGATGGCAGGCGGGTGCCGACTACTCCATGCGCATCTTCAGCAGCGATGGCAGCGAGCCCGAGGTGTGCCGTGCGGTGCAGTGCGGTGAGCAGTGCAGTGTGAGCGCAAGGCGATGGCAGGGCAAGGTGTGCGAGTGATAGCACGTAGATCTAATGCGCTGCTCTCTCTCTGCACGCACCTTGCTTCCCGTGATTCAAGGACTACGCATGTGCGGTCAGCGCCAGCTGTCTCATGTCTGCTGCTCCCGTGCGTGCTCCTCTGCATGCTCCCCTGCACGGCACGTGGCATGGCAGATGTGTGGCAACGGCATTCGCTGCCTGGCCAAGTTCATCGCTGACGTCACCAACTCACACGACACCCAAACGTACGCCCCTGCCCCTTCCCCTCGCTCTCTCACTCGCTCCATACACCTTTCCCGCATTCGCCTCTTCTCGCCCTCTCAGTTCCTTCTATGCTCTTTCTCATTCCCTCCACCCCCCAACCCCCACCCCCCACACCCCAACCCCCGCACCTCACCCTGCAGCATATCCATATCCACGCTGGCGGGCGTCATGCAGGCGCACATGCGCGCCGATGGCCAGGTGGGGCTGACATACCACAAGCGCCTTCGCTGCACCGCTGCTGGCTGCTTTTATCCTCCCATGCACCGCACGCACTCCTGTGCCGTCCCACAGCCTGCTCTCCACTCCACCCCCTCATGCCACAGCTTCCTCCTCCCACCATCCCTTCACATACACATCTCCCTGCATCTGTACCACCCAACTCACCTCCTCTGCTCTGCCACTCAACCCCACACCCCCTCCTCCCGCTCGTCCCCTTTTCCCCCTCCTCCCACGCGCCCCAGGTGCGAGTGGACATGGGCGAGCCCATCCTGGCGGCGGCGCTCATCCCCACCACGCTGCCCGCCACCACCGCTGACGGCGCCGTGGTGAAGGCACCACTGCAGGTGGACGGGGTGACGTGGCAGGTGACGTGCGTGAGCATGGGCAACCCGCACTGCATCACCTTCTCCAACTCCGACTGCCCCCAGGTAGGATTGTGCACGAGGCGCAACTCATGTGCATGGGTACGCCCAGCAGTAGCTGTCCTGTTCCAAGTTTCTTACTCCCGTGCTGTGCTGACTGGCATTGGTCATGACCCCCGTCCTCACCACCTACTGGCATCTGCACCGCCCTTGCGTGCGTGTGTGCTGTCACTCATGTGCATGCATTTGCATCGCCACCCCCCAGGGCCTGGACGTGGCAGGCATCGATCTGCACCGCATTGGACCCATGTTTGAGCACCACCCCGCCTTCCCTGCTCGCACCAACACAGGTGAGCTCTTTCTCCCTCTCCCCCTCGCTCTTCTGCCTGCTTCCAGCTCCTCCTCGCTCCACTGTGTGCTCTGCATCTCTCACTCCGCAAGCGTTTCCTTCCTCGTCGTGCGCTTCATGGCACCTTATCATTGCATCTTCAATCCCCAATCCCACTACCCCATCTATCCCCATCCTCCGTTCCCCATCCATGCCCATCCCCTGTTCCCACACCCCACCGCCCATGCACGGCACATCAGAGTTCGTGGAGGTGATCTCCCGCAACGAGCTGCGCATGCGCGTGTGGGAGCGCGGGGCAGGTGAGCCCCCTCACCCTCGCCCGTCTTCGACTGCCCTCACACCCCTGCCCTGCTGCTGCTGCCACTGCAACTGCCTTGCCGTTACAGCCATTGCTGCTTGTGCCGTCGTCCCAGCCTGTGCCACCTCCCCACTCGATTGTCCTGTGTGCCTTTCTTTTTCCCACCCACCGCCCTGCCCCCTTCAGGTCCCACGCTGGCGTGTGGCACGGGCACGTGCGCCCTCGTAGTGGCAGCTGTGCTGGAGGGCCGTGCTGAGCGGGTGAGTCATGAATGGGGGAGGGGGAGTGCGTGAGGGCGGATAAGCCAGTGAGCTAGGGGGTGGGAGAGCAATTGGGGAAGCTTGGGTGGAAAGAGTGAGGCTGTGGGGCTTAGGAGGGCATGGCAAACTGGTTTCCATCTTAGCACTGGCGCTCATGTCGTCCGTCACCACCCGCATTGCCCTTGCCCACACCCCCCCCTCCTGCCGCCCCTTCCGCTGTGCCTCTCAGAACTGCCTGGTGCATCTGCCGGGAGGGCCGTTGGAGATAGAGTGGAGGGAGGACAACCGCGTGCACATGACCGGCCCTGCTGACCTTGTCTTCTCCGGCTCCCTCGCCCTCCACTGATGCTTGCCACGCTCATGCTTGCCGGTTCATGCCGGGCAATGCTGCCTGGTAGAGATTGCTGCAGACTGCAGCGCTGTGATTGGCTGGACTTGATTCACTGCAGTGCTGCAATGGTCACAAGACCAGTGCCTGCTGCTCTCTGCTTCTGTATTTGTGGCATACCGTATGTAGGGTATAGCTTATAATGATGAAGATAAATATTACGGAATGACATGGTGTACATGGCACATTCAAGTAATTGACATGCCAAGAGCACGCTCCAGATAGTCTTGTTGCTCCACTTCACCTGCCAGCTGGTTCCACTGCACCGCACAGCACCGCAGTCAAGGGAGGGCAGAGAGAGAGGCAGGGCTGGGAGGCACAGGGAGGCACAGCGAGGGAAAGGTGAGATGTAGAGCCAAGAGAGGCCGTGGATGACAAGAGGTGCCGTGCCTGTACGAACCTTGAGGCCATGGAGATACAAACCTTGAGGAGTCAGTACGAGGGGATGGAGACGCGTACATGGTAGAAGGGGATGGAGATGACTGTCCATCCAGCTGCCTCCAGATGCCGCCTCTTGAGCACCGTTGCTCCCAGCGGAGTCACTGGCAAGGCAGGCGGGCATGGGATTAGTAGAGAGGGCAGAGTAAGAGAGCAAGATAAGGATGCCAGGGCAAGGATGGCAAGTTGTAGATTGCAGGACGGTGAAAAGGGCACGTGATGGGATGAAGCAAGACGAGAAGAGGCAGAGGGGGCCAGCAGCGCACATGTGTTGCGAGTGAAGTGTGAGGGCCCGTCCACCTCCACTGCAAGGCGGCGGCCCGGCAGAGCGATGTCAATGGAGTAGTGCCACACGGCCCCTGATGTGTACTCCGACACCCACCCCATGCCCCCCGACCATGACTCCCCTCCCTCGTTCCCGTCTTCTCCCTCCTCTCCCTTGTCTCCGTTTTCTCTATTCCCCCCTCCCCCTTCCCACTCGACCCCACGCCATGCCACGAGCCCCAGGGCGGACAAGGCTTGCTCAACCTCCCAGTGGCTGCACGGTTTCTGCTTCTCCCGCCCTGCCTCTGCCCTCCACACACGCGCCCCCTCCTCCCACACCCAATCCGCCCCTTCCTCGTCTCTTCCCTCTCCCCTTCCCCCCCTCCTATCACCCACCTCTTGCCCTCTTCTCACCCCTCCACTCCCCCCCCCACGCGCCTGCTCGCCCTCCTCCCCTTGCCCCTCTCTTCCCCCTTCCGCTGCACCCCCTGCCCCCTCCGCCCTGAGTGTCACCGCCACCTGAAACAGCTGGCTCAGATGCCGCTCCCCCACTCTAGCCCTCTGCTCCCCTTCCGACCCCTCCCCCTCCGCCTCCCCCTCCTCTCCCCCCCCACAGAACTGTGCCCTGCGGCGGAGCACCTCCCCCCAGAGCGTGTGGAAGAGCGCCCCGTGGGTGTGCTGCAGCACGGCCAGCGCCCACACGCTGTTCGCCACGTGCTGGGGGGACCACGCTCGCAGGCACGCCAGCGGGCAGGGAGGAGGGGGAGAGAAGGCTGTCATAATTAGCTGGTTCAGGGGGGGCTGGGCGGTGTGAGGGACGGAGGAGGGGGAGAAAGTGGCAGCTGCACGGTCGAGGGCGCGGGAGAGGGGGGGGGGGGAGGGGGTGGTGCAGGCAGGCGAAGGCCCACAGAAGCTGGGAGAGCTCGTGGGGGGACAGTACCGTGCGGCCGCTGGGATGGGCGGGGGTGGTTGGGAAGGAGGAGGAGAGCGGGGGGAGCGCAAGGCAGGCCTGGTGGGCGAGGGCGGGGAGGAGTGCGGGTGCGGGGAGGTGGCGGGCGAGGGCAAAAGCAGCAGCGATATTGGCAATGTGCTGCGGGGCGAGCGTGTGTTGTAGAGGCAGCACTGCCGCTGCCACCGCATCCAACTCCTCCGAATACACCCACGTGCGCCTGCCAATCCCGCGCCCACCCGCTTCCCCCTCCGCCCCCTGCCCCGCAACCATGTCTCCCGCGCCTCCCCCTGCACCCCCAATGCGCGCGAGCGCCCATGCGAGGTTGGAGAGGGTTTGAGCGTTGCAGCGGGCGGCGCGCACAGCGGGGAGGGTGGCAGCAACGAGCAGGCGCAAGGGGGGAGTGCGGGCCAGGGCCAGACGGGAGGGCGGGGACATGCCCTCTGCTTGCATGTGGCGTGCTATGCGGTGCAGAGCGGTGACTGCGTTGATGGGCGAGAAGAGAGCGCACGCTGCTGCCTCCTCCCACCTTCTCTCCATCTCCCTCCTCTCCTCCTCCATCTCCTTCTCCTCTTCCTCCTCCTCTTCCCTGCTCCTCCTTGCCTCCTTCCCATGACCCCGCACCTTGCTACTGTCCCGAGAGCCGTACCTCTGAAGCCCATCACCCACCCCTGCGCCCCTGGCTGCTGCACCTGCGTCCAGCACGTGCCACTCAGGCCGCGGGGGCAGGCGAGCCATCTCATTCGCCACCACCTGCATTACGTCAGCCAGACACGTGGCCTCCACGAGTCTTCGGTTCAGGGCTGCTGCTCCACCTGATGCTGACATCAGCGGCAATGGCGATGGGAATGGCGATGGGAACGGTGACGGCGACAGTGACGGCCGCTGCGATCGCGACAGCTGACCGGTGCTTGTGCCCGCTTCCACCACGCTGCTGCCATCTTCGCCGCTCCTTCCGCTCCTGCTCCCCCCCCCCTCTGCGTTCTTCGCACGACCCTCGCCTTGTACCTGTGCGCCTCGTCGCAGGGAGAGCAGGCGGTGTGCAAGAGATGGCGATGGGGGCGAGCTTGCGGAGGCGGTGGGTTCTGAGGGCGGCTGGACTGGCTGCTGGCAAGACGATGGCGTCTGCACCGCACCGTTGCCCCTCTGCACCGTGCTGTCATCCGCCATCTGCCCCGTCCCCTCGTCGCCGTCGCTCCGACGTTTCCCGCCCTTGCGGCGGATTCGTCTGTCCCGGATTCCCTCGCTATAATCAACCGCCCTTTCCGATTGCGCCTCCGCCCTTGCGGTTTCTCCGCCGCGCAACCCCCCACCGCCCTGCGCTGCTCCATTGCCCCGCTGAAGCGCGCCGATGGCAGCACCAGGCGGAGCGCGGCGAGGGGATGCGGAGAGGGCGGGCAGCGGGGAGTGGCGCACGACGGGGGAGGCGTGGGGTCGATGGCAGCATGGTCGGAATTGGGGGGTACGCACGGGGGAGAGAGCGGGCGCAGGGCGGGAAACGGCATGCGGGCGGCCCAGCGCCGCCATGAAAAGGCGCGGGGGAAGGCGGCGGCGGATCAGAGCGGTGATCGCTAGCGGCTTGGCGGCGGAGGGACCCCTGTTGAAAGCACGGTCGGACCGTGGTGCTGGTTTTACGCAGAGGGGCAAGACTTGGTGGGACTGTGGGCCCGAACATCCAGGACGGGAAGGAGCATCGCAGTTTCCCTGGTCTGACTGGGGTCTGTTCGGACCCAAGGACCATTCAACGGAGTTCAGGTTCAACTGAGGGCAGGGTGATGCTCGGTTTGATTCGGTTAAGTGTGGTACAGTTGAAACATAGTGTTGGCCTGTTACTGGACCGCTCGCTCTTTTCGTCCAACCCGCTCGCCAGTAGCAAGGCCATCGTGCCATTCCCTCCACCACCCTACCACCAGCGAGGTCCATGTGTGACGCAAGTCAGTTTGTACGCCATATTGTCCGCTACGAGCCCCAAGTCTTGCACCATACCTCCTCAACCCGCCTCCACATCGTCGCACTTCCCACTTGCATAATCGCAACCGTCAGTCCTCAGCTGTTGGTCATCAGCCGTCAGACTTTAGTCGTCAGTCGTCATTCGTCAGTCGTCAGTCGACAGTCGAGTCCTCAACGGTGGGGCAACAGGTTGCGAAACACGCGAGGCGGGCCGCCGACGGACTCAGAGCGCGGCGCAGGTAGCCATTGTCGCCGGGCGTCCCGAGCTGCAGTAGCGCGGCTTTCCGCGAGGGAGGCTCGTCGTACGCTAGGAACGTGGCGGGCGCAGCGCGCTGAGCCTGGCGGAGAGTAGCGGGGGAAGGCGGAGAGGCGCGGAAAGGAGAGCACGGAGGACGAGTGGTAAGGGGCGGACGTAAGGGCGGAGGCGAAAGGGCGAAAGGGCGAGGAGCAGAGGCGCGGAGGAGGCAGGAAGCGCGGGGATGTTCAGATCGCGGAAGAACGACGACGTGGTGAGGCGCGTGGGGGGCGCAGCAGGTTACGAGCGTAGGAGCGACGGGTGGGGAAGATGAGTTGATTGGGCATGCGAGCACGCGCTTTCCACTCGGATTGCACGTGCCTCGTCAGGCGCTAATCCACGTGGCATCGGCATTGACTAGATGCGACACGGTCGCTTTTCATCCAGTGTACCTCCGCTTCCTCTCACCCCCCGCTTCTCCCATCCGTAATGTACCCCATTCCCGCGCTTTCTCCTTCCCTCTCTCTGCCTCCTTTCTCTGCATGCCCCATGCCCCATGCCCCATGCCCCATGTCCCCGTGCCCCATGCCATGTCCTGTGATGAATGTGTATCGTGGGTGGCGGGTGGCAGCAGAGCCGGTTGACGCGGCAGCAGAAGGAGCGAGTGAAGCAGTTCGTGAGCAGCACTGGGGCAAGGTGGGGCACACTAGGATAGGTGCCACGCTGTCGGCGATCACACATTAGCCATGTCACTGCCAGCAAGGGTTTGCATTTGTACCAAGCATGCCACCCATGCCACCCATGCCACCCATGCCACGCATGCCATGAATTCTCATCAGCTTCCTCTCATCTCATCATCTCTCCATCCCCCCTACCCCCTCACGCACGTGGCAGTGAGCGCGATGCAGTGGCAGCGCTGCAGGGCAGCGAGTGGGAGGTGGCGCCAGCTCTGGCGCGCTACCAGGCGGGGGGTGCACCCATGGCCGCGCGGGGCGGAGGGGGCTTCCTGGCAGCCTTCACGGGGCGCTCGCACTACCACCAGCAGCAGCAAGGGGGGCATGCCATGGCGCCCCAGCAGCCGCCAGTGGATCCCATACAAGAGCTCTTCCTGCGCTACAAAGGTGCGTGCTCACATATTCAATCAAACTGCTGTCTATGCCGGGCCGGTAATGCACTGCAAGCTAAAACCTGGTTGATGTGCTGCTTGTGTCCCGTCCCACTCGCGCTGCTCTGTGTGCCGGGCATCAGATCCGGATTCAGATATGATTCTCGTGGACGGCATCACACGCATGTGTGAAGACCTCGAGGTGCGCTCATGCTGCACGTGCCTCCTCCCATGCTGCACATGTCTCCTCACCATGCTGCACGTACCTCCTCACCATGCTGCACGTGCCTCCTCACCATGCTGCACGTGCCTCCTCACCATGCTGCACGTGCCTCCTCACCATGCTGCACGTGCCTCCTCACCATGCTGCACGTGCCTCCTCACCATGCTGCACGTGCCTCCTCACCATGCTGCACGTGCCTCCTCACCATGCTGCACGTGCCTCCTCACCATGCTGCACGTGCCTCCTCACCATGCTGCACGTGCCTCCTCACCATGCTGCACGTGCCTCCTCACCATGCTGCACGTGCCTCCTCACCATGCTGCACGTGCCTCCTCACCATGCTGCACGTGCCTCCTCACCATGCTGCACGTGCCTCCTCACCATGCTGCACGTGCCTCCTCACCATGCTGCACGTGCCTCCTCACCATGCTGCACGTGCCTCCTCACCATGCTGCACGTGCCTCCTCACCATGCTGCACGTGCCCACCAACAGCTCACCGCTTCTCTTTCCCAAGCGCCCATTTGCTTTCAACATCCAACATGCTTTCAACATCCAACACCTCAATCTTCAATGTTCCACCGTGCACACACACACTAACTATTCCCTTCCTCACTCTTCCATTCACATTCTCTTTTTCTCCCTGTGTGCCGTGCCATGCCATCCCGTCCCCAATGCCATTACGCCGCATTGGTCATACCGTGTGGGCGGCACGGCACCAGGTGGAGCCACAGGACATTGTCATGGTGAGCGCGCACATCGCCTGCTCTCTCTCCTGCTGCCGCTCCCTGCTCGCCCCAACCCTCACACTTCCCGTACCGCTTCTTTAATTCCGCAATCGATGCCGCATTCTTGGCTGATTTTTATTGTCCGTGTGCATGCAGTGCAGCCCTGCTGCCAGCCCCATACGTGTTCCCTCCCCCCCATTTGCCCCATGCCCCACAGCTGGTGCTGTCATGGCATCTGGGTGCCGCCACCATGTGCGAGTACTCGCGCCAAGAGTTCACCTCCGGCCTGCGCTCCCTGCGGTCAGCCCCTTGCTCCCTGCTTTCTCCCTCTCTCCATGTCAATCACCTCCGCTTATCCACGGCCCCCCCTCCCCTTGTCCATGCCCTCACGTGCCCTTACCCATACCCCCAACTCGCTTGTTCAAATGCCCCCATCTGCCCTTGCCCATGCGTCTACCTCTCCCCTTATCCACGACCCCACCTCCCTCATCCCTCCCTGTGGTGGCAGGGTGACGTCCCTGGAGGCGCTCAAGGCGCTGCTGCCATCATTCCGCCGCGAGCTGCAAGACGAGAGTGAGCATCGAGATGGGAGGGTGGGGACCGATGAGATAGGGATGAGACAGATGCAGAGGCTCTGAGTAGCAAGCCAGGAGGCATTGTATGGTGTGAGATGTGCAAGCATGGTGCAATCAATAGGTCTCTTGACTGCTTGGCGTCACAGCTGTTGCCTGCCTCGACCTCCCCACCGCCCTCATCCCTCCCAACCGCCTCATTGTGCTCCTATTTTTTTACTCTTTGCCCCTCTCGCCCTATTACCCCGCTCGCCTGTGGTGCCCTGTGTCTCGCACAGACGTGTTCCGCCAAATATACAACTTCGCGTTCGCCTGGGCCAAAGAGAAGGTATGAGTGAGTGAGAGAGAGGGAATGGAGGAGGGCAGGGCGGATTGGTGTGAAGAGATGGGTTTTTTGGTGGTGCAAAAGAAGGTGGCGTGCGACTCTGAATGATAAGCTGAGGCCGTTGGCGAGCATGTATGCATGAGTCGTGCCGTGACCAGTGACACGTTGCTAGTTTCAACGCTCCATATGCACTCTCGCCGCTCCGCACAGCACTGCCAGCGCCCCGCAAGGCGCTTCAACCCCTGCTCTCCTCCCTCCCACCACCATTCCTCGGCAACTCTCCTTTCCCCCCCCCCCTCCAGGGCCAGAAGTGGTTGGCGCTGGACACGGCCATTGGCATGTGGCAGCTGCTGCTGGGCTACCGCAGCTGGCCACACGTCGACCACTGGTGTGACTTCGTCAGGGTGAGCCGCACGCAGACGCTGGTGTGGGTGGGTGAGGGTGAAATCGTTGAAGCGAGCTGGAGTGGTGTGGTATGGTGAAGGTGGGACAGTAGCGAGGGTGAGTGGAGCTGGTGTGGTCAACACAGTGGCTGCTAATGATTTGTTAGTCACATCACAATATGGCTCTCGAAACCTGCCTCACACTTACCTGCAAATACATCCCCGTGTGTTGTGTGGTGTGTGGCACCACATGGGCTGCATGGCTGCATGTACGGCATGACTGCGTGCATTTCATGGCATGTGTGGGTGGGAGCAGGTGCAGCACAACAAGGCCATATCCAAGGACACCTGGTCGCAGCTCTTTGAGTTCTCCCGGGTACGTTGCTCTTGCCCCTGCCCCTCCTATTCTTCACCTTCCCTTACTCTGCACCTGGCGGCACCTGCCTTTCCTGCCCCTGCACCCCTGCTGGTTGGGGGGACTGCCGCTCTTGACCATGGATGCACCATCTCCACCCCTTGCCACTGCATGCGCCTTGCTCAAGCAATCTATTCCCCCACCCCCCTCCCACTTCCCTCTCTCCCTCGCTACCCCTCGCATGGGCCCTGGCAGTTGACGCAGGGGCAGTTGGAGCAGTACGACGAGGGCGGGGCATGGCCGTACCTGATAGACGAGTTCGTGGACCACCTCCGTGCCGCCGGCTCCCTGCCCTCCGCCTGATGCTCGCACCCTGTCCCCATTCTAGGCACCCACCACCAACACAACCGCCCCATGCACCCAGCCCATCCTCCCATGCACCTCATGCCATGTTGATGCCCCACGCCTCCTTGCGCACAGAAATCTCTTTATAAGCTCAAAAAGGGCACAACAACACACATTTGTTTGAGCATGGGACAATGGATATGTTACTGTACAGATTCTCAATATATATTCCATGCGTGAACCACCATGTTGAAATATCTAATCAGCTCTCGAAGGACAATTACCCCCACAACTGTATGTTGGTGCCAGTCCATCAGTTGTGGCCGTTGACAGGCCAATGTTAGTGAAGGTGTGGCCAAGTGGGCCCATCACTTGGCTGATGGGAATGTTTTTACAGGATCACCAGTTCTCCGCGTAGGTAGTAAAGAAAGCGTGCAAGCAGGGTGGCATGCTCGCGTGTCACCACTGGTGTTGGCGAAACAGCGGAGACTCCCCTTTGGGCGGCGGCCGGGCGGCGGGGGACTCGCCGCGGGCGGGCTGCAGGAGCGCGTCGACAAGGAAGTGGTCGGCGTGGATGGCGGCCTTGAACTCGTCGAAGCTCAGCCGCCCGTCACAGTTGGCGTCCATGCGGTCAAAGAACTCGTCCAGTATGCCCGGCTCTAGAATGTCCGGCGGTAGATAGTCCTCCGGTAGCGCCTGCCATGCCATGCCATGCCATGCCGTGCCGTGCCATGCCATGCCATGCCGTGCCGTGCCATGCCATGCCATGCCGTGCCGTGCCATGCCATGCCATGCCATGCCATGCCGTGCCGTGCCATGCCATGCCATGCCATGCCATGCCATGCCATGCCGTGCCGTGCCATGCCATGCCATGCCATGCCATGCCGTGCCGTGCCATGCCATGCCGTGCCGTGCCGTGCCGTGCCGTGCCATGCCATGCCATGCCATGCCATGCCGTGCCGTGCCGTGCCATGCCATGCCATGCCGTGCCGTGCCGTGCCATGCCATGCCATGCCATGCCATGCCATGCCATGCCATGCCGTGCCGTGCCATGCCAGCCATGCCGTGCCGTGCCATGCCAGCCATGCATGTGTGCAGCAGAGAGCAGAGAATGTGTAACCCGACGATCCAACAACGACTGAGTGAGGAATGACGAAACATGGCAATGAAACCAACGCATCTGTTGGTCTCAACATTACCACGGTTTCTGCCAGAGGCGTGTTGGTGCAATATATGCTCCAAAGACACTGCCGTGTGAGAAGAAATACTGAACAAGTTCCGTTTAAAGACAACCACTGCCAGCTCACCTTGAGCATGGCAGCGAGCTCGTCCTTTGAGATATATCCTGAGTCATCTGCATCGTACATCTGCACACCGTTGGGAGGAGGGAGTGCGGGACATGAAGGCAAGGCAGTCTGAGTCTCTCAACACAGCGTCCCTCTCAACACATGCATCACTGATCTCTCCTGCACGCTTTGCTTCACAGGGTGTTTTCTGTGGAGCCCAGGCCACAGCCACACAGAAGGGCATCCGGGATGGGTAAGAGCGGCTTACAAGCTGCCCTCACAGCCCAATGCTGCACAAAGGCGCATGTTTTTTGGGCAGAGGCGCACCTTGAAGCAGAGGCGCAGGGCATCGTCGCCTTGGGACTTGCGGAAGGCAGCGAGGCCGCACACGATCTCCCGCATGTCGACGGAGCCGTTCTTGTCGCTGTCAAACACCTCAAACACCCGCCGCGCCATCGGCACCAGACTGCCCATGCCCATGGCCCTCAACACGTCCTCAAACTCCGCCACCGTCACACTCGTGCCACTCGACGATCTGAGCAGCATGCGCGGAGGGAAAAGGGAAAAGGGACCCGTGGGTGGGGTTCAGTGGGGAAAGCAGGCGGTGCAGGTCAGTGAATGGCACCTAAGATTGGTGAAGGGAAGAAGCGGGTGCAAGATTTGTAATGGGTTTCTTGCGTGTACGCATGCGTGCGCACGCGTGTGCGTGTGCGTGCATGCAAAAGTGCAGCTCACATTCTCTTGAAGTGCGTATGAAGGTCCTTGAGCTCCGTCTCATTGAGTGTGTCGAATCCACCCAGTATGTTCCTCAGTGCACGGGTGCGCAGCATGAGCTTGTTGCTCACAATGCTCGCATACGCCGCCGCTCGGAACTTGCGGCGCGCGTTGAAGGTGAGCAGGCGCCGGCACACCTCTGGCTCCATCGGCTCCTGCCTCGCTGCATCGCCCTTCACCCACGGGTGCAGCAGCAGCTGCCACGGCGCACACAGGGGGCAGGGACAGGGGCACCCCAGGGGGGAGGAGAGATGTCAGGAGTGAAAGTGTAGCACAGGGCACATGGACAGGGGATGGGGGGCGGGAGTGGATGGTGGAAAGGGAGGGGCTTACTTGGGGGAGGGGCTTACCTCAGCGGCGGTGGGTCGCTTGGAGGGGTCGACAGTGAGCAGGCTGGTGACGAGCTGCTTGGCGGACTGCGATATGCTCCTCCATGTCGACTCCTCAAAGTCAAAACTCGCCTGCCAGACGCACACACCACGCACACACCACACCATGCCACGTCACGTCACCTTGGTCTCAGAACCCCTAAGGATAGCAGTGGCATAGAGGCATAATGACTTGTTGCAGCAGGAAGGGAAGGATTAGGCATGAGAGGCGCAGGGAGGAGGAGGGGGGACTGACGTTGAGAATGAGTTGCTGCTTGGCGCGGTTGTTGAGTGCATGGAAGGGCGGGTACCTGCATGCACAGTGACACAGCCACGCACGCGCCACGCACCACACATGGGGCATCAGGTACGGGACATGAGGCATTGAAAAAGAATCTCTGCACCTCGTCCACCCACAGCTGAGGTCACATTGAACGGCACCAGCATCATTCGCACACTGGCACACCCCAGCCCGTCCCGTTCATCGCTTATTCCCTGGGCGCGCATCCTATTCGCCCACACAGCGTGCAACCCCCTTCCCAGGGCTCCCGCCCACAGACTATGCACCCCCTCTGCTAAGCTATCCGCCTCCCGAACATGCGCCCTCCTCTACCCCCACCTCCCCACACCCCGCCCCTGCGCCCGCGCCTGCACCTGCCCCTGCCCTTGCCGCTGCGTTTCCCCCTCCCTTGCCCCTGCGCCCGCCCCTGCCCTTGTCCCTGCCTCTGCCCCCCCCTTATCCTTGACCCTGCCCCTGCCCCTGCCCCTGCCCCTGCCCCTGCCCCTGCTCCAGCCCCTGCCCCTGCCCCTGCCCTTGTGCCTTGGCCTGCCCTGCGCCTGCCCCTGCGCCTGCTCCTGCGCCTGCTCCTGCGCCTGCCCCTGCGCCTGCTCTTGCGCCTGCCCCTGCCCCTGCGCCTGCGCCTGCACTCACCCTGGCATCCCCTCCCCCCTCCCCCCAACCTCTATCCCCCTCCCGCCTTCCCCCCTTAGCGCGCGCACCCGCAGAGCAGGATGTAGAGGATGACGCCCAGCGACCACATGTCCCCCGCGGCGCGCGACTCGCGGCGGGAGAGCGCTTCGGGCGAGACGTAGTCGATGGAGCCGAAGAGGCCCACGAGCGGGCTCGTCTCGCCCTCGATGGAGCTCAGCCCGAAGTCCATGATCTTCAGCGGCGCGTCGGGCGCCGCCGTCAGGAACAGGCAGTTCTCGGGCTTGAGGTCGCGGTGCGCGATGCGCGCGGCGTGCAGGCTGCGCAGCCCGTTGGCGATCTGGCGGATGACGAGCGCGGCGCCCGCCTCGGAGTAGCGCTCCTGCTGCACGATGCGGTCGAAGAGCTCGCCGCCGGAGCAGAGCTCGAGCACGAGGTGGATGCAGTGCGCGTCCTCGAAGACGTCGACGAGATGGATGACGTTGGGGTGCGGCGACACCTCGTCCACGATGCGGTTCATCACCATGATCTCGTTCTCCACCAGCGCGTTCGACACGCTCGGCCCGCCGTGCTTCTTCAGCGTCTTCACCGCCACCGCCGTGCCGTCCTCCTTCGACTCGGCGCGCTGCACCACGGAGAACCCGCCCGTGCCCAGAACCTCGTGCAGCGTGTAAAAGTCCTCCAGCCGCCGGCTCTCCTCCTCCTCCACGTCGCCCATTCGCGCCGCCCGATGGGCCCACGCCAGGGATAATGGAATGAGACCGCCGCCCAGGCGCTCCGGCGAATGGAGCGAACGCAGAAAATGAATGGAAGAGTTCGGACAGGGACGGCGGGGTAAGAGGCTGGCGGACTGTCGGAAGGTGTGCCGAGGTTGGCCAAGAGGTAGAATCTGCAGCCTAACTAACGACACTATGCTGGTTCTAGATGCAACGGGCGATTGCGGTCACAAAGATTTGGGGGTCCTCCCAGATTGTTCCCCCAACAGTGCCCAAACTAGGGCCTGGTAGGTTAACGGTTTGACTTGACGACTCAAGACTAGCGAATGGCGACGGTGACGAAGTGAACTGATTTCGTCCGCGGCCTCAACCACGTCCCCCTCCCCAAGTTTGCGAATTGTAACCCGGGCGACGATGTCCTTGAAAACTGACCCCGTAACTTGCTGGGAAGAAACCGAGGTAGGGTCAACGAAAGCTTAACCTGCTGGTAACTTCTCGACGAAAACATTCTGCGAAACGAACACAACAACCAGCACTCCCCCCATCTCCAGCACTCGAGTGCCTTGGCACCTGGCACCAGGGCCCTGTTCTGTTGCCGCACTATTTGGTGCGCCCCCCCCCCGCACAACACCATTTGATGCTTCGTGCGGCGTTCTACCGGAGATCCTAGAAGCCTTGTTTTCGAGGGTGTATTCCTTGCTACCAGGCTCGGGAAACTTAACCCCTTCCCGGACCTAGCGAGTGTTGTGCAGTGCAGTCCGCCCACCATTGCCCAAAAGAACGGTGAACCAGCGACGCACTCGCAATCTCCCACTCCCAGGCAAAATGGGTGCGGGACTGGTGCGGCCCTGGTTCAGGGTCAGAGGGGGGATCCAGGGACCGCACCAAATGGTTCAGGGCAGGGATAAACGTTCTTCGTTGTCCTGGTTGGCCCCTTTGCTTTCAGAGCATTCAACCATCCAATTGCCATCGCGAGAGATGGTTTCACGGTCTGAAATGGAAAAAAAAACCTCCTGCCACCCTCTTCCCGACGACAACTTCTTTCGCCAACCAATCCCTGCACAGGACCTCTTGTGTTGTCCCTGAGTCCCTGAGTCCCTGACCTCTTGGGTGGCAGGAGGCTGTGTTGCACCAACATGGGGGTTTAATGATTCGCGGAAGCCTGATGCCGCACCATGTGATGCGGTGCTGTCCTGTCCGCCTACGGATTAGGTGGTGCTGCAACAGAACACCGCCCAGGCCTGTCGAAGTCCCTAGGACCAATTATGGGAGCGTACTTCATCCCTAAAAGCGTACTCCAAAGGTACGACTAACCTACCGGTATTACTTCACATAAGTGCATTATAACTTCGCATGAAAAAAAACATCACGAGAAGGGGGGAAAGGGCTGGGGTCCTTCGAAACTGAAACCAAAACCTGGATTCAGGGGAAGGCTCAAACGAGACACTTAACTATCACGGGCGCCATGATAATCGAACACTCGAAACAGTCGAGCTGCTCCGAAGGTAAAACGGAATATTCAGGGCATCTTAGTCGAGCAAATGCCCTTACTTCGACAGCCCTGGTTGGCACCCTCATAAAAAACCTTCTTGTGTACAAATGGTTTTTCCCTTGTCGCACGCCTGTTAGCGCCGCGCGTCGGCTCGGCTGCATGCTCCACTCGCCGCTTCCGCCCATGATCAAATACACCTACCAGAGCAATTTCATCTCGGTTCGTGCGCAAGGAAAAGTTCGGCGCCTGCGATGACGGCAGTGTCTGCCGACAAATGCTAAGGAAGCGCATAGATACATATAGGCGTATGGAAAAGCATCGAACGACCTGTTGTTGCATATTTGGGTGGCAAATGCTCAAATTCACCTCCCATAACACTTTCAGTTTGGTTCGTGCGCACAGAAATGTCAAACATTATATATATGTTATAGTTGTGTAGGCTATAGTGGGTTAGCCTTCTAGGGGGTACACTACTCTAGGGTTTGGTACTTGTACTCCCATTCCCTTTCTAGTTCATCATTCTCATTCATCCTTAGTTTCTAACATGGTAACACGAGCCTAGGTCGTAACCTAGGACCGACTGATAGGGCCCACCGTTTCCGTTTAGTCGCGCCCGAGCGCGCCTCGCCTAGTCGCGCCCTCGAGCGCCCTCCTCTCACCTTCACTGTCGCGCGCCCTAGCGTGCCTCTTGCGATCGGCCCCGCCCAGCCCGCACGCCCTAGCGTGCCCCACGCGATCGGCCCCGCCCCCCCCTCACACGCCCTCACGTGCGACCCGCGCAGCCCCACGCGCGTAGCCTGCCCCGCGCGCGCCCTTGCGTGCCTCGTGCGGCCCCGAGCGCTAGCTGCCCCACGCGCCCGTGCGCGCTCCTCACGAACCGGCCCCGCCCTTCCTCGCGCGCCCTTGCATGCCCCGTGCGACCGGACCACACCCACCCGCGCGCCCTTGCGTGCCCTTCGCGTACCGGCCCCGCCCCGCTAGCCGCCCTTACGTGCCCAGTGCGACCAGGCCCCGCCCCGCTAGCCCGCCATTTCGTGCCCCGTGCGGTAGGCCCCGCTCTGCCCTGCACGCCCTCGCGTGCCCCACCTCGCGTAGCCCTGCCCTTGCAGCACCGCTAGCGCCCTGCCCCACCCGAGCCGCGCCGCCTAGCCGAGCCGAGCCGCCCCACCGAACCGCGTCGCCCGGCCCGAGCCGCGCCGCCCTACCGAGCCGCGCCGCCCTACCGAGCCGCGCCGCTGCTACTGTCACTGCTACTGACGCTACTGCTGTTACTGCTACTACTGCTGCTACTGCTCCTACTGCAACTATGGCTAGCCCTGCTGTGCTCGCTTTCGATGCTGAGGGCCGCCCACTGAAGTTTGACACCTGGCTCGATGACTTGCACCTGTTCCTCCAGCTCACTGCCAAGGAGGATATCTCGCTGTACGATCAAGCGCTAGGACTCGCTGCTGCCCCTGCTGCTACTGCTGACAGTACTGCCCGCTCACAGTGGCAGACTCGTGACGCCCACACTCGCTTCGCTATTCGCAACCCTTGCCGATAGATGAGCGCGAGCACTTTGGCCAGCACAAAACTGCTCCCCTACCTGTTCCCAGACCTGTCCGCCTTCTCCACAGTCGCTGACCTCATCACGCACCTCCGCACTAGTGAGGCCCGCTTCCGTGCCGCTATGCCCGCTGGGTTTCTTGCCAAGAACCCCCCCCCGCTGTGGCTCACTCTCTACCACCTGGTCACCCGTCTCCCTGACTCTCTTCGTGCGGTCAGGGACGACTTCCTCGCTCGCTGCCCCACTGAGCTCACCGTTGATCTGCTCGAGAAGGAACTGCTTGCAGCTGAGACTAGCATAGTCGCTGTAGGTGCCTCTCGTGGCGACCCCCGCACCCCCTTCTTCGAGGGGTGTTCCCCTTCCCCCCTTCTCCCCTCTGTCGCCTCTGCTGCTGCTGTCGACCTCCTTGGTACTGAGCAGGTCGGGACTGCGTCCACTCCGAGTTGGCGCCGCAGCGGCAAGGGCAAAGGGGGCAAGGGAGGCGGCGGTGACGGCGGGGGAGGCGGTGGTGGGGGCGGTGGCGGCGGTGGGGGTGGTGGCGGGGCTGGAGGGGCTAGTGGCAGCAGTGGGGGTGGTGGCGGCAGCGGCGGAGGAGGTGGCCGGGGTGGGGGCGGTGGTGGTGGCGGCAG